ACCTGTCATAAGGCTGATCAAGACACGGTCAATGTTCCTATCGTGCGTAATGCTTGTCTCAACCAAGATCCCAACAAGAAAGCCTTTGATGTGGGTGCTTTGGCGTCAGAACCAGTGTAATTTCGCAGTCAAGGCACTGCGATGGCGATTTGCAACCGATTCATTCAGTGATGTTCTCCATGACTCGGAGTCTCTGGCTTGAGACAGCGAATATTCATGTCTCTGCTTGAAAACCAGCTACAGCCACGAATCCCGATGTAAGAGTAAGCCCGGCCAGTCTCAGCCCTATGAACTTTTGTTGTATGCCGTGTCGCGTGCAATCCTCCGCGAAAGCGCGTTGGATTGGCTGGCAGACTTTGGGAAACGAAATGAGTTTACACCATTCCAGATTAAAAAGAGCAAGGCACTGCGGGTTAAATGGCATGTACAGAGACTAATGCAGTATCCGCATCATATCTTCCTAGGTCTTCGACACCAACTGTCTTGATGGCTGCATATGAGAGTTAATTAACTCATGCAAGGTCGTAGAGTATCGTCATGGGAGCTGGACTGTCAGGTTCTTTAGCTTTGCATGAAGGCGGTCATACGTTGTACTTAACCAGGGCATAGGCGCTGAGACAACTGTCAGACATTATGCTGAATGAAGACAAGGTACTTGGCATGCTTTGCCCCTTAGGTGGAGTTATATAATTTATTCCTTGAGCCTGCTTCGGAACTTCCGAAACCTCTGTTCTGAAAGGAATGCCGTCCTCGGGCGATTTCAGTTGGGGATGGGGAGAGGAGTGAGATTGCAAGACTTATCCCGTCGCGGACTGCCTTTCTTGGCTTATAAGAGACCTGTGAACAATACTGGATCGTATAAGAAATCCCATCTGCATCGGCAAAATATGGATGTGTCATACATCAAAGCAGAACTTTCTCCTCGCGGGCCCATGAAAGTCTCCAACCGCTCGGTCCGGGATGCGGGTCACCGCATGGGCAAATTGGCCCCACCTCGGCCCGAGACGGGGCCACAATGCGGCGGGTGGGGCCAGTGGAGAGTGCCAGGTTTATTCAAGGTACGGTACCCGCAATAGGTACCTCGCCGTAGGGCCTTTGAGATGCAGCGCTGCAATGCTTTTGAGGATAAATGGACTAGAATTGAGATGCTACTTGAGATGCTACAAAGCGACAATGGAAAAGGTGAAGATGTTTTAACCCAAAACTTTAGCACTAAAGCCGCACCTGGCGCTGGCCCTTACGCATGTCTCTTTGACACATGGACATTGAACCTTCTATTCCATCAATCCCCATGCCAACGGCTCCTGCGCTGGAACTACCTTCGACATTGAGTCTTTCACAGTACCAGTGCCTGCCTCATTGAATCCCAACGCTGGGTAAAAGTAGAGAAGGCACAACTCTTTTATAAATGTCATTGCCGGTCGGGCAGGCTTTCCAGATCGACTAGAGCTCGGTTGCACTGGTACTTGGCACCTTGTCCCTCACCAAGCGAGAAGGAACACTTGCCGTTTCGCAAGTGACCTGCTGTCAGACCTCAGGGCAGTCTCCCTCCACATGCCTTCCCACTTTGAAAGCATGTTCTACCTCAGCCTCAGCCGCGTGGCTTTCCAACGTTCACGGCGTCAAACAGGAAACTTTCCGTGTGCTTCTGGCAACGACATTGACCCATAGAGCGCTGCTCCAATATCGAGTACAACTGAGCGATCACTACTTGCTTCAGAAAGTTTCGACACACAATGCGTCATGTTGCTGCTTGCCGAAGTTTTGTGTCGACTTTCCTCATGGCATCGCGCGCACGAGCTTCGTGTTCTCCGGTCCCGTTTGGCACGCTCTGGCTGAGTCTTCGGTACAAGCTGGGATCCGTCTCAACAAATTCAGTGACACGGGACTGACACTGTGCGGCTTGGTACGCTGTATTCGCCATCGTTCTCAAATTGAGTTAGATTTCGGGAACCAACGGTATTGGTAAGACACGGTAACGAACCTTGTCGCTGGAGCGCCGTTGACAAGGACGGAGACGTCTGAGGCAGGCATACTGCAACTGAGGAGGTACTTTTTGACGAGAGAGAGGGATTGGAAACGTATCGTCTCAATTAGGGTAACTTGAAAACAATTTGATCGCTAATTTGAAGTTGCAGATGACTCAATGTCAATGGTCTGGTTGAGGGGGAGAAAGCCACGGAGTTCACTGCAGGGTCGCACGTACTTATGGCCGACGGCTGATCGTGAGGCCAGGGACAACACACTCATTCTCCCATCGTACTGGAGAGCGCGAGTCCAAGAGGAAGAGTTCTGCAGTCACACCAATTTTTCAGGGCCTCAATCCCACGACAAAAAGAACAAAAGCCTTCGCAGTAGCCTCAAGTATGTCAGTGCTGTGGACCTAGTTCCAATGCCGAGCGTGGGACGAAGCCTATTGGATGGAGTGCCGGGTCGGTCAAGAACCCGTCCAAGGCCATGTATTGGAAGAAAGAACAAGATCCCCGGGGTCATTTCGAAAAGGAGTCGGACTGAGACTCGTCGGTTTCACCGGCCCTGCGTCTTCGAGGGCCCGCTCAGGATCGTGGGAGGGTGAACTCGGACCATCGCTTCACCCACCAGTCCGTCGGCCACTCTAGGCTCACATGACAAGACCGGCTGCAAGTTGCCTGCGGATGCCTTACGACGAGTTCATCGCCGTGGAGTTTCCAGCTACTTGGCGCCAAACTGTTCGGCCGGCTTCAATTCGATTGGCAATGTATCCGTCAAGCTTCTAGCCTTTCCCGCGGAAGCAAGGCATGCATCCGGCACCAGCATGCCGGACACTCGACAACCCACTGAGGTGTCATTCTCTCAGAGATAACCAGGTCCCGCGGTCACATAACCCATGCTCCCCTAACGTGCCAACTCAATCGAGCCTGCCTTAGTGGTCAACAAGGAACTCTGCGCCAGTGGAACGGCCCATGCCGGCGCCACGTTGTTTTGCCCCAGGATGCTGTCGCCACACATCCACTTGCCTCTTTCGGTGTTGCGGAGGTAAAGGAATAGCTTTATCAGTTGACTCTGGGGATGTACGAATCGGATTTGGGAGAAACAGCAACCCCATACTCAGGTAGTCTTGCGCTGCATCGGCACTGAACGGATGTGTCCCTATTGGCGAGCGCAAGATGAGGCCAAGGATGACCACCTTTCCGCCGACACCCTTTTGTAATGGGAGATCTCAAAACGCCGCCTCCTTCGAACATGAGGCCCTGCTCTCGCCTCTCGATCGACAGGCTGATATTACATCGTGAGTAGTACATCGAGCTGTATCACACCTCCTAGTACATGCACGGTACGAATAAGCGACAGGAGGAGGAAAAGTCAGGACTCCTAGAAGTAATGACGAATTTTGGGTGGTGCAAATCGGCACCCTATACTCATTACAGACTCCGCCATGTTTGCGCCCTTGAGAGGGTTGGGCGCTCGGAGCGACGTGCCACCGCCGGCTGCTGCAACCAAACTCCACGTGCGCCCCCCCAAAAGCCTGAGACGACGCCGATGTCTTGTAAAATTGAGATATGTCGAGAATCTCGGATGCGACAAGCCGGAGAGGCCTTCGGTGAGCTAGGTTCGGGCCTCAAGCCGGAGCAAAAGGCTGACCAGCCATTCGGAGGCTTCGAGCCTTTGGAGTTGGCTTAAGCGTTTAGACTTCATCCGTTCCCGTGCTGTCAAAGCTATGGTCTCATGTCATGACGTCGAGCGTGAGAAGCACTACCCCTCACTGACTTCAGATGACAGGAAGTGCTTGGGCCCCCCACACATCCGAAATATTTAGAGCCGCTCGTCAAGTCGTCCCCCCGTCGTTTGCCATCGCACCTTGCGCGGTGAGAGGCCGCATGTCGGTGTAGCGGCATTCTTTTCGCTGGTGTGTCACAGCTTTGTGCATGTTGCACCTATTCGACTGCAACAAGATGATGCGCTTCAGATTTCGTGCTCGGCCACGTTTCCTCGCAGGGGTACGGCCGTACTTTTTTCTTGAAAGGACCGAGCTGCATATAAGATGATAAGGTCATTTCACAATATCAGTTTTCAGATCAGGTCATGCCTCCAATATGCCGCTTCACGATGATCTCCCCGCAAACACTCATCAGTGGTCCCTACTCGAAGCCTCGCGTCAATCCAGGCAACTTTTGGCGAAAAAGCGCTCGGCGGCGCGTGCAGTAGTCGCCGCTACCTTCCACCGGTAAAGCCGCGACGTTTGTGAAATCTTTTCTTCGCTTATGGGCATCAATATGTACAAGAAATGGGAAAGAATTCACCACGCAAAACCACTCCGGCCAGACCCCATGTCACCGGTGACTATCGCTAGCGCTCTCGGTCAAGGTGTGCGTATCCGCATCGGGAACCTCGCAGACGGTTGGCTGGGGCCTGGAGGTGAAGTTCCGACGATGCACTCTAGCCTCTAGACAAAAATGTCATTCTGGGCACCTGGCTTGAAACCCATCCTGGCGTTGTACCCGGGGCTATAACCGACATCCGGCACGTTGTTTCCTTCGGCTTCTACGAGAACGTCAGCACTTGGACTTGTGGAAAGGGGCGTCATCGCCATTCGACAACTTACGATTCCAAGCAATCATTTGCTTCGGGCCAGCGACACACTTCTTCGAATCATCTCGGCAAGCGACGGGCGGCTTAGCGACACCCAGCCGCTTCGTGGACACGGTGTTGGTAACATTGCATTTGAAGTTTTGCATGTACCTTTGTTGGCCTGTCAGTATCTTCCCCTCCGATCGTGCCTGGTTAAGGTGACTTACATGTTGGGCTGGCCACCTGCGATGAACGAGTCAGTCAAATGCGCCAAGGGGGTCCAGAAGCGAATGTGATCTTACATCCATCTGGAACCCAGAGCCAGGCGCAGTAGCAGCCCCCCACCGGGCAGGCAGGCAAGTCCGGAACTTGGTACGAAGTTACGCGTTTCCAAGGTGTGCTGTTTTCGACCACAGTCAGTTGCTGACCATTTCCGTCCAACAGGTCCCAACCTACTGCTCGACAACCGAAAAGACGACGAGGTTCTCCATCGTCACTTTTCTGATATCTGACTGATAGCTGATGGCGAATGCTGTGCCTGCTGTGGTGGTATAGTTTTGCGTGTGCATCGCCCCTCCTTTGCCGTCCGGGTTATCCACGAGACACTTGCCCGGCCCAGGCGCATGCCAATCTTCTGGATGTTCGCTGCAGTCCGGCCACTGCGTTGCTGTCTTGCCGCCGTAGGAAAGGCTCGTGCAGCCGCGATTGGCCCCAAGGTCGACGGTAAACTTGCCTCGGGCGGGTAGGTTGAGAAACTGGCCCGCTGGAGGGGGCACTTTGTCGCATCCGCGGTCGGCTTGCATCCACCACTTGGCTTTCGGGAGTTGGTAGAGCGGGTTGACTACCAGGTTGGTGTTGGAGTCGTCCACTGCAGAGTTGTTCCCACCCTGTCATCGATTTGCTTAGCGTTATGCTTACCACGAAGGAGCTTGGCTCATAGCCCCGGGACTCACTCGACAATACATGCCATCGGCCCATGCGGCAATGTGCCCCTCGACGATGCCAGCGGCGACCAGGGGCGAAGCAAGGCTAAGCGAAATTTTCATGGTATCTTGACGGTATCTTGTAAACGACTATTTGTTGGCAGCGGTCGACTAGGAATACTGTGCACAAGATCTGCAAAAGGAGCGGATGAAGAGCAGTTGCCTCGAAGGAAGGGACTAGGCCTCTAGGGCTTAATTCGAAAAGAAGAACAAGTAGTGAGCGACGAGTTACAAACACGAGGGACACAATCGCTGTTGGAGAATCGATGCAAAGCTTCTTATACACATCGCAAGTAAGGGGGCATCTGGGGGTCGTCGAGATTAAGGAAGTTTGTGGCGTTGACACCGTCTGTGCAGATCAACAGGCTACCCCATATCGCGTGTCTGGACGTTTGACACTTTTTCCTCCCTCTGTACCTTAATATTGCGCTATGTCACCTTACCTTAGTACGATGGATCACAATAGGCAGCAGCTTGAACCTTAGGTTGAACCGCTCCTTCCTACCTACCGTCCCTGTCACTCGTACCTTCATCCGAAGAAGGCACTCCAACCACGTGCCTACCTACCTAAGGAGCCAATTCACCTCATTCTGTCACCAGCACACCCATCCGGCCACTTGGCCGGGTGGGTTAGACTCTGACGCAGAGTCGATAGTAAATGAAATACTCCAATGAAGCCGTGCTGGCCTGAGGGGCGCGCTGTTCGAATCCGAATAGGGGCGTGAATTATCGAGTAAGTTGTCACCAGCCCTTCCTTCCTTTCCTTTTTGACTTTTTGGATGCTTTTCGAGGAGGGCTTTCGAGGCCTGTTCGTTTCATTTATGAGAGACGTTGAAGGGCGGAACTCCGCTGGTATGGGTGGTCTTTTTCCGCTCCACTGCTGGGATCGGCTTCACTTAGATCCACGGCCGGTGATATGTAACACCGTTGGGAAGCTCGGTCGGTCGTGGACGTGCAATACGTCTGAGCATTCACCGAGGACACTTACTCAATCCTTTGCCACATAATTCACTCCAGAAACTGCGAGATGCGGGGATAATAATCATTCATGAAATCTGAGGAACGCGATCGCGGGGCCGAGACAAGATTGACGTCGTTTCAAGGGCTGCACTTATGGCGCTCTAAACTCAATGAACAACGTTTTTTTTTTTCTCTTCGAAGCGACTAGCGATCCTCCGACTAAAGCCACGCCAACCCACAAAACAAGGGCAGAAAAAACACAACCCTCCATCCCAAGATTTCGGGACCAGACGACTGTTGTGGCTGCACCGTTGTCCACCCGTCGTCCGTGCAGACCCACAGACGGGGCAAACGGCGCCGGTACCTTACTCGCATGTTAACGGTCTGCTCTCGATGATGGCAGAGGTTCCCGGCGAACAGGCGTACCATGAGAACCCCCAGGCCCGGCTCTCCCGGCCGCGAGGCATCCACAAGATCTAGGCAAATCAAAGATCCTGTCGTATCCCGACTCGTGCATTCAGCCAGACATGGATGCCGCGCTTCCTACCAGCGTCAGCGGCTCTGCTTTGTCAGAAGTTGGAGCGAATCACCATCGCGCGGTCGGTCATTTGATTGCTCCGATTGAAATCTTGCCGAGGAGGAGCAGATAGATCTACGTGCTTCCCCCTGAAACCAAGATCTGAACAAATCAAAAGCTCCGGGATTATGTTTCGCTTGACAAAGTGCCGGTTCGCCTGAGTCTCTGGGGACCAACCGTGAAAGCGTACTGGCTGGCTAAATCTAAACGGCTCCGCGTCGGGCCTAATATTCAGCTAGGAAGAAATTCATGCAGGCTAAAGGCCACGAACTCGTGTTTGGACTCATCACAATGTCTCTGAACCTCTCATTCCTGAGAGCGTGAATGGCCAGCGATGTCATCGGCCCTTGTTCGGCCGAGTTCTCCTCGCCCTGTAGGGCGTGCAGGGATAGCGTACTCCAGGTATGCGGCCCACTAGCAATTACCTTAGCACAGTCGCGGGGCTTCAGTGGGGAAAATTGTGCAAGGTCTGGGTACCTACCTTGTAAACGCTAATGTCAATCCCCATACTCCAGCCTAGGATGCCCACTGCCCACTCTTCGTAGTGGGAAGAAAGTCGTGGGGGAAACAGAAGGTCTAGGATTGAGCGAAGCGGAGTACTGATCCGGTAGTTGTTTGGAATGGTACCAAGGTAAGGTAGATCGATAAGCACCACCCAAATGTGCGAGACCTGTGACTTGACCAAGTAAAAGCAAAGTTTGGTTGGGGTCCAGGACCAGGATGTCCAAGATGGGCCGCGCGTGCCTTTCCGCTCGGCTTCGCGGGTAGCCGACCAATGACCCACGGTTCCTCTTGGCAGGAGCCTTATTCCGTGGACTCTGCAGTCGAGACGCGTGTCTTTCGTGGACACTCGCGCGCTTTGCGTCACCAATGTCCAAGGAGCTTCGTATCGGGCCTTTTTCCGCCTGTGCGTAATGATGAGGAGTCGTCCTCGGCGCGGCGGGTTGTGCAAGTGACATACAAGAGTAGAGTCGATACGAAGCCCGCCTGTCTGTGTGTCGCCCTCCTCGATCGTAGATTGCGCTTCACGGGTCGTCGTAGGCATCGGGTCTTGAGCGGTTGCACAGGGTCGTTTGACTCGTGAGGGGGCCAGACAAAATCTCAGAAAGAGGGGTTCGGTCTATTTTCAAATAAAGAAGCCTTCAACTCGTTTTATACATGACATGCCACCAAGCCTTTGATATGCCTTTGGCGAACACTGGATATTGATACACCCTTCCCTGATTACATAATAATAGAGAAACTGAGGTCCATGAGTTGTTCTCTCTAATCTTGACAAATGAAGGAACGAGAAACGACATTATTACGGGGGCCATATAAAAAGACAACGGGATTGGGCCAGCCCAAAAGAGATATGGTGACAGGTTATAGTGTACATGGGATCTGCGTATGGTTGCAGAGTATGCATGAGCGCACGAGCGTTTCGTTGTGGCCGTTTACGTGAGTTTCTCAAGGTCTTGATCAAGTTCCTCTTCGAGATTCTGAGATATGGGTTCGGCGTCTTGGAGGCGGGCAAATAGATTGTCTTCGGTGTCCTTCTCGAATCTTTCGAAACGACTTTCTCGGGAGGCTTTTCCGTCGGAGGGATGCTTCTCAGCAGCCTTGCTGCTGCTGCCGCTAGACGTCAGTAACTGGCTAAAGAGAATCTGTCTAGGACAGTTGAAGTAAAGAGACAGTATCTTACGAGCTTCCAGCATGGTTATGCTGAGAGGATCTATGGCTGGCAGGCATGTTGATGATGCTGTGTAATTCTTAATGACAGCTGAAGTGTACAGATATGGTCACGATGTTCAACCGTAGTGACGAAGATGAAGCTAAGGTGTTGTTCGGGACGAAGACGTGAAATATTCTTTGGACGGATGATGAGGAGATGTCGGACTCCTCAGAGGGTATCTAGAGAGTAATAGAGAGAGTATAGAGCGACAGAGTGAATCTCACATTGTAGGCTGAGTGGCGGATGATAGAGTTTAAGTAAATGAAGGTAAAAGTGTTGCTGGAAACAAGAGAGTCCCTGGCGGCCCAGATCTGGACGCCTTCTGGAAGCGGTCAAAAGGGCGGAAAGTACGCGGGGGGGAGATCAATGAGAGATTGGCGAAGGGCGACGGGCGACGGCGGCCAAGGCATAGACTGCGGCACTCAGTACCGAGAGATCTGGGTGACGGCTGCTTGGACACGCCGTTCATCTAGAGAAAAGGCAGGGGGGAGGTGGGATTACGGACGACCGTCCGGGATACTTGGCGACTTTTCCGGTACCCAAGTTCCCGTTTGGTGAAAGTGCAGGTATCCTGATATGTTGAGTCCGGCATTTGGCCTCGCGCCTGACTGCCAGAAGAACCTGATTTGGTTTTGGTTGTGCCTCCAAGCACCTAATTTCCCTGCCTGCAGGATCAACAGTGGGATAGACTCAGGAACAGAGCCGTGTACATCGTTGAAGAGGTCAAGCAGTGGCAAATTTGACAGGTGCAATTCCCGAGGATGCATCAGAGTGAGACGCAGGCCTCATTAGTGAAAGGGGAAAGACATGGTGGAGAAACCTTTGAGGGAAAGGGTGGTGCGGATGCGAGAAAAAGGGTGTCGGGGGTGTGAGAAGAGAGGAGGCCACGCAAAAGTCGGCAGAAAGTGGATGATGATTATGCTTGACACTTAATTAGGTCGTGTCCAGACCTGAGGTGAGATGTCTGCAGAGCAACAAGACCACCCTGGGTAAAGCCCCCAAATTGGATGGGGATGATCCAAAACTTTTCTCGTCGCAACTGCGACCGAGAAGCTTGCAGGCAGACTACTGCAGGGATTTGCTTCTGTCTTGTTTCCCACTTGGAGAAAAGTCGCCCTCATGGGCCAAATGTGTCGAATTCACGCCCAGTGCATCCTTGAAGGAGAGAACAGGGTGGGCTCGACGATATGCGGGGAAAAGGGCGACAATTTTCTGGTAGTCTTACACCCGGAAGCGTATTGCTGCGCATCAGGCGCAGACGTGGTGAAGAAGTCCTTCAGTGCGGGAGGCTTGGTGCTAGAGGCGCTCAATGCTGAGAAGCGGTGAGCTTTCGAAGAGGCCAATCGTCTACCTCGCGCGCCACACTGCGTAATCGAGGTTGCCGATAACTAGGAATGATTGAGAAGGCTGTGAGTTGCTTCTGGAAGAACTGGGTGGGGGCGTTTGGTGAAGGAGACCGTTCTCACTGTTCGGGCAACCATTCGTAGAGACCGCCATAGGATGCTTGTCCTCGTCCGTAGATCCTGGGGAGCAGCGGGGAGCGGGCTGGTCATCGATCAGCCCGCAATTGTCAAGTTGAGGGCGGGCGTAGTTGGAGGCAAAGACGGGAGGTAAACGCCGGGTTTGAAATGGACGGGCGATGGTAGAGCGAGGTTTGGCGGTCGAATTTGGCCCCTGTAGCTACCTGGCCAGGGTAGATAGCGTCATTCATTAGGAAAGAAATACAACGGAGTGAACAACTCACGATCAGCAGATTAGATTCGAAACAAGCCAAAGTTGCCGTAGGTGGTTGGGGTTAATCGAAGGGATCAAGGCAGGGTTGTCGCTCCAGGTCGTAATCCGTGTCCGTACCGGCGAAGGCGACCTTTGGAGAAATCACGCTATCTACCTCTGACTGACGGGTGCCAGGCAAATTTGTTGAGATAAGGCCGTGATAGCGTGAAAAAGTGACTTGAGGTGGTAGGGCGGGCTGAGAGCTGAGCCCGGTGAAGCCGCGACATGGCGATGGAAAGGGCGGAGACGAAGTCGGCTCGGATGGAACCATGGAAGAGGACGGAAGGCGGTGAGGACGGACTGCCCGTGAGGAGTAGGTAAGTAGGTACCTTCCGTGTGGTACCCGGAGCAGGAAAGAACAGAGTCATCTGCTTCCTCCTACCTGCCATGCCTTACTCCAAATTTTGGATAGGTACTCCGTACCTGAGGTAGGTACCGAATGTTTTTGCCAGACGGGATGGAAAGAGCAGCCGGGTTGGGGAACGGACGGAGTGAGATGGAAGGACCACAGTGGTGAGTGTTCCACTTTGGGGTTGGAGACGTATCTCAGGCAGGTCAGATCCAGTACACGTCCCATCCCTGCTTTTCAACCATCCGAATTCACGCCCATCCATCCCCCATCTTTTCTTTTTCAAGGGCCACCCATGTTTTGAGCTTCTATCCTCTTCTGGACGGTCGTCCCTCCCCAGCTCTCGACGATCCTCCTCATCCTGGTCATTTCCATTTCGTACGCCTGCACGGTCTGGTATCCGTACGGAGTACCTTACGAATAGATGTGGTCTCATCAGCATCAAAAGTACGTACTTGAATGTCTCGTGCGGCGTGCCTCAGGTACGGATGCATATCTCCGGCCCAGCAAGACCAGGGACTCGCAATGTCGTAATCTCTTTCACCTTGTCAACTCGCCCCCTGTTGGATCCTAGACTTTGACACTTAGACTTGACTTCACGCTCTATCCGCACGGCAACTCTCCAAGCACCCCGGGGCCTTTGACGCCAAGTTGGAGGTGAATCCTGGCCGGCAACAGTAAACATCCGAGCCCTGTACGCAACAGGATACATTTCAACCCGACACCCTTGACGGCAATGCCACGGTGCCACGTGGCATACAATTTCTCTGAGTCCTTGGCTCATACCTAAGCCCTGTCATCGCCTTGTCGACAAACTACCTTGCCCTAGACACTAGAAAGAGGATCCCCAAAGAAGCCTAGAAGCTATGATGCATAACATCTCGCCCACATCAGCGCGAGCCGGACGCACTATGCTCCTGTCCGCCATCTTTTTGGCCCTCTGTTACGGTGCTTAGATGCGTCGTTAAAGTGTGCAATGAGCCTGTCCAGCCATCTATGCCTGGTCTGCCGTCTGAACTTGAGATTAGTGTCAGGAATGCATTGGTTCGTGCAGCTCTAGCGACACACCCAGGTTAGCCATGACTTAATTGTCAAGATACATCTATAAGGTGTTTCTATCTAGCTCATAGCTGACGTTAGTGGCAGAAAATCCGCATGATATTTTTTTGAACGAAACAATCCCAGCCGCGAGATGTCAGACTCGGTAATGATCGCTCAACATCAACATGTTCCATGTTCCTGCACATGGATTGTGTGGCGCCTCTGAAGTACCGTTCGAACCCGAGTAATTGGACCGGCGGAAGACCGCGTCCCGCCGTTATGCAAGCAACCGTGGACCATATAGCAATTGCGAGAACCACGTTCAACAACGCAGCACCGACTCGCTCACCAGGCGTACCTGATGACGCTTGCTACAGTCGAACCGGCTGCCTAAAGATTCCGCTGCGAATGTGTCCCCGCGACGCGGAAGACCGAGATGGTCTCCTTCTTTCAATCCGTCTCTCCGCCGCGACTGGGGTAATTAATTACATGGTGGCCGTGTATCATGCGGCCGTACCAACACGCCAAAGTTTTGCCCACCGGTCCTGCCTGCTGGGCTGCAACCACCATCCCTGACCGGTCTTCGGTTCACCAGCCCATCGAAATATGGCCCCTCCACCTCTTGGCCGCTATCGAGCTAAACAACAAATCTTACCAATGAAAAGGCCCTAGGACTTGAAACACGCCACATCCATGAAGCATGTCCAAAGCCCGCCATGGACATTCTGAAACCTAACAACCAAGACAGCCTCGTATCTTCCACGCCATCTGGCGGTGAGTGACGAAGAGAAAAGTACCATTTCCACCGGGCACCTTCTTTGCAGATCGATAATGCAATCGACCGTTTCCGTACAGCTCGCTTGTTCTTCATGGATCGATAGCGGGCCTCAGTTTTACTTTTTCCAATTCTGCACTTTCATCATTGCTTTTTTTCTTGACGGCCGTGGGACCTACATGGGTTTGACCGCTGCTTTCCGGGCTTGGGACAGCCACCTGCCAGGTATTGCGAGGCAAGAGAGGCAACAGGCATCTTGATCTTTTTGCGGCTGTGCTGGTCACGTTGATAGCACCATGTTCGATTCTGATTATGAAATTTTACGCCCAGGTCACGACGAGCTAGTATCTGACCGGTTCTCATCTTTTTGAGCCTCAGGAGCTTACCCCTGAACACCTGCACTTTCTGGTGTCACCCTTCGATACAAGGGCAAATGCCGGAGCGATCAAGCAAACATCTCGGAAGCACGCCGCGGCCCCTGGGGAACACCCTCGCAAAATGCGCCCGCGGGAGCGGCGAGAACGGGTGCGCCGTCTGGCTCCCCTGCTGTGCCGCAATATGCCGACTCGAAGCGGGCGCGCAGGCTCTCGACCCCTGGCTCCTCAGTCACTTTCATTTGTCGGACTCTTTTCCAGTCTAGATGCTTTCGTGAGTGGGTCACTCACAAAGCAACTCGCAAAGCAACCCAGCTCCGTGCCATACGGACTCCGAAATGGGACACGTGCAGCTTACGCCTCGCTTCTATCGTGATGCCGCAAGTGACATTCTTGCTGCTCCTCCGCCCTTCTTCAGACCGCTACTCTGAATATCGATCCAGAACAGGATGCAAGATCCTGCCGGTCAAACGCCTCGCTGCGCGACACCTTTTGTGTACTTGCTAGTACCTAGTGACTACACATTCGCTTCATCAGTCAATACCACGCCAAGGCAGGCTTCCTCGGAGCCTTGCTAAGGTATCATTGCCGACCTCCAAGGATTCTCGGTTTTCGGTCGTCCGACTATATCAAGCTACTTCCAGTGGACACTTTGTGACTGGTCAGTGTGACCATGCATTTTCATGGGCAGTGTTTCTATGACCTCTTTGATTGTATCGACTCTGTTGTATCCTGGTCAAAGGTCGGCGCATCGGTCACGGATCTTTTGGCGTATCAATGCCCGTCAAAGTCTGATAGCTTCCTTTGTCAGACACCATGTCTGTGGACACACAAAGACCCTGGAGAAACAAACTCGAACACAATGTCTCCGTACTTTGTGCTCCAGAAACAAAGCATCAAAGCATCATGATCAAGGTATGAGGCCCGAGTAGCCTAGATTCTTCGAAGAGAGTCTTTATAAGTCAAGAGGTTTACCGGCTGTTATTTGCTCTTCTCTACTCTAAAGCAACTCAGACATCAAAAGCCAACAGCCCACATACACTCACACAAACATATCAGGTGCAACTCCAACCCCGCTCTCTGTTAACATCATCCACAGAACCAAACCCCAAATATGCCTCCTAGCGAACTCCTCAGAGACATGATCGCCTCCCGTGAAGACTATGGCGATTTCGGCGGCGTCAATTGCGTAGGGGTCAAGCGCCTCCTGGTAGGCCTCGTCGCTGTATCAACAATCTGCATCCTCGCAATCTACCTCGCAGTCCACTTCCGCATCTGCCTCGCCCGCGACAAGAAATCCTTCCGCTCCCTCGCCATCGACTTTGAGACGCTCAAGAACCAGCACGAATTCATCCGCGAGGACTCTCGTAACTTGCAGATAACGCTCGACTTTTACATCGAGGAGTACGGTCGGCATCCGCGCCATAATCAGTTGCGGTTCGAGCCTGGGCAGGGGAAGCAGACTTCGGGTGTGACTGATGTCGTCAGCTCTCCTACGGGTAATGGACGGTTGCGCGAGGATGAGGATGTCTTTGTGGTTGAAGAGCCTTCGCAGAAGGATTTGAATGGTGTTGTTGAGGAGGGTGATGTTGCGGACGGTGGTGATCGTTTTCCGCGGTTCAGCGAGGAGGAGAAAAAGAGGAAGCAAGGCAAGGTGCCGCGGATTCAGGCGATTGCAGCTGGTATGTAGGATGTTCCGCTGACGCCTCCCATTCAGGAGCAAGGCGGTAGGTAGGTTCGTTCCTAGCTAATATCCAAAAAGTGCCGTCACTCGCTGGATCCTATCAAAGTTCTACATCTCGTTTGGGAAAGCTACATGCATTGTATATCATTGATATATTGTCCTAATCTACGTTCTTGACTTGATCTACTTCATGACATACTCAAGTTCAGTCAGACACAGCTCGAGTATCCCTGCTATGATGTCTCATGTTTCGTCAAGAACCATCGAGATCGTCCGTATTTGCGGCAGCTCTCACGGTCTTGGAAGCCATCACATGAGATATGCCCCGCCCTTCTTAAGGGGTCTGCTTCCGTTGAAGTCCCACTTCCGCTTCAACGTCTCAACTACAAAGAGGGTATATAGTCAGCATCCGCCACGTTTTCTCTCATCGCCCTATCGGTGGCTCGGTCTTTGTCGTCTCGAAGCCCTTGTCCGCATGGAAGCCCATGGTCAAGCTGCCGCTGACCTCTCCAGTCCGTTTCAAAATCCATTCAACTCTGTTGTTAGCGTGTTTTCCGGTGCTCAGTACGCCGCTTTGTTATCGCACCTGGTGACGAACATGTTAGGGAGGTAGCGGAGAACTAGAAAGTGAAATGTTGAGAAAATCCTCGCCGGAGGAGGAGAAACCGGTCAACCACAAGATTAACCACCCACCTGCTTCTCTCAATCCCTCTGAACCATCTGAAATGCGGTATCTCTTTACCAGGAGTTTGTGTAGGAGTGCTCGACATGCTATCCCAACAACGCCTCTAGTCACAAATACGTTAGGGAGAGTTTGAGGAACGAGGAAGTAAGATGGTGAAGGGTTTCGTATTGCAGTTTTAATAAGGAGTCATGATAAGATAGACTAGGAACCCGCTTCACTTGATTCTTCTACTCAATCTAGAAATTCATGTTTCTTTCCTAAAGGTGTGTCTTGAAGTGCTTGGCACGCTGTCTCAATAGAAGTAACGTATCGGGTCACGAATACGTGAGCGAGAGGCAGAGATCAGAAAGTAAGATTGTTAACGAGTTTCACATTACGGTTGCAACTTGCAGGAAGGGTTCAGTCACCAGATAGGGGGACAGGGGCAGTGCACACAGTCTCGCTGCGCGATACAAGGCCTCGCGGCCGTTGTTCTGCCAGGACTAGCTCCAGCACTAATCGAGCAGCCTTCGAGGTTCTTGATGAATGTGCTTTATATGGAGACGGCGCAAACTGAGAAGAAGAAATCAGCAAGAATATATCAAAGCTACATTGGCAGCTTGAATATAAATCATGCTCAAGATGGAGCCTTGTCTTGCTGATCGATCTTGGCGAAGCCACTAGTGCTCATCATGTCGTTGATCTCAAATGTGCTATGTACTTGGATGAGCAAGAGGTACTCGAAGTGGCTGTGGACCACGACGGTAGCAACGCTTTCCCACTCTTGAACTATTCGTGAACGAACGTAATAGAAGTCATTACAGGAATAGCAATCAAGAGATCTCATAGCATCCTTTCAGTGTTCAGGACAAGTTGAGCACTGTGTGTGGTTGACTCGACTCTCCCGTCCCAGGTATGCAAGTGCAACCAAACTTTAAGTCGGGCTTTATAGTTGCGTACCTTTCGATAAAGGTCGGGGCTTTACCTTATGTACCACGTGTAGTCGGGTGGCGATTGCCACTTTTGCCTGCTCAATGGGCCATCCCTTCACAGGTGCGTACATAGGTGCCAATCCCAGGAATGTGTGGTGACAAAGGCGTCAGAGATCGGGAGTTTTGATGATAGAACAACTGCAGCCTTAAAAGGGGAGTCTCCTGCTGTAGAGCCAACGAGAACAAACAACCTAGTCTTCACTTCCTGTTGAAGAAACATGTGGTCCGAGCTAGAGCTTTCATGAATCAAAGTGCCTAACAACTCGAACACCTTCAAAGGTCCGGCCCCGTTCAAGGTCGAATCTGGGTAAGAAACAAGAAAACAAAGACCACAAGACTCGAAGAATTTCTGATACAATGTCGTCTTTCACTCACAGCCAACTTGGCCAGCCTGCAGTCTTGGTCCTCGAAACAAGGCACTTGTGAACTCGGCCTCTTGTTCAGTTCCTGACCACAATGAAAAGAAGAACAAAGCCTGTTGCGGATGAAACATGCATTGAAGACTCGACTTCGGTGGAACTTGAGATTGAACTTTCGAAGAGGGTCCTATATAGATTCTGGTTGATATCCAGCCATCGATGTAGTTTTCTTCTATCCCCATCACGCATTTGAGTCTTCCACATCAACAAGCTCGACTTCCATTCAGTATGCAGGTGAAAGCTCCCTCGACACTATTCACTAACATCATGACGAGCCACAGTTATAAGTCTCATCTCCTCTCAATACCTACATGAAGCATTCTGGCCTCGTCATCTTCCAAACTCCCATTCTCAACCGAGTCAACGTGGCTTGTGCTACTCTGCAACCAGATCTCCCAAACTTTGGCATGTAAGTCACGCCATCTCATTAGCTCACTGACAGACATCAGGTCCTCGACAAGTCGGCGTCGGCTGACATATTTCAATCGTACCTGACACTTGTGAGTTTCCCAACCCCTTTAGTCTTTGCTAATCAGAACAGTGCATGAATCCTTTCAGGCCACAACGGCTGATCTTAAGGAAAGCCAAGGTAAGTCCTCCCTGCTCTCCTGCGCTGACATGGATAGTAATTTAGACGACCGCCTTCAAAACACGATGCGATTTCTTTGGTATCGAAAGTAAGTTTTCCACACATTTTACGAAACTGCTGACCGTAGGCGCTTACGAACGAAGACGGATGAGCATGCAGTCCAAACTCCAACTTCACAAGTCATTGCTAAAAAAAATCTAGAACTTGGTGTCCCCGTACAATTCAGTATTCGGGTCCAAGATAACCGTATGTCCTCCCTCCCCCCTTCAGCTGACTTGGACAGTAACTTGAGACCCTCGAGTTCTCAACTCTTCAACGATCCTATTCCTCCGAATGAAAATGTGAGTTTCCTTCATATCTTACTCGACTACTAACTATAGAGTCTCGCAAAAGAAAGCGACTGCTGCCTGTGGTCGAAAGTTCATCTTGCCGTAAGTCTCATTCTTTCTTCACTAAACGGATCTGGGTTTAAAATGCAACTTTTCCGCCCAGTATTTCGATTGAAGCACCTGTAAGTCTTCTCTTTCCCGCCAACTAAGAACTCGAGAAAAAAGCAGCTCTAGACTATGCTAGTTATACATCCATGATCTCGCGTCCTATAGTGTTCAACTCTCCGTTATTGAAAACTAACCATAGGGCATCACGCATCAACCCACATCACATTAGACCACAACTATGGCTAGGTAGACTGTAAGTCTCTCCAGCCCTCTCTAACACGCTGAAATCAATATTCCCCAGGTCTCTTATAACAGAATATCAAGTACTCAGGCGTTTTAGCGATAAGTAGGTAAGCACCCCAACCTTTGATACTGACGCGGAAGACTAGAGACAATCCCTCCATCATCAAACGCTCATCTGCCGACGATAAATACACCGCAAGATTCTGCGGAGTGAATGCATAGACCATCGTGTAAGTACTCCTATTCCCGCAAGTTGTCGGCTGACGCAATAGCCCGAATAACGTATTCCCCGAGAGCCTTCGAGACGAGTAACACGACCGCTTACAAGCTGCGGATCGAAAAGCTCCGTACCACTACGGCGATCGATCCGGACGGTACGACCGATGCGAAGCGAGCCGATTCCACCGACCGAATGCACCTGAATAATGGCGAATAATCTGAAAGAGCCGGGATCTTTGTTTGTCTTTATTATTATCGAAGGGGTTGATAAGAGGGCTCGTGGATGCTTGGTGGTTTAAAGGGGGCATAGCCAGGCTGGGAATAAAGAATGAGCAAAGGGGTCAAGTTCGGGCAATGTTGCTCAAGCCGGTCCCTTACAGCAGACTGCTTGTCGAGACAGCATGGATCATACAAGACATACATTCTTTGTCACCAAAATAGAAAAGTTCATCTCGTTTTGATCAATGGGGATGAGAAAATTCCAATACCTAACGCCCTAAAGTTACACAAAGCTCTAGCAAGATATCCCTTTGAGGCCGTAGAAGCCATTATTCATTTCGTCGTAGCCAGTTTAGAAGAACTTGCTCTTCAGCCCTCCCAGGACCACATTCCTCTTCTGCTTGTTGATGTATTTGCCAACGTCGTCCGCCCAGCCCTGGCTCTGGTTTTGCAGACTATCCATGTTATCGCTCATGATGTTCAGCTTCTCCGTGCGCTCGTTAAGCTGCCTCGTCAGATAATCGCCCCAGCCTTCGTTGGATCCTCCCGCACTACTCGAGCCGGGCTGGCCTGCAGAGCGAGCAGCTCTCGCTTCAGCTGCCGCGGCGGCCATCATACGCCGGCTTGGAGGGCGATTAGGGTCGATGAGAAGGTCGAGGTCTGTCGGAGAGATATGCTGCGTGCCGGAGAGCCATTGTATGTTCGAGATTGTCGGGCGCGGGGGTGTGACGAGCTCGGGGTTGACGAGGATGTCGTCGCTTATCTGAAGATCTTTGCCAGTACCCCAAACATTGAGGACGGCAATCTCACTGGGGCCAGTCCAGCCGAAAATGTCGCCAGTCTGCGTAACTACGGACGACAGAGTGCGACTGCCATCGAGCATGGGAAGCGGCGCGTTGCCAATTTCCTTGAGACCAGGAATGGAGAATGCACGAGTCGTTCGGTCGCCGAACACACCGACAATGGCGAAGCCGTGAAGCTCGAACTCAGTGACGTTGGCTGCATCGCAGAGGATGTCGTCAAAGGTTTTGGAAGCGCCCTTCCCGCCGGCGGGCTTGAAGATTCGAATTTCAGTTTGTGTCACTAGTCATTTGTCAGTATCAGCCAGCGCAAGAAGTGTCGTATCCAAGGGGCTTACCAGCAACGAGAACACCATTAACCTGCTGCCCGTTTCTGAGCCCTGCTACAATCGGACCTGTTGCAAAAGCAGGTCTTCCAGAGTCTGCTTGGATGGGGCAGAGTGCCACTACCTGGCCATCAAAATGCTGGACGCCAGCTAGCTTGACGGAGTAGCTATTGCCAGATGGCAACAGCTTGAACGTGGCCACTTTGCCGAGGTTCGTGCCCACAAAACAACAGATGCTAGAGTAGTTGTCGCCTTCTAGCGTCATGACGCTAAATTCGATGGCCACCGGCCACTCCTTTCCATGGGCGTTCCCATGAGACCCTTTCAAGAAAGATGATCTCTTGGATTGCTGAGCAAATTCAGTCATGGAGATTTGAAAGATGACAGAGGGGCCACGCAAGTCGATGACACTGAAGAAACCACCCTCAGAGCCGACGCCTACGAAGCCCACGTCCGAGACGCAAGTGGCCGTGATGGGACCTTGCATCATCTCGTACAGTTGCCACGGCTGCAAACCCTCCTTGAGGCCGGGCTCCGCTCTTGAGCTGATGTCCGTCAGCGCTCCCGGGTTGGGCGGCAGATCTTCATGGTGGTCTTTTCCAAAGAACCGATTGCCGGCCCATCTGTAGAGAACCAATTCACCCGTACGCGTTCCGACCGCGAATTCGCCAGTGTTGGGGGCCATGTTCATCGCGGTGATGTCGATGTCCTGGTAGCGGTCCAGTGCGCGTGCCACATCAACTTGCAGCATGGTTGGATTCTCGATCTCATCATCATGACCAGCATCCCAAAGCCGCACGGTGCTGTCCCCATGTGCTATCTGGAAGATCGTGCGACCTTCATATCTGCGCTTTGGCTTCGCGGTCTCGGCACCACCCTTCAGAAGAGGTTCGCCCTGGTTTCTAGTCTCAACCATTCCCATCCAGCGACCTCTATCCAACGTTTGCACAGCGAATTTGTTGACATATGGGTGGACAAAGGAGACGGAAGGATGCAGTTGGTTCGTGGGGCTGATGGGGTATCCCGACGGAAAGCTCATCGTCAGCAGCTCACCCGAAGTCAGGAGGGTCATGATTGCAATGGGATCTTGTGCGCCAGCAAAATAGGGCGAAGAACGAGGAATGAGGAGGAAGTCTGCCACTTGAGCGCCCGGTGGAGTCGGCAAGGTGATTTGGCGTTTGCCTTTCAGATGGTCCTGGAGGACTTGCCAACTCGAAGTCGCATAGATTGGTGTTTGGCCCAATTCGATGAAGGTCAGCCCCTCCTGGGGAGATTCCGGATTCTGACCACCAGAAATCAAGAGCCCAGTATCATCCGGATTCTCCTTGCAGCACCAAGCAATACGTCCATATGGCTCTGTGTAGCCGGCATGTCCGGCGTTCGGTGTTGGCTGATCGACACTCATTTCGGTGAGGGTCCTTGCCATGATGATGCGGCCATCCTTAGGATCCCAGAATACCAAACTGCCATCTTCGTGCGCCGTCATGATAAAGGTTCCTGTCGGATGCCAGAGAGCATGCGTGACTCTCGGCCTGCGAACTGTGTCCGCCGGCTGCCCTCCACCACCAGGTGCGCCTGGTTGAAGTACGTATTCGAAGAACTTGAGAGCTTTGTTTTGCTTGAACGAATAAATAACGATGCCGGTGGTGTACGCAATGAGCATTTGCCCGATATCTCTCGGATGCAACGAAATGCTCACCAGCCCAACAATGCGGGCATTCGGATCCCTCTCTTTCCAAAAGTTTGGTAGCCGGAATGATCTCGCAATGTTCTCCCTGTCCAAATCGTAGGCCAAGACTTCTCCGGTGGCCATGCCAAGAAAGGCCCAATCGAGCATGGGATCTGTGACCATGGAAATGACCTGACCGGGGCAGACGAGAGCCGCGATGCGCTTCGCAGTGTTGAGGTCCCATACTCCCAGTTCGTTCTTGGCATCAAGGGAGACGAGCTTATTGGCGGTGAAGTGGATAGAACGGAAAGATGTGTGCCTTGGCGGCTCCATGACCTTGGAGACTCTGTTTTGGCCGAAAACGAAGATCTTGCCGGGGCCGAACTTCGACTCGTTGGTCGCAATTGCGAGAAGGGACTGAATCGGATCGTATGCTAGGCAACTGCACCATTTCCAGTCAGTCTCGGGCCTCACATAGAAGTCTGCAGTTCGAAATGCCATGAGGTTGACGCGCGTCAACGTGGGGTAGCTTGGCTACTGACCTAACCTGCGAGTTGATGCCGTATGCAGACTGGTAATCGGGAGCAAAGAGCTCGGGGATGATTGACGCAGACAGGTCATTCTGCATGCCTGTCTGCTTTTGTCGAAGAAAGGCGGCCATGGTGAGAGAGTGGTGCAAGTTGGATCTGGAGATGTAGGAGGGAGGTCCGGGAAGCTTGGGGGGGATGCCCCGAACTTTCAATACTTTAGGGCGGCCGAAGATCCGCTTGGCGGGGTGCTCGGTGGGCAGTGGTCAAAGTCCCTGCAGCGAACCAAACGGACGTCATAAGGTTACCATTGGTCTGTGCCCCACTCAAGCGAGCCCAAAGCCCAAGCTCCTGCCAACGATTGACGGGTTATGTAAGCAATCTTCAACGGCGTCTAGGCCCATCCGACTCTCCACCACCACCGCTTCAACAACAACTTCAGCTTGCCTGAATGGACAGCATTACATATGATCTCAGATGCTCTGCATACTGGCAGAAGTTTCAACATTAGTTACCATGCGTTACCGGGTCAAGCAAGATGTCCCGTTGTATGGACGGTCGGCGGAACCAAGATCACAATTCCCACGATTCGATCACAACCAGCATGACTGAGCAACGCAACCTGCAGCTGATAATGCTGTCTATTATGTCTACAATATACTACGTATGAAACTCTTCCACACCATCTTTTACTACAATTAAGGGTATCGATCGCTGCTCAAAACAACGAATGCTTAAATTTGGGTTCACCTTCAGTGGCACCATGTCTAGACGGAGCCGGCAGCAGTGCCCTCCTCAACACGCTTCTCCTCGTTGTGTCCGTGGACGGGAATAGCACTTGTTGCCCTGCGAGTTTAGTCAGTACAGTTTTGGGAGCAATACACCACAGGAAAGTGGAACTTACAGGTCGTCCTCGCCGGAGAGCTCCTCGAGCGTCTTTCTCGCCGTCTCGGGGATCAGAAGGGTGGTGAAGAAACCGCAAAGCATGAAGAGCGCAAAGATCTGCATGATGTGGTTGAGCCAAGGAGTGCTGTATCTCGGGTCGGTCTTGGCCTTGGCGGCATCGGCACCAATGGTACGGAGGGGTCCGAAGACCACCTGCGCAATAATGGCACCGACCTTGCCTGAGGCGGCAGATATTCCGTGAGAAGTGGATCTGTATCTGGTAGGGAAGCATTCGCCAGGAACGATGAAGGTCGTTGAGTTGGGACCGGCGTTAAAGAAGAACTGCGAGAGGGTGTACAGCGCCATGAGAGCAGAGCCCGAAAGGTTCCAGTAGTCGAAACCGATGACGCAGAAGAGGAGCGTGAGAGCGAAGAATCCGAAAAGCTGGATGGGCTTGCGGCCAATGGTATCGACGAGAGCGGCAGAGACCCAGTATCCGGGAACCGCACCGGCGCAGACAAGGATTAGGTTGCCAACAGCCGTCTTGTAGAAGATGTGGTACATATCAGCACCACCAGACCATCCGATGGCGTTGAGGATGATGGCGTTGTTGAGGCCCAGGCCGTAGAACGCCACATCAAGGAAGAACCATGAACCAGCGGTACCGAGGAGGACCTTGGCGTTCTTCCAGGTGCTGTAGTGGCTGAAGAAATCCTTCCACGAGGCCTTGGGAACCTCAAGCTGCTGCTTGGCCTCCTGGCGAGCGATGACGCGAGCAGCCTCATCGACCTGAGACTCACCCCACTTGCCCTGCTTGTAGTAGTCGACGTCGCCCTCAGCCTTAGAAACATCGTTGTCGACATCGAAGGTGTATCTGGGAGTCTCGGGGATGGTAAGGCGGAAGTACAAAGCGATGCAGCCAGGAACAGCGCCAAAGCCGATCATCGTGCGCCACATCTTATCGACGGCCATGATGCAAGGCTCGGTGGTAGAGCAGGTGGCGGCCTTGCTAGCAGTCTCAAGGGAGCCCTTGAAGCCGGCGGTGACGATCAGAAGCATGATGCCACCGGCAAGCTGGCCGAAACCCTGGTTGGCAAATCTGTTGCCGACGTTAGAAGAGAATCACTCATTGGGGCGGAGCCGAGGACTTACACTGCGTTCATCATAAATCCTCTCCACTTCGTCGTGGCAAACTCGGAGGTAATGATAGCGCTAAGGGGGTAGTCACCACCGATACCGATACCCTGCGGCCGTTGTTAGTGGCATTCTGCCTCGAAGTCATCAAACCAGAACTTACCATGATGATACGCCAGAAAACGATGAGGCCGACGATGGAAACAGACGGGGAGGAAGACGAAAGAGCCTGGGCAAGGGTAGCAATGATGATGACCATCAATTCGACACCGTACTGTCACTGAGTTAGCTATCTCCTCTATTTGGCAACGTCAATGAAGCTGCGAGCGCCTACCATCTTCTTACGACCGACGATATCGGCCAGAACACCGAATCCGACCTGACCAACAACGGTGCCGGCGGAGGTAGCGACCTTGATAGCGGTGTCGTGCTCAGCAGGAAGAGTGCCGCCGAAGTACACTATGCCCAGCATGGAGGTGACGAGACCGATGGTGAAGATATCGTACTGGTGCCTAGTCAGTCTCGACCAATTCGTCTGTTCGTAGGACAACGTACCGAATCGGTAAAGAAACCAATACCAGCGACAACGATGGCACGAACATGGTACCAGCCGAAAGGCGCCTTGTCGATCTCGGCCAAAGCAAGGCGACGGCGCTCGTTGGCGTCAGCGACGTGAGCGAAGTCGTTGTTGAAGTTATGGAAGGCTGCATTTCCTCCCGAGGTCTTGTTGTGCTTGATGTCGGCACCGGTCAGCTCGCGAGGAGCGGCGGTGTCCACGCCCGCGGCGTGCGAAGGTTCGATGACACCGGCCATTGTGTCGATCTGCTCAAAGTCCGGTTTGACTAAACGAATGGCAAAGTCAGGCCCGAAGAAGAAAGCAGGTTTGGGTGGCTTTGATGACCTGCTGGGAAGGATGAGGGAGGAGCGTGAGGAGCAGACAAACTCAAAGCTTAGGGGGATCGGGGAGTGTGTTTGGCTTATAAGCAGGACACATGTGGGCAAGGGGACTTGGTGCCATCTGAGCTGACAGCCTTCTACAGAGTTACATGCATGGATATTGGCAACGAACACTCTCTAGTGGACCCGGAAGATGCGACGACTAGGAACACCGACGAGGAAGAAGACGAAGACATGGTTCAGAATCAGCCTCCACCTCGGAGACTACGTGCTAGCGTAGAGGTCGGGACGAGATGGAGGGATTCCAGGGAGGGCTGTTGTACCTCGTAGGGCGAATGACAAGCGTCAAAGAAGTGCGAGAGTATCGCCTGGACTATGATCCTTTGGGTCACCTCTAAGAGAGCGAGACATCGGCTATGGATTCGACAGCAGACAAGACAAGGTTCGAAATGGAAATGGCCCCCCACCCGGGGACCAGCAATATGGAGACCGCCGACGAGGACCAAGAGAGGAGCCAGGCGATAGAAGAGAGGCGTGGAGGGCAGCAGGGATGTTTGCTGCGCAGGTCTGGAATTATGGTTGTGTGGAACCGTGCTCGGCGACTGATTGGGAATGGCGCGTGTTTTTCACTTTTTCCCAGACTTCGTCTCTCGTCTCTACTTTGGCTGAACTTCCAGACCGCGACTCCCGACTGGCTGCCCGCCCATTTCACTTTCTGCCTCTTACACCGGCTACAGAAAGATCAAACAAGACATAGGGCGTCATCGGACTTTTCGCGAGGTCGAGTCGCATTGAAAATGCTGGCTGAAGAGAGGTCTAGACAAGCTGTCCAACTCATACTGGAAGTCGACACTCACAGTAGAAGTGAGTTGTAACGGCCCGCTCATGTCAATGTTGTTCGGGAACCAATAGGCACGCTCGCTTTGAGAACATGGTCCCTTGGAGGGGCGATGCTAGTCCAGTCGGGGAACGACCAACGACGGTGGCACGCGCGGTACCGCTCTAACAATTTCCGATCTTATTTCCCTTGTCCAGGCCAACCTAGCACCCTCACAACACATCGAGCAGGCTGCAGGCCCAACGATCTGAAGCCCAAGCCGGATTGCAGTCAAGCTTTCTGGGCGCCTCAAACGGGAGACTTGGCTACAGCCGATCATGCTTGGCTACCGGGTGGATTCTCCCAGTGGCAGCTTGGCAACGCGAAAGCAGTTCATCCAAGATGGCCAAGTCTAAGACGTAAACGTGGAACAAGAAGACAAATGGCCCGCCCCTCGTCGCTGTCGATTTCCGAGGCTTGATGACGCCGAATGTTTCATTATCGCCGAGAAGTAATTCTCTGCTGGCATATCATGGCAGGCTTTTGCAGCACGTTGGCCGCCATTCCACGTCGGAACCGTCCATACTCTAGCCTATTCCACATACCGAACGCCCGATACGAAGACCAATCAGTCCAGCAAGACAAGGGGTACCACGGTTTGCCTGACTGACATGTCCCTTCCCGCCGGAGGTACTTCCCTTCCTCTCCAACTTCCAGCATCAGCCTAGGCCCGGCCGACCCTCCCGTGGATTCAGCCCCGGGGTGGTGGTGAGGGAGGTGGGCTTTATGTTTCCGTGCTACGGCCCGCCAATCACATTGCGAGTCGGGAGCACGTTGCGCTACGGCTCTACCCAGCAACGACATTCGATGTCAATGGCTTTGGATTTCAGCGCTGGACTTTTTTTCATCTCTTTGTCTTGACGAAAATCGGCCAAACTAGGAGGTTTTGAATAGTGACTGCTTTATGAAATTGACGGCATGTCGTTGAAGAGAATGAAATACCCTGGTGCGGCTTGCATTCCTGGCTGGAAGCTCCCGTGGTCTGCCGCTGCTTGGCACTTGGCATCGACAACCTTTTACCGCTGAGGTTGCGCGATGATGCCACCGCCAAGAAGGAGGCCAAGCTTTCGGGCGTGCGACGACGACGCCCGTCTGGGAATGTCGATATTGCCCTTCCCCAACAATGAAGGGAGTCCTGCAAAGCTGTCGCGTGCCCGTTGTCTCATTACGGACGGGTCATTCAAGTCTGTTCGCTGGAGACGTAAAAGTCAAGTCTCGTCAAACCACGTGCTCGGACGGCGTTCCCTGTTGGCAGACCTGTCGTAGCCAGATCGACGTCGCCTCATTGAAGGGGTTCATGTATGACACCGGGGCGCGTGTTGCATGGCGTTACGCGTATGTATCCTCTCTATTCCGGCTCTCTGGTACAGATATCCTTGCCGCTGTCGCATGGCGTATTTGCGCACAGGACCTTCAAGGCTCAATGAGACTTTGAAATACCTCTCTAAGTAGCTGGAGAGAGCGAGAAAGATAGCATATCGTCAGTCTGATGAGTTCAAGATCGCTCGAACTCTGTACGAAGTTAAGCCCATCGGCAGCGTTCGATTGCCACCGCTATCAAAAGTCGGCCGTACCTAAGTTTTCACCAAGATCATTCTAGCCATCAGTCTCAACACCATCTTCCGACCTGTCGCACCACGCCTCCCGATCCTACTGATCAATTCGGTTGTTCATCGCTACGATAGGGAAGTATCCCATCTACCCGAAAAAAGCCCAACCCCAATTCTCTCTCTTCCACAGTCGTCAGCCGGGACGCTACGGACCCCCAGCTAGTCCTGTCCAGACCTGCCAGACTAAGCCAGGGTCCGGTTCCCAGTCGTCTCTGGGGTGGGATCCAGATGGGGGGTCCATAGTCTCCATTCGAACCAATGGAGCCCCAGATTTCACACACGTGGGTGGAACCGTTCGTCCCCTTGGCTCGGGACGTGTATTTCGACCTCGACGCGCAGCCGCTGCTGCGGGAACAAGTCGTTCTCGGTCGCCCAAAGGAGTGCTCAAAAGTGCCAAAGTCAGTCCGACTTTTTTTGCTTCCAGGACACATACGATTTCATGACACGAAGAATCGCCCGCGGCGCGCGACGGCTGGCTTGTCCGGTCTTCGCGGCTTACCATTTTTGGGCGTTTGTCCGGGCGTTAGCTCGGTACTTGTGTCACGCATGAAAATGGCAGGGAAGGGAAAGTTTCCAACTACCATTTGCACTGCTCTGTTGGGCAGTCGGACTTCATTTCTAGACACGCCTGATGTGATGGAGCAGCCAACCCAATGTCGCTGATTTGCGCTTACCCTACTCGATGATCTTCAGTATGTCATGCCGCAGTCGAGCTAGAGAAAGCTGCCCGACGTACCCTTTCCCTGAGCTCACTTAATACCTCGCTCCCACTGTGACATGTCATGGCACTTGTTAGCGCGGGGGTTGGCTTTCAATCCATTTTTGACACCATTCTCTGAGGAGACATCAGGCTCGTCGATAGTGGCACATGACGTCGAAGAGAGTTCTCCACTGGTTCAATGCTATGATAAGGCCGTTTTCCCTCACGAGGTACTACATGAGACGAAGAAGAAGAAGAAGGAGGAGGAGGAGGAGGAGGAGGAGGAGGGCTTAACTCCGATATTTGCTCCAATCTCGAAGATCTTGTAGGCAAAAAGAACTAAAAAATAATAACAAGATGGACTCTTCAACTCTTAGGAAACATATGTCATGTGAGCCTCAGATTTCTCAAAAAGTCTTTGCAAGATAGCCATGAGGTTATACTGAGTCCCCCGCTCAAATGCCGAACTATTTCCTGAAAAACAGGGGGCTTCAGTAATCCGTCGTCGACTTCTACATGGAAAAGAGGAACGTAGGTCTATTTTTGAGAGATCGGCCTTTCCTCATTCTCTTTTTCGCCTTTCTCGCATTACCTGTGGATCTGGCAATGCAATATGATGACCACAACGCGGACCAGAATCCTCATTCATCAATGCAGACCACGTGGCTCGGCATAAGCATTTACAGATCCCATAAGTCCGAGGAGGGAAGGCTGCTTAGACGCCTTTCCCTTCAGGAGATTTTCAGCCTCGGCCTGTTTCACTGACGAGGGTCGAGGATCTTCGAGCTAAAGCTCTAGTATGATCACACGTACATGCATTTGGGTCACTCTCGTCAGAAATCTTTCTGAAAGTTCTGATGAATAATGATTACACATAAACGCTTGAGAAGTGCAAATCCTCCTACCTGCCTTGGTGGATGGCACTGGATGCTACACGTAGAAGACCTAATACCCACCCACGACTTATGAGAGGACGCTTTACTCGATGATCTTTGTTGCCATTTGATGCGGAGACACTGGTTCGGAATCCCCGAAATTGAGATGCGAGTCATCGAACAGCTTACACGCTGGCATTTCTGGAAGCGAAACAACACGATGGCCCAATGTGCAAGGGTCATACTAACACAAAAGTAAGTCTCACTACGCCTCATACTCCCAAAAGCAGCGGTCTGTGTATATGTAGAAGTATATTCCGGTGGAAAAGGAGAAATACAAACTTCTCAAAAGTGCCTGAGGACACGCCGGTAAGGACCTTTATGGCTGTACTGCAGGAAACTCATCATCTCTGAGGAGATGAGGTCTGTTATGAGCTGTACTTTTCTGGGAATATTCAGCGGGCTTTGGTCATGACGAATGGCTGGGGACGAGGCTGTCTTGGAAGTCTGCACACGACTGCTGAGAACGAACTCGCAAGGTTCGTCGACGAATCCAAGCTTTTTTGTCTTACCATCCGCTTTACTCGATTTTGTCTTTGAAGAATTTCTCAGCCTTCCTCCCGAGTGTCGGCCTTTGCCAACGGAGACGAAGGGTTTAGTCTCCTCAAATGAGAGACACGGCCTCGGCAACACTGTCGGATCCTTATCCTGTGAAAACAAACTCAACTCTCCATCCAGTTCTAATCTCATCTCTTGAAAATGTTCCGCTATCATTTCAGTTACTGTGCTACAAGGCTGAAGAGCTAATAGGCTGAACTGTTCGCATTGATCCTTGGAACTTTTGCAGTGTTTTTAAAAGTAGGCAATCAATTGCAGGCTCGTATCAAGATATCACGGAGTCTTCATTTGATGGACCAATTCTAGAACCATGTTAGAGCTGTTTCTGTCTGGATGAGATATTGCAATGGGAACTTTTGAATACATGAGTGAATGAATTTGTGCTCCAGCAAACAGTAAACAGTAACATGCTTCATTTCAATGATATCGGTTTCAATCAGCGTCTTGATCTGCTCACCTTTTAATCGGCATATGAGGAGGTCTTCGTAAAAGACGGAGCACGGATGGGACTTCTCTCCCACGTTATATCGAGAGCCCGAGTGCAATTATGCCTGACCTTCAATTTCAATGATGGACGCAAGACAGACTAGAAAGCGGCATTAAATGGACCTAGTATGCTTTTTAAATGGTCAGGATGCTCGTTGACAGTCTACTAGAAAAATCTGAATGCTCTGTTGCAGTCAACCTTTCCCCAGAATCCCGGAAGAAAGGCATGCTGCTGGTCTTGGGACTGCGAACGGGCAGGCCTTTGGTTCTTACTCGTTTCATTATCTTCTCAAAAATCCTTGATACTGAGCTGACAACTCACAGTGAGTAAAGCTCGATAATTGAGTTTATCATGATCTGCCTACCTTGCTCTACGGATTCGGCACTATTCCCCAAACGCTCAGGATAGGTAATCAAACCGGCAGCCAGGGCTAGCCAAGAACATCTCATCCACGCATCAACGTCACAAGAACAAAGCGCAGTCAAGCCCAGGACATATCGTTTGTGCATCATTATATTCCTCCTCACTACTAGAAACCACTCATCTCAGGCCCAAGATCATGAAGCAGCCGTCGAGTCGTGTTCCATTATAAGTCCATCGCATGATTTCATGAACAAAAGGTATCAAATGTCCAGAAATCCCAGGAAAAATCCAAAATACCCTCCCAAGTCTATAAGGCTTCCTTGTCTGGTTCAGCAGCTTGTGAAACGAAGCAGCCCATCCCAAACCCAATTTCGGAAAATTACCAAGAATATAAAACAGTTGAATCTGTTGCCTGGTTGCGTAGATCATGTCCACATCGCAAGTTAAACGAACCGAAAAAAGATGTTGTGAAGCCGCAAAAAAGAAGAAGAGAAGGCATCACCGTCCTCCCTATTTCCTCATCCCCTCCTCATCCACTCTACACCAAAACCCGCATCACTCATTCACTCACACACCACCACACAACGCACATCTCTCAGTACGTCATATCAAACTCCTCCCTGACATCAAAGTCCATGCCCACATGCTTGGTCCGCAGGTGACGGACAAAGTTGTCGCGGCGGTTATACACGTGCCCCGTCTTCGCCTTTCGGCAACCGGGGACGCGGCACCTGTAGCCCCCGCCCGCGCCGTCGCCGTCGAGCGTCTCGTGCGTCTTCTTGTGCCGCTTCAGGTCCTTCATGGTCGCAAAGGCCTTGTCGCAGTTCGCTTCGTCGCAGAGGTACTCCTTGATGTGGTACCTCTCATGTTTGCTGATGATGAAGAATTTTGATGTCAGTTTCATGGACTTTTCTCACCATGCGTGAAGTTGATGAGTTCTCTTGTCAATTCCGAACAAGAGAGAGAGAGAGAGGAAAGAGCGGGGGTTTGTGTGTGTGTAAGGAAAGTAGGTGAGATTTACGTCAAATCACTAGGTCTGCGAAAGACCTTGCCACAATTCTGCCAACGGCATTCAAAACGTAGTCGCGAAATGTCGATACCGGCGGCAGCGGGCGTCGCGACGCCGTTGCTGAACCCGCTGTCGCTGGCCTTATCGCTTTCATTTTCGTTCCCGGGGTTTAGGGGGCTTCGAGTCGGGCTCAGCGTTTCCGAAGAATAGGAGGGGGTGTCGAGTGGACACTCCATGACACCAAGTGCCATAGGTGATCTCCATGATGAACACGGCAACGAGCCGATGATCGGAGGAGGTGGAATGGGTGGGTCGTCGACCGAATCTAGTTTCAAGATGGAAGTCGTCGTCTGGTCGGAGTAGTATTCGCAGTAGCAAATGGTGTTTCCGAGTAACACGCAATAACAAGAGTCAACAAGGTTGGGTTGTATATTGGTGTCTAGGTAGAACGCCACCGTGGCAGAGTGGGAGGGTTTTCCTGGGTGAGAAGTGTTGAAGACCTGATCCGATGATCAAGGCTTAGACCGACCCGTTCGAAGGGGGGAAAGGGTCGTCGGAAATGGGGAGGACGGTTAAGCGGTTAACAGATCCAAAGGCAACAGCGAGCCCTGGGGTGTAAGGGTGCTTTGACCGAGTCAAAGAGTAGGCGGGGAAATTCCCCGCATGCGGCTCTCAGAATAGAAGATGATTCTCCGGGGAGGCTACCAAAAAGGTATTGGTGTTTTGTGACGAGCAGTTGAGGTTGAAGCGTGAGGATGCTATCGGGCCATTCCGTTAGGTATGTGAGGTTGAGATGATTCTCCTAAAGCGGTTTGCTTGGAGTATCTAGATTCGTTTGCTGTCGAGGTCCGAGAGCAGGAAGTAGTTGAGATGAGATGGGATCACGGTCGAGGTTATATAAATGGAGATTGAGTTACGTCCGGGTTGCTGGATTCAGACAAGCTTCTCGGGATGAGGCTGATGGCGGCGCGGGGTGGCGGGATTGAATGTTCCGGGTTTCTCGGTAGTCAAGGATTTGCAGACGTGGGGGAAAGCGGAGAGTCGAGACCTTTTTGACTCACGGACAAGGAGCCGGGCCGTGGCGATACTTAAGTAAAGTGAGCGCAGATTCGACGTGCTGGATCTGGCGGACACGGCGGGGCGGTGCATCGGAGAGGAGGGGGCCTCAAAAGTTTAGAGGCTAGCAGTGACTACCATTCGCTAGCAAAGACTGGCATTGGTTCTGATAACGCAGGGTGGGCAGCATATTGGAGCATGTTGGAGTGAAGATGAGCCAATTGGAGATGATCGGAACGTCCAACTGGGGCTCGCCGTTGGTCGGTTTGGGCAACCTGCATATCTGCCCAGCACTCACACGTTGGGCTCCGCTCAACCTTAGTTTTGGCGCGCCATTATTCGCCCAACCCATCCTTCAATGTCATCTCTCACCGAGCTTTGGACAGAAGGTGGGCACGAGACCAGACTACCAAGAAGCCGCAGCAATACTCCTTCCTGACGGAAAGTGCTCCCAAGGACACAAGATCCAAGATGATGGAACCGAAGACAAGAGTGAGGTTCCAAAGAGCAGAGAAAACTGATAGAGTACAAGTCTGCAGCTCAACCAGATGGTCGGAATTCCATCCCATCATACCTTTCAACGGCTTCTGCCCGAGAGCACCCTTTTCTTCAACGATTACCAACGTTAGCGACAACCTCAAGTACTAGCCTGTTCAAAATACGCACGTCATTGGTCGTTCGCTTCGCCTTGCCCCTGGCATGAATCAAGCTCATCTGATAATCTCGACGCGGCCATCTTCCGCCGATGGCCTCTTGGCATTGGGCTCCGCCTCCAGTATTTCCTCGGCACATTCTCCAGAACGGAGCGTACTAGACGACTGCTAGTTAACGCGAAGCTGACCTAGCCGGAAGAAATATCGCGAGCTTTGCGCTGTTAGTAAAAATCATGTTCAAGGGAATGTTCGCAAATAGCGCCACATGCGAGACTGGATCGTATTCCTGAGCATTCCGACTGCAGACAAGTCTAGGCCAGGCCGCGTGGGCAGCAACATCTGCGGCTCCGACCACAGGCCCATCAATAGTGCGCATCTTAATGCTCCGTCTTGAAGCTAAGCATCCGGGTCCCCACCACGATACTCGATGGTGGCGGACGACGGGCAGCAACAGAAACCTCACGACCGCTTGGCCGGAAGACTTCCAAATGAGGAAAGCCGAGGGTGCGTGAACGACTAGATTAATGATGCTGACGAGAGTTATGAAGTTGCTGTGGTAGTAGCTTCATTGATTCAAGTGAAACGACCAAGTCTAGACTGACCGTGGCGTATCATCGTACAGGGCGACGAAGACGGCGGCCCTGGATGGAGAGACGCCTCGGCTGCATTCTTCTGCTCCACGGGGTTCCAGAGTTGGCGATTCTATTGATGATTTTTCTTGCGAGGGGACCTGGCAGCAGTAGAGGTTTTGAATGCATCGAAATCCCAACGCCGAGGGGGACGTTCGTCACGTGGTAATCGAGCCAAAGGCCAAAGAGGCGGGGGAGCACATGGGGTGTCAATGACTGCCATGCCCAGCGGTCTACAAGAGACCAGCCTGTCAAGGGTCTTGCGTCTAATGTAACGTCTGGACATGTTCCTGGGCCGGCGACTCTGGCAACACAGTCGGATGCCGAAGTTGGGCCGGCACGATCGTGGGCATGGCCATGAAGCATCGCGTTGTTTGTAATGATAATCAGCAAACGCCATGCTAGTCTCGCTCGGACGTTGCATCGCATGCGATGCGAGTGTTGTCGTTGTCTCGTGGCGATGCAATATGTGATATGTGAGGGCAGCAAATACCGTCATCCACGACCGTGATGCTTCACGTAGGCAGCTCTGGCAAGACGGCGAGAGAGACGGACAAAAGATCATCGCTGTCTCGTGGCCTGAAGAGACTCGCGATGCATATTTGAAGTAACGTAAGAACAAGTGCCAAGCGCTGGTGACTTGAGCATCATGACTCGGGTGGTACAGGTTTGGAGGTGAAAGTTGTGGTTAGGGCCGGCATCGCGTGGGCGCCATGTCTCTGACTCGGTGTCGATCCATGTCTTGCTGAGATCTCGCGCGCCGTTGCACCTTGTTGGTCGACAGGTGATCTAGAAGATATCTCTCAAAGGTTCCTCGGCCGCAAATTAGGGTAGACATATCCTGGGTGGAGGGGAGACCGGAAGATGGGCAGATGTGAGATGATACGCACCAAAAGGCGTTCACGATCTGGCGGTCTGATGGTTCGAGTAGGGCAGGGTAGGATGACGGAGTACTTGGAGTGTAGCAGTTGTGACGTTGAGAATTTCGGAGAAATGGTGTGGACATGCGCGCAAAGGAGTCAGACGCCGCTTGGGAACGATGTTGACAATGCGGCCGTCATTCATGAGGGCAAACTGTCGGAGCAAAGAGCAGCCGAGACAAATAGCGTCACTTCAGACAGGCAGGTAGGTTGCCTTCCGGTCCGTCTTGGCTTCCGCAAAAATATGTCCGTCGAAAGTCACGGGAAACGTGGGAAATAGGAACGGCAGAGGGAATAGGAAAGGATGTTCCTTTCCGCCTTGGCCTGTGACCTTCCTGCCAAACATTGTTCTTTCCGGCGTGAATGAGGGGCAGTTTCCCTTCTTTGTTTCAATGTCCTCCCTTGACAACTTAACTTAGGTAATACGAATGCTTACCTGATGAGGGGCAGAGACTAAGATACCCACTTTTTGAGCCCCGCGTCTCGAACATTGAAGTGGTCGGAGGAAAGCGATTCCTGTTTGCCAGTTCCCCCTCATCAACACCTCCCTCGGTCATTGTTTTTCTGTCTCATCCACATGCCATTCAATGACTTCATCTTCACCGACGTTACTTCGGAGAGCCAAGATTAGGTCGCTCACATGGTCATTGTTTTCTTTCTCCATTATTGTTTCTTGATGGAACATTGAGAAATCTGAGCGCATTGTCCCCGTCGCAAGGCAGTAAACAATCAACCCCCGCATCCGTTCCCCAGATACATGGTTCCATCATGGAAAATCGCTGCAGAACGTCACAATAATCCAAGTTGATCAACCCAACGCTAGACCGCCTTCAACAATGCAAGCATCGCATATCCTGGCCACCTGACCAATGGAAATCCGGGGAAAGTAGGGACGGGAACGGGCCCTCTTTGCCAGTCCGGGGCGTACGATGCAGTATGCAGTCCCGGTCCCTACCGCCGGCCGCTTTGGAATAGCTGTTTTTGCGGGGTTGTGTTCACAATCAATCAGCTGGTGGTTCACCTCACACCATACGCCTGTTCTCCCCTCTCTTTCTCTCACGCACACTCCCTTTTATGGTAACACAATCTAGCGTTGTTTACCGCAAGTTGGGGGGGCACAGATCCCCCTGACGGCTACCTTACCCCAACTTTCTAGAAGGAAAAAAAAGTTGGAGATGAGCCAACTTGGCGCGGGGTGTAAGCCGTGGTTTGCGAACGAGTGCAGAAAAAAGGAGGCCACGAGAGCCAGCCACCTGCCAACCAGACAGAGAGTCATGAGACCAGTCTTGGACGCATGGTGTGCGATGGCCCCTTCCCCTTTGCGTCCTTGGCGTCCAGTGCCATGATTCCGTTCGTAGGAAGTACGAAGTACTCTCCCGTCCTTTGGCAGCAAGCAGCCCAGTTGAGATGATGGCACTGGACATCCTGTCCGTCAGTCTGCCGCTGCGGCCTGCCATTGACTTGCCCCGACGCTGGTGCAACCGCTACTCAGCCAGCGGAGGCCAAGCTAAGCCAATGTCACTGCGACTAGTTCGCCGTTGCCGTTTTTTTTCTTCCTTTTTTTCTGTCTACTGCTTGCTGTTTGGCTGTGGGCTACCTACTGCATGTTGTGAGAGACACCTCCCGAGGTTGATTCACCTTGGTTTGCTTCTTCGTGATTAAATACCCGCTGTCCTCGCTCCAGATCCGTCATTTCTATTCCCGCTCTTCTTTAGCTCGTTCGTGAACGAAGAACTATACCTTCTGTCTCTCTCCCCATATTGTCTCACCCCCGGATTTCTTGGTGTTCCCTCTCAGCTGAACTACCTTGCCTTTTTGTGCCTCAGACTTACAGTTCATTCAATTACCTTTACACAAGCTTCGTCCTAACGTCACTCTACCTTTAAGCTGACACGCTGCGCTACTCAACCCCATCCGAAGTCTGTCGATCAGGGAACAGCACCCCCTACCCGCCGCCGCACCGTTTGGCCGAAACCTGGACACTGCCCAGGTGGTTCTCTCTTAAGGACCGGGGAGCCGAACTCTTGCAACCATGAGGCAGCATCTTTTCTACACATCGCTTCTGTCGACACTGCTCGCAGCACCGTCATACGCTCTGCCCGGCTTCTTCTCCGATGCAGAACGCGCCCATTTCTCGTCAGACCTCAAACGCTCAATAGACCCCGAATCTCCAGCAGCAATCATGGCGAGACAAGCAGCCGACAGATCCGGCCGCTGGCGGCCCCAAATCCACTTCTCACCACCCGCCGAATGGCTTAATGACCCAAACGGCCTCTTTGTCGACTCGGATGGTGTCTGGCACATGTACTACCAATGTGAGTCTTTCTCATTGCCGCCTTTTCCCCTACCCATTTCAATCCAACTATTCCCCAACTCCCCAAACGCAAAGTACCCTGCTGGAAACACCTCCCAAAGCCGCGGTTACCGATTTTGAGTTGTGCAACACATTGCGCAGGTTCCGGGCGAGCGGTTACCAATGTTTGCCTTGTGCAATGTCAATGGCGCGCCATTCTGCCCGTTTCATTGGATCTGCATTCTGCACACGTGCTAGTTCCCGTTGGCGTGAGGGTTGCGCCTCTGCCAAAGACGGAAACATCACATGCGCGATGATGAGCGTTGCAATTCCACCCCCGCATTTTGGCGCGGAATGAGACACACCGCATGCTTTCCCTACCCTCCTACCTTGCCGTAATTACATGCTCTTCTCCCTGCGATGCATCTCAATCTGGCATGCCATTTGTCACTGCTTCGATCAGACTATGCCAAGCTTGGCCTGGCTTTGATGTTTCAAACATCTTCAGAACTTCACCGCTGACTATTTTGACTCAGATGCCGACAACGTCGCGGGCGATGGCGTGAAGAACTGGGGCCACACGACGGCCACCGAATTCTACAATTGGGTTGATCATCCTGTTGCCATTCCCGCCACTGCGCGCGATGGCTCCATCTGGTCAGGAAGCGTCGTCGTCGACAAGAACAACACGTCTGGCTTCTTCCCGTCTGACAAGACAAGCGGAAAGGACAACATCATTGCCTACTATACTTCATGGGAGCCTGATCAGGAATCCCAGCATCTTGCGTGGTCATACGATGGCGGCGAGACTTTCAACCAGTACGAGAACAACCCGATCATTTCGCTCAACAGACACGGTTTCCGCGACCCCAAGCCCTCGTTCCACCATGAGACCAACACCTGGGTCATGGTGCTTTCCCTCGAGAGTGAAGTCGCCTTCTACACCTCCACCAACTTGGTCAACTGGACGCAGTCATCCATCTGGAATCCTCAGCGCAACATTGGCCTGATTGAGTGCCCCCAATTCCTCCAGATCCCCCGGAAGGACAAGTCTGGAAGCATCGTGGGCGCCAAATGGGTTCTGACTCTCAGTCTTGGAGGCGGCGGCCCGACTGGCGGTGCTGCAGTCAAGTACATCACCGGCGAGTGGGACGGCACCACCTTCACCCCAGATGTGCCCGCCAGCCTCGGCTCGCGGAGAGGAATCTTCTCGCGCCAGGACACCTTCTCCATCTACGACTTTGACTTTGGCCCTGACAAGTACGCCACCGCCTTCTTCCATTTCCAGAACCTCAACGACGCCAACCAAGATGCATACTCCGTCTCATGGGCAGTTGACGCTACGCTCTATGGGTGCTGCACGCCGACCGACCAAGAGGGATGGCGTCACTGCATGGGTGGTGTGCGCCGCCACTGGCTGGACTCTAACACCAACCGACTCATGTCAGCACCGGCTGGCGACCTGTCCAAGCTCGTGAGCACGACGTCCGGCTGGAACCCCATTCTTGACGAGAAGGACGTGTCGGGCATTCAGGGCAGCAGTGCCGTCATCCGCGACTACAACCCGGCCGTAGAGTGGACCTTGACCGTCAAGATGGCCAAGTCTCTCCTCCAAGAAGGCTCGACGGCCTCAGCTCAGCTGGCCTTCCAGGGCTCTCAGTCCAACGGCACGGAGCAAGTCTCCCTCGGTTTCGACTTCACTGGCACCTCCAACAGCGGGGCACCCACGGCCAGCCTCAACATTGGTCGCGCGAGCGCAGTGTGGGATAGGTCCGGCACTTTTGGCGTCTCCAACGTCCAGGCCCTCGAGGCCGCCTCGAGCGAGGGCTCCAGCGGCAACGTCGAGTTCCAACTGCACGGCATTCTCGACCGCTCCGTCCTCGAGGTCTACGTCAACGGCGGCGTCGAGGCTGGCACCATGCTCTACTTCACCGACAAGCCCCTGGACGGCATCGTCCTCTCCCGCGGCACGGGCACCAACGACCAGGGCATCACCTTTGACTTCAAGGCCGTCGCGCTCAAGAGCTCCTGGGGTTCGTACAGGGAGAACTCCGCCTTGCAGAGCACGCAGGACAAGTGGAGGACGGAGGAGCTGTGAGGAGCAGGTCCGCTTGATATCCCTTGTGATTAGAGATCTTGGTGGCTTTGTAGACGTCCTTCCAAGCGACCTTCCATTTTGGGGGACGCGGAAGAGGGCGGAGAAGCGGAAGCGATGCGAGACTTTTCCTAATCATGTTGGACATGTGGCATGAAGAGAGATTCTAGAGCTCAGACAGGAGGGCTTTTCTTTTTTTGGGACCAGTGTTTCCACATCATTCTAGGTGGTATTAGTATGAATTATGATTTTTATCGTTAACTCTCATCATCTTGAACGTGTTTCTTTGTCGTGCGTAAGTCGCCTCTAGATATGCTACCCCACGGCTCCCTGTAGCTATGCCCACATGCTGTCCTCATATCGGGCCCCAGAAGAATAACCCGAGAGCTCACAAGATTTGATCAATCTTCGGTCTCGCATTTTGTTCAATAGAGCCACGTAGTGTAGTCACTGGGGAAGTGACAAGAAAAGGGAGCGGCATCACGCAGTCAAGCTTCCATTCTCACCCGTACTCTAGAAACCGCATGAACCATACGTACCACACAGACACACACAAAGAAACATACAGCCCGCAAACACAAGAAACGGGGAAAACGACGAGTGTTTCAATCAAAGAAGCTCCCCCTCCCCTCTAGCAAGTATATCCATCTGAAAACATGCTCTGCGTCAAAACTTGGGATGCCAAGCCTAAAGCGAAAAGTCAAAACGGCCCTCCTCCTTCACCTGTGAAATGGTCTACCTTACCAAAAAAATGTGTGTGCAGCGGGAGGACTCAATTCATTCCACTCTACGGAATTTGTGTCAAGCTAATGAAGCTTCTAGAACTCCTCTCACAAGCCATGTTTGTAGTGACCGTGGACATGGGACACAGCGTGTTCTGAATTCAAATGGATCTCAATATTACATGCGTTGTATTTTTGGTTCACACTAATAATCCAGACAGACTTAACCGAGCTTATTCAAGCTCCAAGCCCCACGCTCCCCTCTCCACTGTCAAGAGCATTGCCCCCCGTGTCTCTTTTACGCCTAGTACCCGTCCCGGAAAAAAAAAACTAGTGAGAAAGAAAAAAGAAGCCTTCTTTTGCTCATGAACTACTAAAATGTTGACAAAGTCTATATCGTACCGTATCCAGAGAGCTTGTAAGAAGCACTCGCTCCGTCGGTGTGCACACAATGGCCGCTCCATGCCATCAGGGGAAAATATCTACCAGTTCAATGCTGCCAATACAGCCTTTATTGTCGTGTCTCGTTGCCCCTCTGGTAGTGGCCCAACCTAAATCAGACCGTTCGACTCCTTGCTCAAAGTCTCCCTCAAGTAGTTGCTTTGGCATCGTCAAACAGAGTATCGTCAAAGGGGGGTTACAAGAAAGAATACAGGAAAGGAAAGAAATGTAGGGGTATATGAGGTTAATAACCGAGTCCGGCAACAGCGGCCACAACTTCACGTCGTAGCATCCGCTTGACGTCCGCCTCCCGATCTGCTTCCCTGAGGGCGTCGTTGGGATCGACCTTCTTGTCACCTTCATTCTTCTCGTCCTTATGCTCCTCCTTGTGTTCTTCCTTCTTTGGCACTTCCTTGTTTTCCTTGGGCGTAGCAATCTTGCTGGGGTCAGCCTTGGGATTGCCAGGGCTCTCCGTCTTGTCAACGGGAGCGTGCTCGGATTTGAGCTTGTCCTTCTCTTCGCTCGACTTGTCTGCCGCCAGCTTGTCCGCCCGCTGATCATCCTCCAAAGCGTCATCGTTGATCGGCTTGACCTTCTTGGCTTCGCCGTTGTTGATGCTCGCCAGGGCTGCGCTATCGAACAGGTGGGCAGCATCAGCACTGGACATGGCATACCTGGTCGAGTTGAGAGGGTGGCCGAGAATGGAAGCCTGGGCGTCAAGCTTGTCGTAAAATGCCTTAGTAGGCGCTTCCTCCAAGTAGTTGAGACGATGGCCGCAGCGGGCACCGAGGACATCGCGGATCTTGGGGTTGGAGCTGCAGCAGTGGCCCCAGCAGTCACTGATGTGGTCAATGATAGACCGGTACGGGTTGCGGCGACGACTCTGGTCGATGATGCGGACAATGGTAGGAATTGCCACCTCGTGGAAGACTCCGAAGCCAGCAAAGATTTCGGAAAGGAAGATGTAATCGGCGAAGAACCGTCTCGGAATGTAGTAAATATCACTCCAGCCAACACACCACTCGTCGCGTCTGATCTTGTACTCGAGGTCAAAGTTGTCGACGACGGCGGCCGCGGCCATGGCGGTGCGGTGGAAGTCCTGGCCCCATCCCCACCAGTTGTAGTTCTTGGTGTCGGTAAGGCACATGTACTCGGGTCCACCGTGGGACGGCGGGGCAGTGTCGATGATGGCGGGGAAGTGGATGTTGTATGGGTTCATACCCGTCCATCCAAGAGGGTCAATCCAGGCATCGAAGTGGTAGTACATTAAACCGTCGATCTCGGGTTGGGTATCGAGGATAAGCTTCATAGTACGGGACACCTGCTTGTAGACGGTAAAGGTTCCCGGGAATTGATCGTGGGTAAGGTTGTGGAACTCGGGATCCTCCTCCTTGAACATGTTGGGCATAGAAATGTGCACGGTGTGGAAGAACGGCTCGTACTTCTGCAGCATCGGAACGCGCTCCGGACGAGCAGAGTTCCACCGAATCATGGCCATCGTGTTCTTGAATGGCGACTCGATCTTGCTCTCGCCGCCAGTGACAGGCTTCGGTCCGGATGGCGCAGATGGAGCGGTTGCTCCCTCCTTGGCAAAATCGGGCATCTTGGCCTCGGACATGGTGAGGAATGCCACGATAACAACGGTGATGAATGTGGCTACGGCGAGAAAGACTTTGTTGAACTTTCTCGCAACAGCTGCCATCTTGGCGAACAACGACATCTTCTGAGGCTCGTTGGTCGCGGCAGCGTTGGGGTCCTTGGGAGGCGGGTTGTCCATGTAGAGCCATGATGCAACAAAGACGACGACAGTACCAGGCAGTACGAGGAAGCTGAGCGAGGTGCCAAACAGGATGGGTGAAACGTAGAGGAGAATGCCAGTGGCAACAGCCGTGGCGAAGCACTTGATGACGGCGTCGGCATCTACGAGGGTTAGTACATGTCACTCAGCAAGCGCCGATAGATACTCACATTTGTATACAGCGGTAATGGCAAGGCCAATGAAGACATTGCTGACAATAACCATGATGGCGCCAAAGCTGGTGTAACCTTCAAAGAATCCCGGCTCATCGGCCTTCAACGTCTTGATGACCAAGTGGCACAAAAGGTTCATGGCAGCACCCGCTCCGTAAAGAATCATGTTGTCGGCATGCAAGCTTGAGTCGTCGGTCTTGAGCAGAGCCTGATTGTACACGCCTGATGAGGCACTGAGGAAGACCTGGAAGAGCAAGATGAAGTAGGTGCTGAACGGGTAGGTCGTGCCTGTCGTGGGGTTGTACTGGGTCACCATCAAACCGCAAATCTACTTCGTGTCAGTGACCAGATCCAACATTTGGTACCAAGTTTCGTCCCACTGACCTGCATGAGGATGGCAATCCACTGGATCTTGGAGATCTTGGTGTTCAAAGTCGCAATCATAACCAAGGCGGTGATGAAGGTCACACCGCTCTTGGTGAGTTGAATCGTCCCGGGGTCGGCCATTTTGTAGCTTACAAAGATCTGAAGAAATTAGTCGCAATGAACACAGTTACACAGCATGCGGTGTAGGAATCACGTACCGAGTTGTTGATGAGCACGTAAAAGAGCGCCAAGTTGCAGAAGCCATATCGCACATCTCTGGTAACCTCGCCACGGACGTAGCTCCAATAGGTCCTCACGTCGAGCGGCGGAAGCGGGCCATTGTTTCTCTCAACAATGTTGCCAGTGCTAGACGAGCTAGCACTGCCGTTCAGTCCCTCCTCTTCCCGCTTCTCATCCAAGCTGCTTCTCTCGGCCAAAGGGAGTTCTGTGGCAATGGAGGCATAGCCACTGCCACCGCCCCGAGTTGATGGGCGAATACCATCGGCTACCCTGCGCTTGCATTCGTTGTAGAAGAAGATGGTCGACAATACCATCTTGAGGAACTCGGAGATGGTGACAGACGCCGAGGGAGAAAACGAATAGGATCCGCCTGTCTGGGAAATCTTCATGATGATACCAATGCCAACCTGGATCGCCACCAAGCCAAGGGCAGCAGCGTAGGCGGCATGTTGAGGGCCGCTGGGAATCCAGCTGAGGGGCTTCAGGAAGAGCCCCAGTATGCTCCCGTGTCGTAACATTGTGGGCAATTATCGCCAGCCGCTAGAGGGCGGTTCAGCGAAGAGGCTCGAGGGGGGCGCGACGTAAGATGCGATCGCTGTTCGTCGAGGATTGTGCAAAAAGAGCGTCTCGGTGATTGCCAGTGAGCGAGGAGTGTAGGAAGGTGATGCTCGGATGCAGCGTGCAGCTCGCAATTACAGGCGGTAAATGTGCTGGCGGTGTTCGGTGCTGCAAGCAGGTGGGAAAGGACGTTCTCTGATCGTGTTTAGGTTTCCTGGGTGTGGGGGAATGACGCTCGCTGGGCCGCCGTGTCCGACATGCGTATTCGAGTTGGCAGCTATTCGTCGATGAATTCGTTTGGGTTTGTTTCGAGTCGCAAAGTCGTCGGTTGTTTCCGCCCGCGATGGTCCCAATATCGCGATGACAGGTGGCGCAGGACGGAACCGAAAGAATTGAAAAAAAGAGAGGAATGAAATTACACGGGAAGAAGGGTAGGCTGGAGAGGAATGGGCTGGAATGGATGTTGCATGGGAAGCGAGGTGCCCACGGCGAGCAAGAACGGGGAAGAGAGCGAGCAGCGTCAAGCAGAAGCGCACTGCAGGCAGTCGAGGCAAGGGAAGGCAAGGGAAGGGGGGCCGTGGCCACAGATGGATCCTTGGAGGTGTCCACTCGAGGTTGCTGACATACTTTGGCGAATGTACAGTGTGTGCTACACCTGGTGGAAAAGGGACTTTCGTACAGGTTGCGGGACACACACACACCCACTGAGGTGCTCTTTCCCTCTCTCCGTCGCAGTTGCTCTTTCTCACTTTTTCTCTGTGGTGGGGTCTCTGGGGGAGCCAAGCGATTTTCCAATGAGAAGTCGGATAAGTCCAGGTTCTTGTGGGTCTGTCGAAGAAAATAGCACGAGCTGTCATTGGATGAAGTCAAGACACGGTGCAGCGCCGTCTCGTCTACCAGTGGATGAAAAGCACCTAGGCTGCTGTACAGATGAAGGTTGAGGTACAATTCGTACCTGCCTCGATGCTCTCCTTAGAGAAGGTTGATGATGGCGCACTCACTCTGAAAAGGGGTTACAGCTTGGAGCTGCTACAGCCAGCCAGACTTCAGTGCGGATACACCGTACACAGTAGGCGCCCGACCTTCTGTCTTCACCCGGCTCTCTTCTCCCGTTGACTCTTGCGAGGTGGACACAAACGAGGGGGAACCTTGAGCTTGGCTCTGTTTTCGAAGGGGTCTCCGGAGGGGCCGCACTGTGTCAGAATTAAAGTAGCCGATCTCTGACAACGGGACTCTCAGTACCACGTCAGGCGAGCCGGGACACCGGTGTCACCCAAGTATCGTCGAACCTGCGCTGTCTATGCAGTTCTGCTGTAAGGAGACCAGCTAAATCTTCATGTGAAGAACCCATTGTCAGTATGGCCTCGTCTGATACTCTCGAGATTCAAGTGACATTATGCTGCTATGGAATGATAAGGATATAGCTGTCTCTTGCTTGGGAATGCACTGGTCGATGCTCGAGGAGAAACAGCTGTCTTCGTCTTGCCATGACGCGCACTGCAACCGGTGCCGAAGCTGTTCAAACACGAAACCTCGACATGAAATGTAACGGTACGCATGGTACTCGGTGATTCCCCTACTCCAGACAGACTACAGTGTGTTCAGTGGCGGCAACACCATCTAGTAATTGTCGGGAGGCGATCCAGAGCTGAGAGCAAAGGACAACTGGCGCCGGGACTCCTGAATCCTAAATTTTCATGATTTCGGTTTGTCCAATCTATTCTAACCGGCGCCAATATGTTGATGTGCCACTGCAGGAAGGAAAAAGGGGCTTTCAAAACTCAATCTTATCGCTAGCAATAAAGATTAGGCCAACCAAACTTACGTGGAAGAAATTTCCCAATGACGACGCAAAACTGCCGGGAGATGTGCGTGTCGACCTATCCGAATCAGGTTTGGCCTCCAAGAGAGGCTGATAGTTGCAGCCGCTGAAAGGACGACGGCGATGAGATGCTACACTAGAGGCTTGACGATGTCTTGTAGGTAGCCAACCGCCTTACACTGTTCGTACGCACCCTTTTTGGAGGCTTGGAGCATGACACGAGTAAACGAGCTTCTAGGTAGGTACTGTGTCGATGCCAGATGGGAAGCTGCCCCTTGCTCCGGCTGCGCTTCCCCCTGGGGCTAGCAAAAAAGCACCGTTTCCCACTTGAGGTTCGCGGCGCGCGCAGGTCCCATTTCCCGCCCTCACCCACCTCAGGGCTCGATACGTACCTTTTGCATCCTGGGTCGCAGCCCGCAGGAAGGAGCAACCCTTTTCGCTTGCACTTTTGAGGTAAGGCAGGCAAAGAGTGGGGTCTGGGAACAGAGGATTGGGTGCGCGACTCCGCCACCGAGGTTCGTACAGTGCCCGACATGTGTCCGTTCGTTGGCACAGTACGGCCCGCTCGAGGCAAGGGCGGTCTCACTCATCCGTCACTGGTCAGTGGAGAATCGCATCAACCAGCAATCAATTAGCGTTAATTGGAACCTCTTTCTGAGGGCGCTCAGTAAGATGACGGCCTTTCCAATGACGGTGATGACCTCCAGTCCGGTACGTGGGCGGACTCTGTGCGAATCTTCGATCGTGTTCGTCAGCTTGCGCAATCGTGCGTCCCGTCGCCAATAACACGTTTTCTAGGCGCCGCGACGGCTTCTCAATGGTTGACAATAGCTTTAACGCAGTAGGGCTGCAAGAGATGCTTATTTCGCTCGACATTCCCAAACCCCCTGTCTTTGGAAATTCTGTGCGATAAGACGCAGAGCCAAGTCAGATCGCACGGATGACGGCTATGGTCAAGCAGCTGAAGAATTGCTTGTTGTTCCCTCACGCCGAGCCAACTGTTCCTCGATCAGCGATCAAAAAGAAATACACCCGATGAAATGTCCATCGCAGTGTCTGCGCTCAATCTACGGATTTTGCTTATCAAATTTGATTACTGGCCACTTGATAGAAGGTTTGGTGTCGGTATTTCCGCCCTCAATCTGCTCAGTCTGTACGGATAATACCTTACCTATCTTATTGCTCTGAATTTCATCCAACCCCGATTAGATGAGTGCAGAAGAAAAAAGTCGGTTCGTATCCGGGCACTGGGGCACGCCTACCTAGGAACCCTGCATGCATGTGGTCTGGATTCTGACCAGTGCCAAAAGAGAGGTACGAGAGGAAAGCACGGAGCGGAGTGGTGGAAACTGAAAAGAACGTAAGCGCACCGTCCCCATGTACCTGCCGTGTGCGACGTACGTTACCTTACGGTTTCCTGCCATCTAATTGAGATTCTTATACAAACTCAACCACCACTCCTATAACACTCCAGTTCGACTACCTACAAATCACCACGTTGGCCAGAAACGACTCAACGAATTGGTGATAACTGCGGGACGCAATGAAAAGGAGACGCGTCGCCAGCACAGCCCTGCAACGCGTGGCATGAGTGCATAGTCTACCGTTCCAGTGGATTAAACCTTAAGTGGTTGCTTCTATTTTTCTCTCCTAGCCTGCTTCGGCCTCTCAGACGCCTTCATACTAATGGTCGGCATGCTTCGAGAAGCACAACGACGCCGCACAGCACAGTCTCGTTGATACACGGACGGACAACGACGCAGCAATTACGACACCCGTCCCGCGGCCTTAGACCTGAAGCTGGAACTATTTGGAGCCTCGTTGCAAGTGCATCAAGACTCGGACGACTGGTTCGTCCTCTCTTTTGCGACCTGCTCCTTACCGTTCCATCCCGCCTTGGCCGCCAACACTGCTATCGCTGTCTCCGTCTGCTTCGCCTCGTCGACAACGACGTTCCTCAAACACAAGATGCACGTCTTGGCGGGGCAAGAGACAATATCATCCGTGGCACCCTTACCTTGGCGGTTGTGGATTGGCGACGACAGACAACGAACGAGCGACCTTTGGGTGGGAAGAAGGTAAAAGTGAGGCAGCAACCTTGGGTCATGAAACACACCAGATAACTTTATCTGAACAAGGACTCGCTGCAAATTCCCCGGATTCTCCCAGCATTTTCCCTCGATCAGATACCCATAGCTCGGTAGCTTCGGGAACAAAAAATGGTGCCATTTCCACTGTACAAAGTCTCCCCTACGCAGTACTCCGTACAGTCCGTCTCCGCCTGTCAAGTCCAACTGTCCGACAAGTTGCCGGCTTACCTGGCAACACCAAGGGTACCTAACTAGGTACTTTACTCTGCTCATCGCCGTTCATCACAGCCAGATAAAGCACCTCCACCACGAGTCAAGCAGCGGTTTCAGAACGTGCGCCGACGGCATCCGCCTTTTGGGTCGATCCTCTTGGACGTCCTTTGTTCAAGTCTCACACTCTGACACTCAGCATGGCCTTGTCCCGACTCCCAAGGCTTGACGCAGCGTCCAAGACATCGCTTATCGTTATCGATAAGGTGTCCGCATCCTGTCTCTCGATTCCAAGGTATTCTCACCAGGCTTCCGTGGGTATCGGGTTATGGCAGAGTACCGTCCTCGATAGAAACAACTCTGCAGAACCAGCAATTTAACAGACTTTGGCCTCTCAACAGTATTGGGTTCAGGATTGTGGATCGCTATTCTCGGTCAAATAATAATTGCTACACGTCAAAGTTCAAACCGGCGCTCATTGACGCTTGGCGCAACCCAAGGTTCTCATGGCTTGCGGGCGGCTAGAAGGAGCGAAAGTCTCAATAATGGGACCGGCAATCCGATATGCAACCCATCAAACTTTGTCTATGGGTTGAGCACCAAGTTGAAATGAGAGCCGCCCCTGAAGCGAACATAATCATCGGGAGCGGCCAACCGCACAGCTGTATTGCAATCAGTCCATTGCGCAGTTTGCATGCCGCAATCTCATCATTTGCCCGCAGTACAGTATCGATGCTTGGCATTGATTAATGGATTGTGCTTACGCCGATTGCGCTGAACGTCCAACGCCAATGCCAATACCAATGCCAATGCCCAAGCCACCTTCTTACACTAATACACACAGGCATACAGCCCCTGGTCCCTCATGTCGCTCGCCCCTCCCCCTGCATCTCCGCCAATCCCACGCAAGGCTGACAGCATGAGCTGCGCGATTCTGTTTGGCTATCCTTGCCCCGGTCGACTTGTGGTTGGGATGGTGGTTGCGACTTGCGAGACTGTGTGGCTAGGTAGGCGGGCAGATGCAGCTGCCTAGCTGCACCGTCGATGGTGCTTGATTCTCTTCATCACTCTCCGACCCGCAGGATTCGCTCGGATCTCACAACATCCAGCATCACTGGCTGATCTTCGTAAAGTCACGCCAAGAACTAAGACAGCGCAATCAAACGACAAAATCAGGACCAGATGGATGTCGCGTCGGCAAGGAGTCTTATCAAGCGGTCTGGTTCGGCTGATGTACATTACGTGGTGATGTCAAGATTTCTAACAAGAGCAGTCAAAGCGGGCAAATCCGTTTGAGAGGCCGCCTTCTTTCTCAGCTTCTCTCTAGCAAGCCAACCCGATGGCCAAGACACGTGTCCATCTTTACTCGACGTAGCTACGCACTACATTTGCTAAACAAACGGCTGGGCAAGTATGATTGCAGCGCTGAACAGACGATAGGCAGAAACCCTGGCTTGGCCCAGCCAAAGTTTTGCGAAAATGGGGCGACGGGTTTCCAAAGGTCCAAAGAGGGGCCCCCATCGCGAGTGAGATGATGGCGCCAAACGGTCAAATCGGAAAATAGCGGCATCTCTTGAGAGTGAAGAGGATCAGCGAGCAGCAAAAGGAGATGAGAAGAATCGAGGACATGACTGATGAGACGGCGACAACTATGGATCGAGTTACACACGGATACAATTGCACCAAACACGTAGTGTTGGTAACTCAGGTTGGACTCGGCGAAGAAACCCACAAGGCCAGGCACGTCGAAAGTCTGGGCAGGCCCGGGCGTCTGCTCGCCGCAGGGGTTCGGCGCACAGTGCCATCTTTCTCGGACGCTAACTGTCTCCGGCCGGGGCGTCAACCGGCTCCACTCCCGCAATCCATTGACAGCAGTCAAGCAGTCGCGCCCGGGCGGCGCGCCCAATTGGCAGACAGCGCCATTGGCGATGCTCATCGAGGATTCGAGAGAAGTAAGCGTCCCACGGGCGTTACCTATTGATCCACTGTCACGATGCGGCACAGCAAGAAAAAAAACTCCAGCGAACCACATGTCACCTCGTGTCTTGAAATGGTGCTTGTGGCTGTCTCCTGTCTGTTTGGCGAGTTGGTACTTCTACTCCATCTCGTTGAGATACTGTGGACGGTGATGTTGTGTACTATCAGGACAGTATCAGTAGTTCCAGACCAGTGTTGCCAGTTTCGACATGCCGAGACAGGCTGCACGGCTGAGGCCCGACAAGAGAGACTTTGAAAAGAAAGTGAAGAAGAAAACGGACCCCTGAAGAGTGAGCCCCTTTATCCTTGTCGTCTTTCCGTTCGACACTACCAAAATGAGTCTAAGAGGCAAGGGGAGGAGGGGCACAGCTCCGTACAGGGCGTCGAGGACAAGGGAGGGGGTTTAGTGGAGGTCCAGGTCGGTCCCCTAATGGGGTTTGGGGGCCGCTACCGCCCGCAATGGATCTGTTCCAGTTGGAGAAAATTAAAATAGCAAAAGGCGACTTTTTTTTTTCTCGCTCTCTCAGACTCTCTCGCAGTAAAGAGGACCCGAACCTTCTTCTGCCCCCCCTGGTCTTGACTGTACGGACGGACGGTCGGCTACGGGCTACACAGGGCGAGATCGCGCATCTGCTGTTGCTTGCTGTTGCCGGGATATTGTCTCCACGACCCTGAGCTTCCATCTTCCATGAGGTAAGAAGTACTGTGTGAACTTCCACAGCCCTGTAGGTGCGTACCTTACGAATACCCGACGGGCTGTCTGTAGTGAATGTATAGAGTACGTACCGTTTTTTGACTGAGGTGGGAAAGAGGGACACCTTTCCCCATTGTCGGCCGACCCTCTTCTCTTGGCCTCGTACATTTCGCAAATCCTCCTTCCCAAGTATCGCTCCTTTTTTCCTTGTCTTCTGTGACATGCTGGACTGGATATTGTAGATTCGCATTTTCTGCATTTCTTCACTTGTTGGTTTTTCATCCTCCTGCAACAACAAAGCAGACCATCTTTCTCTTCTTTGGTTGTGGTGCTGCAGTCTCACCGCCACGGTTCCACCCAAAAGCTCAGAGAGACATTGCCATCGTTGGCGACAATCTGCCACTCCCTCGAATTTCTCGGACCTTTGCCCGACTTGACTTGCGACTCCTCTCTCGTCGTCCCACCGCTCGCTTTTCGCAACTGGCAAATTCCACCTCGACTAAACAGAGCTTCATCTGTTCATCGTAGCAATCCGATATAATGGCCACTCAGACCAAGGCAGCTGCCAACGGCGCTGCTGCGAATGGCGACGTCAACCACGAGCCCATCAATGTCATTATCCCCATTGGCGGCATTGGCTCCCGCTTCGCAAAGGAGGGTTACCGCTACCCGAAACCCCTGATCAACATCGTCGGCCGGCCTATGCTGCTATGGCTGATTGACAACCTGAGCCTCAAGCCCGGCGACACCCTGTGGATGGCCATCAACGAGGAGGTCGACGACGAGTTCAGAATTGGCCAGCTCGTGAGCAAGACGTTTTCCAAGATCGACTTCAGACTCCTGCGCTTGCGCCACCAGACCAAGGGTGCCAGCGAGACGGTAAGCCTCTTCCCTGAGCTTCTTTGAGATTTGTTGCTTGCTCTTTTGACCCTCGCTCTTGTCACTTCCTCCGCCCTTGCGCAAGTCCGCCCGAGGAGGGGCAAAGCCAAGCTTGGAAGCGCATCGCTGACGATCCCTCGTAGCTCTACATCGTCACCCAGAGCATGACCAAGAAGCACCTCGAGCGCAAGACTGTCTCTCTCGACTGCGACACCATCTACTGGGCCGATGTCCTCCAGGACATTCGCAACATGCCCAAGGGCCACGGCGGCTGCTTCTACTTCCCTGACGTTGGCGACAAGCCCATCTTCTCTTACATCAAGACAGAACCTAAGTGAGTGCCCACCCGGAGCAAAGCGGGCAGACCATTTCAAGCCAAGATGCAGAATTCTGACAGATTGCTACTACAGGGACGGCTTGGAGCGCATTGTCGACATTCAGGAGAAGAAGGCCATTTCCAACAAGGCAAACACGGGCGCATACGTTTTCCCGTCCGCGGGTCAGCTCAAGTCATGGGCTGCCCAGAACCTCGACATGAAGAGACCCGACGGCTCAGAGGTCGGCGAGTACTACACTTCCCAGATGATCGCCCTCATGATCCAGAACGGCGTGCCGTACCTGGGCATGCCTGTCAGCACCAAGGACTTCAGTGTTGTCGGCACACCCGAGCAGCTCAAGGACCTCCTGAAGCTTCTCAAGACGGATACTTCCAACCTGCCCATTAAGCTCAAGAAGCGCCGCTTCTGCTTCGATCTCGACATGACCTTGGTCGGTGTGCCCGCTGTGGCCGGAGACTACTCCACCTGCCCTCCCATCGAGAAGAACATTCGCCTGGTCCAGCAGTTGTACAACGCTGGTCACTACATCATCATTGTAAGTCGAATCTTGGCGCTTGGCGAGCAGGGGGCAGATTATGGCTTCCTGCATTTTCCAAGACCTTGTGCTAACTCCTAGACAGCAAACGGCCCGCCGCATGCGCACGCATCACGGAAACTTGGGCTCAGTCCTTGCTGACGTCGGTCCCGTCACCTTTGCCCAGCTGGCCAAGTACGAGATCCCGTACCACGACATCCACTTCGGCAAGCCCTACGCCGATGTATACGTCGACGATCTGGCTGTCAACGCCAACCTCGACACTATGCGGGAAATTGGCTGGCTTTTGGATGAGCAGGACCCAGCTGCCCTGATCGGGCAAGATGCTGCGACGGGCGACGATGCCAAGAAGGCCGGCATGATTGCTGCCCGCGACTTCAACACCATCCAAATCATTGGCGACAAGGTCATCAAGTCGAGCAAGTCTGAGAACATTCTCGGCGAGCTCTTCTTCTACTCTCACATGCCCGCCGAGATTGCCCAAGTCTTCCCCACCGTATACAACGTGGACTACATTCCCGACACCACCACTTACAACATCACCATGGAGAACCGCCGTGGTTTGACCTTCTCTCACCTCCTGGTCGGTCGATCCATCACCAAGGGTCGCCTGATCTCCCTCCTCAAGGCTCTCCACACTGTCCATACCACGGGTAGCACAGACAAGGCCACCCTGAACATCCCCAGTGCCCTGGAGAAGAAGTTCGAGGAGCACTCCCTCGCGCGGGCGAACAACCGCGTTAACATCTACGCAAACTACGGCTCGAAGTTGCGCAGCCGTTACTACAAGGACCAGCACAAGTACGATGCACTTGGTCCCCTCGCTGCCTCTCTCTTCGCCCGTATCAACGAATTCCTCGACACGTACGAGGCTGAGGAGAAGGGTGTTCATGCTCAGGTCATTCACGGTGACCCGGTCTTCAGCAACGCCATCCTGTCCAAGGATGAGAAGCTCGTCAGCTTTATCGACGTGCGCTGCCAGCTGGAGAACACCCTGACGCCCGAGGGTGATATCCACTACGACTTGGGCAAGGTCCTCCAGTCCCTCTGCGGTTATGACCACATCCTGTTTATGAGCGCGAACAACTATGACTTGCGCGACGCTCTCGACAGTGACAAGCCCCTGCTCGACGAGGCCGACTCAGACCTCCTCGAGAGCCTCCAGGAGCACTTCTTCACCTTCCTCGAGGAGACATACTCTGTGCGCCTGCACCGCAAGACCCTCTTCCGTATTACCGCCTCCCTGTTCTTCAGCTTGATCCCTCTGCACCGGCCCGAACTCGGCGCCGTCTTCCTGCGCATGTGCAAGGAGACGCTCGACAAGGCGAGCAACATCAACTACGGCCCGGGCGCCCGTTCCACGTCAGGCCTCACGCTTAGCCGGCGCGCGAGCTCCAACTTTGGCTCGGACGAGAAGGCTCGCGAGATGCCCATCGCCTCGGGCAAGGGCGAGAACCTCTCGATCCCCAGCGTTACCGTCACTGCGAAATAAGCGTATCAGCTTTCGGTGTTATCGTATAATTGCTATCAAGAAGCCAATCCGCCCGATTCGCGGGCTATAATGTGCCGAGCTATCGGAATGGTGGAGGTGGATTTGCAGTAGCGGGGGTGGAGTTGAAGTGGTTGCATTGATGTCATTCGGGACGGAGCTTCCGTGGAAGAAAGCGGAGAGCTCATGTGGAGCCCTGTCGACACGTCGCGTCGGAAGCCAACCGAGAAGCGATCGATGGTGTGGGAACGGAGACGGACGGGAACAAAGTGGCATTTGCTTCACAAAACTGTTCGTATTGCGTAAGGTACTTACCTATAGGGTGGAAAAGGAGGGGAAGCGTTTTGATCGGAATTTTTCCACTACAACTTGTAGGGATGGATGTTGTTCAGCGTCGGTCTACGAGGGTCATGTACTACTTACTATACCAAGGAATCAAGAAATCGTACATCAAAATCATGCTCTCTCTTTATGCAATGTGTGTGGTTTTAGACGTGATTGGTGATCAGCTTGCAATAGACATTAGCAAGCGTCCAACTCAAGTCTTGATGTCAGATTTCAGTGCGGCGCAAACAACAACTCACAATCACCATGGCAAGTCTGTAACTGGTGAATGGTAACGTTCGCTATCTAGGCTCGGCAGAGCAGGGCCTGCTCACCCAGGTAATCCTATCTACTTTCGCTCGATTGAGGCCAATTCTCCTGACTGACCCGGAACTAGTAACTTCATTCTCCCGCAATCCACCCTCAACTACCAACTATCCATGCTTGCCTCTCCCATCATCATCATCACCACTCACTCCATCGCACTTCCTCCAGTCGTCGCCCATCGGAATCTCTGATAAGCGTACTCAGATGTACCACATGGTGTTCTTGAACATGTCAGAGGCCTGGGGGTCAGAGTCAGGGCCACTGCCACCCAGAGGCAGCAGGGGAAGGGACTCGGTGGGACGCTCGCCCTCGAACATGCTAAGACCGCGGGAGCCGTATTCGTCAGCCATTTCCACCGCCTTGGGGCCGGAGCGGAAGCCCTGAGAGGTAGCAATGTTCTCGTGTGCACGAGCACGGCCGCAGGCGAGATCAGCGTAGTAGATCGCCGGGTGAAGGGAGACAGGAGTCGTCGAGCGTGCGTACTGGTAGCACTGACCATAGATCATGCGCTGAAGATCATTCGTGCCCATCTTGGCCTCGTCCACCAGAACGGTGTAGTGTACAGGGCGAGCAGTTCCCTGAATGGCCACGTGCGAGCACATGTAGAAGTCCCACCAGAAAGGGTGGCAGACCTCCTTCTCAAGGACAGTTCCGGGGAGGGGGTTGCCGTTCTTGTCTCCATTCCGGGGGAAGAATCGAATGTGATGGCGCTTCGTAGCCACAATGACCGTCCACTTGGGCTGCTTGGCGGTGGGGTAGATGCTCTTGATGATGTTCTTCATCGTTCCCACCTCGTACTCCAACACCTGTGAGTACTGGCCCTCAGAGACACCGTCACGGAAGTAGACGATGTGCGGAGGAGGCGCCGGGTGGCCCATACGCTTGTGCCAGGTGGGCATGAGGCGACCGAGGAAAGTGCGGGCACTGACTGGAGAGAGCATCTCAACGCGGTAGCCATTGGTCTCAACAGCAGCCGAGTAGAAAGTAGCATCAGCATCCATCGACATGGTCATCGCTGCCATCGAGGGAGCGTCGATTCCAGGAGTCGCATGGGAAACGTCTACTCCAATCATCATAGTAACTTCCTTAAAGAAAGGAGGGTTCTTGTTAGAAGGACCGGACGGGTGAGGGATACGGCAAGTAACGCCTCCAAGCTTCGCGTTGACCTTCATGGCCACGTTGGAATGGTACTGGGCCTGGTTCTTGTCAACATGACGTGAAAGAACGCACTGAGTGAGTAAGCCGAATCGACAATCGGCGGACTTCTTGATTCGCTCGTAAGAGCCAACGTTGTTGAACCGCAAGATGCAGAAGAGCAGCTGCGGGACAGCGTTGGTCTTGGCCTTGATCTGGGCATATGCCCTAGCAATCGCTTCAGCAACATTATTGTTGCGGGCCTCGCTGTCAATCACAACGGCATCTTTGGTAATCTTGCCTCCATGGCCAGTGTAAGTCTGCTTGAACGTCTGTGCAAAGGCCTGGGCACTGGCTTTGTTGGTTGAGTTCTCGAGAATCACGATACCCCAAGACGCCAGAGGAGCACGGTTGGGAACCCAAAACTTCTTGCCGCGCAAGTCCCAGCGGCCGGAGAAGACGGGGCTGACCACATTGTTGGCGTACTGAATCTTCGGGGGCTCAAGCAGACTGCCCGTAGTTTTAGCCATCTGGTCTTCGAAGACAACACCGTACTGGCGGAGATAGGGGTCCTCCTTCCATGCCAGCTGGTTCTTCGCCTTGATGATGTCCGCCTTGCGCTGGGTGGGACGAGTGACGGCGGCCTTGATCATCGCCGAGGTCTGATCAGGGTCAAGCTTGTAGTTGTAGCGCTGCATGGCAGCGATCACACAGACCTCCATGGGGAAGAAGCCGGCCTTTGCGGTCTCGACAACGGGCCAGTCACGGAACTGAACCTTGTACCCGTAGGTCTTGTCGAAGTACTTCGTAATGTTCATCTCCTCGCCGTTGTTCGTGAAGACGATACTGTCAGTAGTAGCACCGCTGTCACCGTAGGTAGGGTTGAATGCGAACCCCTTGATGGTGTAGGACTTGTCCCAGTTCTCCTTGCCGCGGTGCTTGGGGCAGAATCGAAGCTTCGCCAGCTTCCTGAGGTGCTTGAAGGCATCAGACATGGTAAGTACCGTCTTGCCGTTCTTGTCCTGCTGGCGCACTGGCTTCAAGATCTTGGCGATGTCGGGCGGGCTTAGGCCCTGCCATCTGCGATCGCAGGTACCCAGAAAGTCCCTGACAAAGAGATGCAACAGCTTGTCTCCCTTCCAGAATGCGGTATTGGCAACGTCAACATTCAGACCGAGCCCTCGACCAAACTTGTCCATAACCGATTGGTTCATCCGGACCGACGAGTAGACACCCTTGACGACCTGCAAGCAGGGGCCAAGATCCATGGTCTGCGGATTGCGCTCGTTGTAGAAATTGCGCTTGATCGAGAGGAGATTCTCGCTAGGGTACTGACGGACGAGGTGGTCGAGGAAGTTCATGCACTCCAGAACAGTGCTGTCCCAGTCCATCTTGCCGGTCAAGTATGCCTCAAGAGCCGCAAGGTTGATCTTCTTCGTCTCCTTCATGACGAAGAAGAAGGAGTTGTCGCGCGGCTTAGCATTGGGACGAACGGGCTTGCCCTCGTCAAGGTCAACCTTCAAGCGCTCCTCGCCACGGTTGATGGGAACCGACGACCTGTACTTGTGTTAGATGAAATTGGCAATTAGGATCGGATGACGTACCAAGCCAACTTGCGGCCATCGTTCAACCAAAGAGTCTTGTACTTCGCCAGCATGGTTTGGACAGGCGGGGAGTCCCAAACCTTCTTGAACACCACATTGTACTTCAGGGGTACGGGCGAGATCGACACATCGTACTGGTAGATGGTCATTTTGTCGTTCCACTGCTTGACACGGAACTGGTTGACCTCCAAGTCGATGAGCTTGCCGGCGGTATTGTAACCGGGTCTCCGAATGAAGGGGGTTTCGCCGGCATTCAGATACGACTCTGGGGGCGGGTCGATACGAGAGTTGACGTGATCCTTGCTGGGACCACCGCCCTCGGGCTTCGCGGGGTCGAAGCCCATGGAAGGTCCGAAGCCATGCTTGGGCTGAGATCCCGAACGGGATCTAGCAGGGCTGGCAGGACCACGACTAGGAGAACCGGAAGACATCCTGTCTAGTCGTGGAGATTGTCGAATTGTTGTGCAGATGTTGCTGTTTGTGGTCAGTGAATGTATGCTCGCTGAATACGATGAAGTTGAAAGGTAGACGATTCTGAGAGATAGAAGAAGAGGAAGAAGAGGTAAAAAGAGGGACAAGAGGAAGACGTCCCTTTTTGTAGCTGCCTAGGTCGACAACTGCCAACGGCACTTGAGGAAGGAGGTAGTCAAGGAGGGGTGATCTGGAAGGAAGGAAGGAATTTGAGGAGAAGGAACGAATCTCGAGAGCAGGAGCGCTGGAAATTTTGTTCCTTTGTCCAGAGATACCTTAGGAGGGATACCTTCGGTAGATCAGATGTCTGGGTAGGGCAAGATACCTTGTCTGTGTTGAAGTAGGTTGGCAGTGAGACTGGGTTGTAGGAAGTATGGTGATGCGTGGAGGAAGAAGAAGAAGAAGTTGGATTGAGAGAAGGGAGGAGCCTTTTTGTAGACCCGCTGGAGGATATTTCCAGCCTCTTTACTAGGAGGAAGGAGGCAGCATGTGGGTTTGGGAAGGAAAATATGGCAGCAAAATCATACGTGTGGGTGTATCTCGGTGGTGTTTGTGCATCAGGTAAATGTGAGGTGTGTCAAGCATGAATATGTTGTAAACTTACCTGAGTTGAAAGTTGAAGTTGAATGAAGTGTGTGATTGTGATTGATGGATTGATTGTTTGTTTGGGTAAGCAAGATGTGATTGCGATGAGAGTGTGTGTGGAGGAAAAGAAGATCTGGAGGCTGGAGGGTCGAGAGGTGGGTTTATATAGCCTCCAGAGTGAGGGAGTGATCTAGAAATCGGCTGCGTGGCTCTGGGGAAGGAGCAGCAGAAGCAGCAGAAGCAGCAGGAAGGATCGATGGCCAGAGTGAGATATTGGGATTGAGGATATGAAGACTTCACTTTAGGATGTCGGAAGGGCGAAAATAATGAGATCTTCAACCTTTGGGCCGGGCATATATCGAGATCAAATCAGTCAAGCCACTATCAGAAACATCATGATGCTTCGCCCTTGCCAGGTGGCCATCAAGGCTGTGAGAACGCCGGCATGAACGCCATCATTTACGACGTAGCGTGATAGCATGATGGCATAGAATACACGGGTGATGATATTCAGCAAATGATGGAATTAACACCTCCACTCAGTCTACGTACGTCACCAACAATAACCTACGAAATATCAGAGCCAGACTCATGAATGATGCTACCGCGTAATAACCATACCGAGATATTCCAGACACCAGAGAATGAACCCAGTCGAGAACGCTCAAGGCTTCGAAAGAGAAGGACGTGAGGCTCTCGGGCAATCCGCACGTTCATACGTAGTCTACATTCAAAAGAGCGCAACATGTAGACCTCGAATTGGCCGAGTATTCGTGGCCTAGATGGTGTCACCGACTCTTTTTTTACAGAAGGCTCGACCGCGAGGCATGAGCTTGCTCGTCTCATTCATGGAAACCGCCGCCTCATGATGATGATACCGAAAGCAAAGAGACAGTCACGTTCAAAGCCTCCAGTGCCCCATGTGTGAAACCACCCTGCTTTCCACCTATTACGATGCTCATTAGTCTACCAGTGCTAGTGACCGACATGACGTTCATGTCTCAGGTTGGTCGCCAGCCAGAGTCTCGCCTCATTATTCGATAAACATACTAGGAAGGTCCCTCTCCCGGAAGGCTTTTGCTGCCTCTTGATCGCCATGGGCGTCATCAGGACCGTCAGCTTCATAAAGTCTGGCTTACGACAAAGTCTACAAGCCTGCATGAGGGCGACAGATCCATCCATGGACAACAGAATGTGTTTGTCAAGCTATGAGCCGTCAGATTGTCTGTAGGTGATGGCATGCGCGGTTGTGTCTACAAGCATACTTATGTTCACAGATCAAGAGAAGAAATGACCGAACACAAGCATCACTCAACAATCAGGGCCCAGCAACATGTTTATTCCAATAATCTTCCTGTAATTAGAAGCGTATTCTCTGAGGAATACATGAAAAATAAGCAGGGACAATAAGAAAAGTAAGAGGAATAGCAACAGGAATAGCAACAGGAAGAAGAAGAAGAAGAGGAGGAGGAAGAAGAAGAAGAGGAAAGAAAAGAATGGAGCTACGGTGCTAAGCGGCAACCTACTTTGCTAATATAAGGTATGATGATAGATTAGATATTTAGTTAAGTCTCTGTCCTGGCGCAGTGAGCTTTGATTTGATTCCACAGTGTCGGGTTGGTGCTACCGGGTTTGAGCCATTCATCCGTCGCTTTCCTTGCTACGTACGATATTACTCCTTGACAAGGAGAACATACCTTGGGATGAGAACCCAAACCTCAGACCTGTTGAAGGGCGTTCATCTGGAGCTTCATATGGTGATATGTGGCGCGGGCCTTGATCAAGGCGTATCACAAGTGCGCAAGTGGGTGACCGAATAGGATGTCGGTCGGCGTAGGAGTAGTCCCCATCTTATAGCTCATATAGTAGGAGGAAGTGGCATGTCAAAAGCAGATTTCCTTGAATTACTCAAGCGGCTAGCCAAGCAAACTAGATGACACCTCAACGTGGCATCCCATGTAGCCGTCTGCCATTCATCCCCATCCCCCAAATCGCGCGAACGAGCCATCGAACGTGATGCCGTGGCGTATGCTTTTTGACGAAAAACAGTGTGTGCTACTTCTGTGAGCCGCACGAGTGAAGTATCCGCCGCCGCCGCCCTAAACGCCTCCAGTCATGCGGAGTCCCTTGAAGACTTTTTGTATTATACAGAACACTGATGTCGCAGACTTTGCGACCAATGTCCCTTTGAGGAACGTGAGAAAACCATTGCCCTCGAAATCATGAACCAAAGCTCAATATCAAAAGGAAGGTCCCAACACAGCGTGCTGGGCATTATCCCGATGTTTGATGAGCCACCAGATATCGACTAACGTGGTCGACCGAGTCTATAATAGACGTCGAAATTAGGGCCAACCCCTCCGGAAACCAGCCCCTGAATCCAATCGTCAGCTCCAAGATCAATACTGATATTTGCCATATTGCTGTGCTGGTGCTTGGCTGTAGCTAGCAGGTGCCCAAGAAGCGTTCGCGTCAAACGAAGCCGCTGGTGGGTATTGCCCCTGCTGAGGCACGTCCTGTCGGAATGCAGAAGGGTCGGTATGTCCGCCACTGGAGCCAGGTCGGAGAGGAGAGCTCCTATATCCGGACGATGCCAGGCGCCTACCCGATCCTTCGTATGGACTGAGGGCTCTCTGGGGGGAGTTTCGTCCACCGTTTCCGTACCCAGCGTAGTCACCAGATGCCTGTCGGCTGTGGGAAGGGGGTTGCATACCGTTGTTTTGTCGAGCGCCGAGCTCTTGTTGGGTTTTCCATGCGCTGTAATCAGGCACAGGGGTGTCGCGAATTAGGCCAACGAGATTAGGAGCGCTCAAGCGGAACGCGTTGGGCGAGTGAGCATAAGAGTGAGCCGGAGGTAGGATACCCAAGAGGAAAGTGATGTCTCGGGAAAGAGGCGCTCCTTGGTTGCGTCTTTGCTGGTCAAGACGACGGCCCGCGGCACCCTTAAGAGGCGATTCCCCCCTGGCGAGCTTTCGTGGCCTGTTGAGCTCTTCATAATCGTCGCCTGCAAAGGGTCTCTTTGGAGAGTTTGTAACGCCCATGTACTGTGGGCCCGGGCTGGCCGTCTGACGAACCGGCAAGGCCATTGGGGATTGCCGAACTGAGGTCGGCTGCTCGATGGTCGGAATCAGCATCTTTGGCCGCAGTTGAACAGCCGGCGAGATGATGAGGCGGTAGGCGATGGGATCGAATGTGTCTACTGAGAAACGGTTTGCAAAGTGTGAAAGTCTGGGGTCAGCGGGCCAGAGTTCCGACATGCGCTTCTCCAGCTCAGCAATGGAGGAGAGCTCTCCAAACTGCGATTCGTACTTGTGGAAGTACGAGTATAGTTGCTTCGCCTGGTCCTTCTTATCTTCTTTCTGTGTGAGGCGGTTGACGCATGTCTCAAAGACAACACGGGCATCTATGAATGGGTCAGTATGAAGTCATTGGGTATGAGAGAAGGGAGAGCTCACTTGTTGTGTCACCCTTGGAGTGCAAGAACTTGAGGTACTCGAGCATGAAGCTAGCATCCTCGGGGAAAAGCTTCGCACCGCGGTCAAAGATCTTACCACCGGCTGGGTCGTTGTAGATGAGAGCTTCCATCTTCGCAACGGCGATATAGACATCGCTGGTGAGCTGGCCACGACCTCGGGCCTCGATGAAGACTTGCCGAAGACCCGAAGTCGTGTTGCCCTTGCCTTGTGTCCTCCTAGCAGCCCGACAAAGCGCAATCCACACGAACGAAATGGTGCGCTTGAGCATATCTGTCTGTACCGAGAATCCCTGCTTCACGGCGTTGATGCGCTCTTCCTTTCCAAGTTCGCCGGGCTGATTGTCGCCGTCGATATCATCGTCGTTGCGTTCGATTGAGTCCTTGATGTTCGGGTCCTGGGCCGAAGCTTCTTCGATCTTACGAACCTCTTTCTCCTCCCGCTCCTTGAGCTTCTTAGACATGGCGTACAAAGTGTCGAGAACGCGGCTGTAGGGCTCCCTGATTGCCTTGGCGCGGGCAGCCTTGCTGGCATCATCGTCTCCGGCCGGGTAGGTCGTTTCCACACGGTCTCCATGTCTGAGCGCAAGCAACACACTTTCGGGGTTGGCCTCAATGCCGTCTGTAAGAAAAGACAGGCCCAACTCCTTGCCATCCTTTGCAATGTTGTTGGCAAAGCACCACTCTGCTGCGTCCACCCACATCTCGGGCCAGAAACGAAGAGCCATCAACGCTTGCCTGTAGCAGTACAACACGCGAGTCTTATAGGCTTCAGGCTCTTCGTCCAGGAGAACCAACGGATCCTCCTTTTCCCACTGAATCCACTTCTTCCAGATATCAACCTGCTCCATGAATTCCTGGTCACCGTGGAAGCCAGGTGCAGGAGGCAGGCGAGGGAGCGAAGTTCGCGAGAGCCTGGGAATCAGGCGATCAAGCTGCGAGTTTGCTGCCTTGGCTGTCATGTAGGCAGGCGAGCGCTTCTGGATGAATTGGCGGCCCTTACCGTGTCGTTAGCAATAGCAATCTACCGAGAGAACAAGTAACTTACAGTCGTTTTGTTCAGGCTCATTTCGAATTGGTCGTAGTCCTTCCACAGGTCTGTAAGCGCAAACATGGGAACTGTGATGGCGCGATGGTAGGCCTTGCGCAACTGGTCCATCTTCTGCTGATCCTGCCAACCGCTGCCTCCAACCTGGCCTGGGCCACTCTTGATAAACTGGATGTAGTCCTTCCACAGTTGACCCGAGTCACGATCAATGCCAACAGAAGCAATCACAAAATCGTAGGACATGCTCAGGATTCGGCGAGACTCCCCGTTGGGATCGTTGTTTAAATCGTATCGTCTGCGGATGTAGTTGAGGTATACGGTCCAAAGCTTAACATTGGGCACATTGACCAAGGACCTGCTGAAAAGCGCTTCGGCGTCCTGGAAGCGATTGGAGTCCAACTCGAGCTGTGCCCAGTCGGCCCAGATATCGGCCTAAATATGCGTCAGTTTCAAACCTCGCTGTACACAAGCAGAATTCCACTTACAGCCTGGGGGAAAACCTGGAGGAATCGCTCATAGGCAGCGCGTAACTCATCCAACTGGTCGTAGCGTCGATGCTCGGCGAACAATGCGAGCCACGCATCCATATCCCCCCTCGGGTCCTCCTTCACGCGGTCCTCCAAGATGCCAAAAGTGTCGTTCGGGTCTCTGCTGGGGACAGACTGCGCTGCTGGAGGGGGTGGCGCTTGCGCCGTACTCGATGCCGCACTTGGCGCTCGCACGGGGACACCCTGGCTCGCCTGCTCTGGGGTAGCGCTCACTTGGCCTTGGACAGCAGTGGATGCAGAAGGGAAAGGAGGGTTTTGTGCAATGGGAGTCTGCGTGGCAGGAGCAGCAGGAACAGCGTTCGATGCCGGAGTAGGCGCATCTTCCTCCTCGTCATCGGAGTCTCCCACTAGGAAACCTCCCTGTGTTTTGGGTTTGCCTGATTTCGGCTTGATGGATGTGGAAGCGGTAGGAGTTGGGGTTGAATCGGCGGGGGGATTGGGCTCTGCGGTCTCTGGAACTGAAGTTATCGCGACCGACTCTGGGTCATATTCGCCAGCATCTTCTGAGTCACCATTCGCAGCTTGTTCAAGTGGGAAGGCAGGATCTTGACTTTGTTCGTCGCTATGCTGTATATCATTTGTTTCTTCATATCCATCTTCTCCCCAAGACGCACCCTCGAATTGTTGGTCGTTCTGCGGGAGTTCGGGATCCATTGCGATGATGGGCGCTCCGAAGAATCTGTGTTGCAATTTCTCACAATGATCACTATACGAAGCTCTCAACTGAGAACCTCAATGTCAATTGACTTCGCCGTGTGGCGCTTGTCGTGGCAGCTATGAGCTACTGGGTCGCCCTAGGCGCGAAGACGCTGGGTATTCTGGGCGAGGAAGGCGTGTTTCGGCTCGTAGAAGATTGATAAACGGTCGCAAAAGAAAGTTTTGAAAGAGTCTGGTCGTTCGTAGTCGGCTATCGAAGGTCGCTGATGGCTGCGCGGGACAGTGAAGCTGATGATGTTGGCTGTCTGTAAGACGGAACGGGTCGCAAAATTGGAAGGTTGCAGCTTGTTGGCAATGTGAAAGATTGGAGGAAAGTAGACGCCGAAACCAGGCTAGCGTGGTTTGGCGGTGAACTGGCAAAAGTTCGGTTGATTCAAGCTTCGACCGATAAGACAATCTAATCGGATAAGGAGTGTACGGTACCTTAAGGTACCTTAGGTACCTTACCTGTCTGACTTACACCTTGACCTACCTTACCTTAGGTACCTAAACATATTTTAGCTTTCGAGAAGATCAAGAAATTACGTCGGTCTCAATGTCTTGACTATACTGGCAAATTCTAGCCACAGGGTCTTTCGATCTAAGCGAAGTATCCGTAAGGTTAGGCAAGGTAGGTAGGTAGAATAAGAATGAAAGGCATCAGCCATCTCCAAGCCTCGCTTTGTGTGGCTGGGCAGGTGGACAGGAACTTGACAGGCACACGGACGGGCGCGAGAGCCGAAAAGGGCTAGCCTTGACGTGGAGACCACTTTACGCGAAATTCGCGGTAAGGGGAAGGCAGGCGCGTCCCAGGCCCACGTCGTTGTCCCGTTGCAATTGACGAGCCGAGCCTTCTTCTTCCATCTCGCTCGCCGCAAAACAATCCCACTTTCTCAATACACAAACTCCACCCACCACCTCAGACCGACGTCCACGCAACGAATTTCTTCTCAAGTTTCCTTTGCTCGCATTCGCGCAGACTTTTCCTCTACATCTATTCCCACATTCTCAACCAAGACTTCATCGCCCACCTTTCACGATGTCGATCGTCTCGCTTCTGGGCGTTCAGGTTCTGAACAACCCCGCCAAGTTCACGGACAAGTACGAGTTCGAGATCACCTTCGAGTGCTTGGAGTCCTTGGAGAAGGGTAAAGAATCCATTCGATAGACAGCCATGATCTCACATTTTACTAACCAACTTTTGATTAGATCTCGAGTGGAAGTTGACCTACGTTGGTTCTGCGACTAGGTTAGTTTGAAGTGGAATTTTTCACCACGTACACCGCCATTCGCTGACTGCCAGACAACAGTGATCAGTACGACCAAGAGCTCGACAGTCTGCTCGTCGGACCCGTTCCCGTCGGTGTCAACAAGTTCATCTTCGAGGCCGATGCGCCCAACACTTCCAGAATTCCCGACGCCGACATTCTGGGTGTCACTGTGATCCTCCTGACCTGCGCTTACGACGGTCGCGAGTTCGTTCGCGTTGGCTACTATGTCAACAATGAGTACGACTCTGAGGAGCTCAACGCCGAGCCCCCCTCCAAGCCCATCATCGAGCGAGTCAAGCGCAACGTTCTCGCTGAGAAGCCTCGTGTGACCCGCTTCGCCATCAAGTGGTACGTTCTCGTAGACATGAAGGGAAAACAAGAGGCGGCAGAATAGTGGAGCTAACTGGGAGTCTTAGGGACAACGATGCCGCCGCCCCCGCCGAGTTTCCCCCTGAGCAGCCCGAGGCTGACCTCGTGCCTGACGAGGATGAGTACGGCGCTGAAGAGCGTGAAGAGGAGGAGGCCGAGGCTAGTGCTGCCAACGGCGAGAAGCCCGCCGGTGAGGATCTCGAGATGGCCGGTGTCGAGAACGGCGAGGGTGAGGCCGTTCCTGCGGAGGAGGACGAGATGTCGGATGACGGCAGTGTTGATATCGAGGGCGAGAGCGAGGACGAGCTGGAGGAGGAGGGCGAGGGCGAAGGCGAGGCTGAGGCTGCCGATGACGACGCCATGGACGTCGACACCGGTGACAAGCCCGTCGCTGTTGCCGGCAAGGCCTAGGCGGTCGCTACTCACTAGGTGACGCCTGTCGAGAGATGTTTTGACGCTTTTGCCCATACCCCCATTGTTTTGCCGACCCAGAAGTTATCCGACTAGAATTGCGCAGGATGGCGGTTTACACGAAGAATACGACCTGGATGATGATTGCATAAGGTACCCGAACTCTTCAGTATAGATGATATGGTTTGGAGAGGGACCAAGTGCAGAAGGGACTTGACCCTAGTAATTAGATGCAAAAGATACCTTTTCCTGTAGATATGTGCCATTGGGATTCCTTGCTGGTGACCTAGATGTGTGTCGAAGCGAGTAACCATTTTTCTACTTTCAAAGTTTTTAGTACCAGTTCGTGAGCCGCGGTGGGAGACATAAAAAAAAGCGGATGCCAAGCTCCATGTAACGAATCCCGACGACAGGATCTAGCGTCTACTTCTGCATCATGCGACTGAGATTGAGACATTTTCAAACGGGCTTGCGAATTCCATCCCCTCCAGACCACACTAAGGCACCCCAGCAACCAGATGCCTCTCCCCATGCCCCTCGTTCCCCCCGCCTCCTTAGGTTGGGTTTGAACAATTGCATCTTAACGCACGTGAATTCTTCTTGGCGGCATTCATCTCTCAGCAGCACAACGCCGTTGACAACTGCCAAGGCAGCAGCCATCGCCAATCAACTTTCGATTACGACTCACACGCTCACACACATCGTAGGCCGCGAAAAGCCGCTCCTAGTGGCCGGCGCCGGACGACACCCCTTCGACAGCCCTGCTTTTCTTGGTGATCGCTAATCGACTCCGACGACTCATGCTCAAAACTAACTTCACCTCGGTGACTCCTCCAACTCCAACTCCACGCTGCATCTTCTGTGCTTTGGATCCCCTCCATTCGCTCCCTTTTTCCTGCCATGCATTCTCAAGTCCCGTCTCCCTGCGTCACACCACACATTCGGGGCGCACAGAGATGCGTACGGGGAACACATCCGTGCCCACCCACCCGGCCCACTGGCCGAAAAGCTTGGGTTCGGTGATGTCGGCCGATATTCGCACGCACGCACGCACCCCGGGCCCATGAAGTTATCTCGAGACGGGACTATCACTTGCCGGCCTTCATCGCTCCCGCGCGCATGCTCACACACACCGAAGACACCGCGCCGTACCTTTGAGTCCCTAGGCTCCGCAGCTCAGCCGCATTTGGGGTCGATCTTCTTGAGTGAGGGGAACGTCGAGGCTGCCTAGGCTAGTGCTTGTGGTGTGGCTGGAGATTGCCGATGGCACAGTATCCTGATTTCGGATGTCTTGTCGGAGGTCAAGGGCAAGGCAGGCTGTGCATGTTAGTGAGTAGAAAAGGGCCGCTGTTCTAGGAACGAGCTGCCCAGTTGATTCTCTTTTCTTGCTTCATCGTCTTTACATAGTCACCTGCTTAATCTTTCTTGATATACTTTAACTTGACAGACTTGTTTTCGGTCGCTGCTATGTCAACCCGGAGCCCTGAGGAGCTGCTCAGAGCAGTCGAGGCAAGCCACGACCAATACCTCCGTAACTTACGAAGTCTACATGACTCCCTGGCTAGTGCTGTGAGAGACAGATCAGATACCAAGACAATAAACAACGCTCGCCAGCCATCTCCCCTCCTGCAACCTTCTCCAAGCCCCGTACAGAGTCCAGGGCAGAGTCCACCACTTTCATCGGAAGCAACCTTTCAGCCTGCTCTTCGCCGTGCCCGCCGCTCAACTTTCTCAGACCCTATTGAGAAGCGGACACTGTCCAACGTTGTTGAGAGAAAGCACGTACCGGCCTCCATTCACTCTGAGCTAGACGTCGAGTATCTTCCCTTACTTGACATTGCAGGTCCTCGAAGTGTCAACAGTTCAGATGGGACCCTCACAAGCCCTCCCACAAAACTAGTTGAGCGCGTATCATGGACGGACAACCAGCTTCTACGCCATCTCAAGTACACCGACTTCACCGGTGGCGCCGCTATTGCGCTCACCGATGTGATCAAACGGCAAGCCGACATCGACGAGGATGCGGTCTTCGAGGAATTTGCTGCCTATGAAAGCCAGGGTTACGTCAGTTCAACCTTTGAGCTGTACGATGTCGACAAGGAAGGATCACCTAGACCCGTGGGCAAACACCCAGACCACCGTCCGCGAGGCGCCGCAGCCGACGCAGCTCCAACTCCCACTCAGATTGTCGACGCCCCGACGGTGTGGAACGCTCTCAAGGAGATTCATGCCGATGGCCAGGCCGTAGGTCTCGTAACGATCCTACAAGAACCGTCAGCTCTCATGCTCGGCGCGCTACATATGACGATGCGCCCATACTTCGACATGACGGAGCTCCTCAACCATCTCATCACAGACCATGAGAATAACGGCAAGACGACGGCCCACGTCCATCGAGCCTTTGCCAAGGATGCTTCACCCTCGCATCTCCGCCAGCGCAGCTTCTTCTTCGTTTTCAAGTACTACACAGTCGTAGGCGAGGGCCTCGAACCAGCACCCTTTCAAAAGTACGACAAACGCCCCGCGGACCGCCGCTCAAAGGATCACATCGACATTGCGGAATGCAGCTCCATCCTCGCCCTCTCCCTCTCCGGCCCACCACGCCAATCCGTGAAGCAGACCCGGCGCCGCGAGGGCCCGCAAGAAGGCTTTCTCTTCGACACGTTCGCGCCGTGGCACCTGCTCTCGATCCAGTCGTTCCCAGACGACGAACACACCCTCCGCGGCGGCGACGCCGAGGCGCACAAGAACTTCCCCTCGGGGCCGTACGCCTTCCTGGACGCCCTGGTGACCGAGTACCGCGACGCGACGAAGCGCAACCTGGCCCTCCATGCCCGCATCGCGAAGCTCATCACCCCGCCTACGGACTTCATGTTCGACGCCCGCCTGCGCGACAAGCTCCTCTTCGAGGACAAGCACTTCACCTACATCCGGCGGTACTTTTGGGCCTACAACACCCTGGGCGTCGTCAACGAGGGATTGCGCGCCATGCTGGCCGCCTACCGCGAGACGTTTCCCGACGACTTCTGGGAGGGGAGGCACCAGACGCTGTGGCCGCACCCGGCGCCGGAGAGCCCCGAGGGCGTGGCGTACCGCGACAAGATGGTGCTCCTGCGGTCCGACCTGGAGCGCGCGTGTCGGGACCTGGAGACGGTGCACGCCAAGAATGCGGCAACGCGCAAGGAGATTGAGAATCTGCGGGACCAGCTCTTCAGCGGGAGCTCCATCAAGGAGTCGAGGAGGGCGATCGAGCAGGGGGATAACATCAAGGTGCTCACGTTGGGGTCCATGGTGTTTTTGCCCCTGACGTTTGTGACTGTAAGTTGCAATCCTACCTACCTCTTGTTTCCTCTCAACGTTCTTGTACTGATACATCCAACCTTCTACAGTCAGTCTTTGGTATAACAGAGTTTACGATATCACCGGAAGACTGGAGATTCCCCGTGACAATGGTCTGCGTCTGCGTACCCTTCATCGTGGCCCTCATCCTCCTGCAGACGCGCGCGGGGTACTCGCTCGCGAGGCACACCTTCGCCGCGCTCGCCTGGCCGTTTCGACTATTCACGGACGTCGCTGCGGATGAGCAGTTTACCCCGGCCGCCGTCATCATGCCCGTGACGGAGACGAGACCTAGGAGGAAGAGGAGGTTGACGGGCCGTCGGCCCCCTCCGACACGTTCGCCACGGCACCAGCAGCAGCAGCCGCCGCAGCAGCACCACCGTGACAACGATTTGGGGTTGATTCAGTCGTTTATAGGGTGGTGGACGTGGGTGAGGAAGAATGGGGTCCGTAGGAGCGGAGGTGAGCGAGGTGACGGTTCGGCGTTTGCAAATGTGTGAGGTGGTTTTGATTTATTGAGATTTCTGTAGTTGTTAGATACCCCCTTTTTACGTTTTGACATCATTATACTACTGCATGCAAGAACACAAGTGCTAAATGCGAAGGCTTGTTTCCTGAATGCCAGCCAAAATCTCCAGAATGTTCGGACCCTGAGACCCAGCCAAGGACGAAGGCCTTTCCTTTACTGGCACATCTCCATGTCGAAACTCGCCCGGCTCATGACACAGGACATACTGACAGGTATTCAACTATTGCCAAGCTTAACTAGAGAATCAACCAAAAGCTAACTTCGACACATGCAAGAAGCTGAGCCCCGTTGGAATTCGACACATCAGTCACTGCTTTCCTTTCCAACTAAGCAAAGCGAGATTGGCCCAGCTTGAGCAGCCTGGTCTTCTCCAAGTATTATTTGACATCGCTCATAAGCATGGCGACAAAAAAGCCTTTCATCCTCGATCTGGATTCTCGGGACCTGACTGCCACATTGGACCCCTCTAGAAAACGTATTTCAAGACCCGTCCCGATCTTAGTGGAAAGATGATCCTCTGGTCTAGTCAGAATGATTACACCATCACGCCTACCTGTCTCAACGGCCGACACGTTGTCGCAACATCACTTGCTATACAGTAAAGTCTCCTGAGGAGTGCGACTTCCCTTCCCCCCCGCCCCCAATGAATCACCAACTCGACATGATTCTGGAGAAAACTTTTTGACTCGCATGGCTTTGATGGCCATGGTACCGGTTCTCAAAATTCCACCTACCGCCTACCCGGAACCTCGGAACTCTTACCACGCTGAAAATGTCAAAGACGAGAGATCCCATAATCACCCCCTGATACCATCTACCACGAGTAAAGGATGGAAACAGAACAAAGAGAAACAAACCACATGATCTTGAACAACACCGCAAAAGCAAGTAAGAGAAGAACCGACAAGCAGGGACAAATGGACAGCCTCTTTGTCTCAGTCACCAATCTTTGTACTCCGCCAAACAGCGTCACCTCGCCCGGTTGCTTGTTCACTCGATGTCACAAGTCCTTCCTCCGTTCCGTTCTCCCATTTCGTCATTTCCGTCGTCTCGGTAACCTCTAGAGGGGAGTCTTACATACTTCGAAAGAGGCGAGGTCACATCCGATTAGATCAGAGTCAACCTTTGCTTGCACGACAGCCTCTGTCTACTTTAGCGGGTTGAATATAGTCTATCTGTACAATGTCTGGTGGAGCAAAATTGCCGCCGGCTACAAATTCACACGACACTTCGGGGGCGAGGGGCGGACCGAAAAAAAAAGAATCTCTTCTTCTTCTTCCTCCCTCTTTCCGCCCCTGTCAAGGCCTGGCTTGTCACCCGACTGAACCCATGTCGCCGATCAAAGCGCGCCCCCAAGGCTCTAGGATTTTCTGCCACACGTAACAGAATTTCTGACCATCGTCATTTCGACATTCGCTATCTGTGACGAGCCTGAGCCTTCTTGAGATGTGAGCACTACGGATACTCCGTAAGCAAACTCAGATTCAGACAGAGAGAGCAGCTTCCCCCTACTCAGGCCATGTAAGCCGACCACTCAGAGTCCTCTTCTCCCGAGTCCTCGGAGGGGGCCCGCCGGGTCGGGGTGGGCTGACCGTTTGTGCACTAGGTTCGCGTACCCCGCCGCAGTAAATGGCGACCGGCCGAGGAGGCGTAAGAAATTATGGGTGCTGGAAAAGATCTACGATTGTTTCCCCCCTAGGTGCTCCACATGAAGTAGAAGAAACCTCTCCCACGCAGCCGTTGCTCTCAAAAAATGGCCGATATCCCTGCTCGCGCTTTGCTTCAGAGTTGTGGATCTCTCCTTCCAGCCACCCGTTTTTACTACGTACAGAGTTCATGATACACCATCCGTGCTGTACGGATACACATGCTTGTCAGTCTACTGTTGCGTGAGGGCTTCCTACTGAGCCACAGCCGAGCAGGCCGCCGTACCAATACACCCTCAGTCAGGCCTCGTCAAGAGATCTGCGTTGGCGCAAGAAACGCGGCGACGTCGCGGCGGAGATTAAGGAAGGCCCCCTCCTACAGGGTTCTCCGGGGGCAGAGCGCGGGAAGTGACAGCTGTCGAAGAGAGCTTTGACGTCGGACGCCTGCAGATGGGTTTGCAACCCGACAATGGCGGTTTCTGTGCTTCCTTACCCTGTACTCCTGTACCTCGAGGAGAGAGGGCGGGAATGCCGTGTAGCTGTGGCAGATCGTGACTGAAACATTTGTGATGGCGCTGTTCAACGTGAGATGGTCGTCTTGTTTCGTTTCTCTTAGGGACATGCCACCTGCCATTGAATAAGCGAGGCGGCAGGCCGTGTAAGTCGAACCGAGTCGATGGATCATCAGGAAGCCGAGAATTAGGACCAGGACTCTCGGTAGTCGCAATCTCATCCAGCAGACCGCCAGCCAACGATACGAACTAGATTGCGAGTCAGTCTCATGAGCTTGTTTGAAGAGGCTAAGCGAGAAGAGTGAATCATGTGTGCCTTCTAGAGGATCGTGGACTGATAAGTATATCTATTCGTGGATCTAGCGCTTTGCAAGGCAGAACGTAAAGAACGACTAAGTGATGATCTTGCTAAGATACGGGTTGTGTCTTTCTCATGGATCCGACTATCCCATGGAATAGTCACCGATTGGGCGAAATTACTGCTAAATGGCTGCTGCGCTGTACTAGAATACGGGATGATCTCGATCTTGAACTGAATCTTGTATCGTGTGGGTGTTGCTTTGATGTTGCCTAACTCATTTCTCGCATCGCACAGACAGCATCGCGGGAGGCAGATCCGTAAGGGCAGCCATGGCTTGGCGTAATTCGATTGGCTCATTAACGACGACAGAAGCACCTCGGGATCTGACACTGACAACTTTACAATGATAGACGTCGTTACCAGCTAAGCTATCCTGGTGTGGAATAGAGAGGCCCTTCCCTTTCTAGCCACCACAATGGGGAAGGGGGCTAAAGGGGGAAATGATTGCCCATTATAGCAACACCATCGGATCAAAAGGAGGACGGTGCCCGTTGACATTGACCGGAGCCGGGCTGGAAAGTCAGCAAGAAATCCGAACTACAGTCAATAGTGGAAATCTTGTTCCTTGCCTACCAGCCAAGAACGCTCTGCTCGTGACCATTTCACCCCAGCAGGGCTAGATTAGTAGAGACAAGCCCCTGATTTTGGTGACAGCAACGGGGCCATGGACTGTGCATCGGAGGCTTCGAACGACGGTTCCTGCAGAAGGGTCCATCAATCTAGTTCGCAAGGAGAAACGTCGCGGACGATTTCTGCGCGTCACGCACTTTATTGCTAGCAAAACTTTGCGTGCAGGCGGAGCGTCGAGAACAGCCCTGAACGACGGTGGATCAATGTTCCCATCCGTCGCGCGGCGTGTCTTGTCTTCGCTGTTCCTGGGACGAGCCAAGGTCTCTTTTGGACAAGGTCAGGAACAAGCCGAGCTGGAGCTAGGTATTGCCGGAACTCCCTAGAGGGGGCGATCCTCATGAAATCGCATCCTGTCCTCCCACGTGTCGCAGGCATGGGGAAATGAAGAGCATGGACCAGCTCAAGGCGGTGCAGACTTCAGTTCAGCCACAATCCCCCGCTGCTTTGATAGCCTTTGTTCCATGCGGCGGATTCTGTGAGCTGCGTCTTTGCATTCGATGTGCTTGAAGGCAAGCCGCCCTGTAATGGCGTTGGCATCCGGTCCCAAGTCATTGTCAGGCCTGGCTGCACGCGGGCGGCTAAGACCCCTTTTCTGCTGACAGCACGGTCAGGCGGCCGCGCCTGACCGACAGCGTCGAATCCGCGTCTGATGCGGCCAGATCTTGACATGGACGTGCGACGGCGACCAGACTTTTCATTTGGAGGTTCGACAAGTCCAGTTGCGGGTATCCGTAGTTGAACTTACACAAGGCAGGTGTCGACAGAATGCGTGTCGAAGAGGGTCGAGGGGCGCATACTTTGAAGAACGGACTTGCGTATCTCGTAGACTCGCAGTTGGGTGACACAGAGAAGATCGGCAGCGAATCGGCAGTGAAGCGGTCTCACATCGACTAGACTAGCAGAGCACGGGATCCTTGGCGATGGACCGCTGGCGGATTCAGCTGGATGATGAAAGGTTCCAGAAATCTGGCAACTGGCGTCAACTTTGAGACTTAGGCGCAGGCATTATGCTTCGCGAACAACAGTCCCTTAATAACGCGTACGGGCCGCAGCGAGGGCCGTCGGGAGGCTCAGCGTCCCAAGGCCAGTACTGTGTCTCCGTATGGGTTACTCAGGGGTATCGGAACTGCAGATATTTGAATTGATTTCCAGTCTTTAGTCAGGATGTCAATATCCCGTCTGATAATACAATGGACACCTGTACTCGTGTATATCGTTTGAAACCAAACAAGTCCGTTGAAGACATCGGATGTGATGAACGGATAGCGCGGTCGTAAAAGCTGATGATGACGAGTTGCTGTGTGGCTTGGAGCATCGCAGGGTTCAAGAGGTCCGTTCCACCCTCCAATGTCCGCGTCCGAAGCCGAAGAGAGGCGACAATCATGGGGAAACGGGGTCAGGGATACGGATTGAAGGATGCAGGAATTCCTGGATGGGCCGGGGACCACCGTAGCACGCGCCCGAGTCGATATCTTGTTTTTCTTTTTGGCTTCCCCTATTCCACATCCCGCTCAACCGCTCTCCGAACGGGCATGTGGGCCTTCTTGATGCGGTCAAGCGCGACCCTCCTCCTGAAATTGGTCCCTGTCGTTGTCTCTGGGGTGCAGACGCTGACAATGTCAAATTCAAAAACGGAGTTGACAGAGGCACACCGAAGGGAAAAAGGAGGGGTGGCGCTCTCTGACATGCCACTTGTTTGTCGTTAACGATGGCGCCGATTTTTACGAGCACACGGGCCGCCGACAGGTTCATCAATGCTGATTTAGGCCGGGAAGCCGATCAAATCAGGTGTGCATAAACCTTCAAGTTGCGCTGTCGCAAACGCAGACACTCCGAACGGTGAGCCAAGTTGGCGCAAGATGGTTACACTGCTCGTCTACCTAGTGAAGGAGCCGTGAGACCAGGAGTTGCGAGCGACTGACACGGTGTCATGTTGCTGTGCGTTTGACAGGCTGTCTTGATTTCGATCGCCTTTCTTCTTTCTGCAGCATTTGCAGACGCAGGACCGCAATGTGCAGCTGAAAAAAGCAGTGGTTTCAAGCCTGCCTGCGCCTCCTGGATGCATGAACGATGGGCGTCATGCCGGTTTCTGCTCCTGTCTGGTCGGTACTTTTCTTGAACAGAAAAGCACTAAGAATGATAGTAAGAGTATGATGGGGACGATTCCCAACCTCGGTCCTTGGATCTGACCCACTCAGCTCCGATGTTATTTGTTTTGCGGTTCGTCCATCCGTTCTTTTAAAAGAAAGGAAGCCATATGCCCGGTGTCGTCCAGTGCGGCGTGGTATCCCGAGTCTGTGGGCAGTGGTTCCATCAGGCTTCTAGAGTTCGTTGCGAGGAAACCTATTTTAGTCTTTTCTTCTTCCTTGATTACGAATTTTGGCAGGTCTCGGTCGGAAAGGCAGATGCTTGGATGGATGCGAAGGGCGAGCAAGAAGCCGATCTGAACGGGTCAAGGCCAGTCCGTTCCGCATGTCTAGGATGACTATGTGAGAATGTGTTGCAGATGCCGCCACCAACAATGCAGCCAGCGTTGGTGGGTGATCCTGACACTACCAGAGATGGAGACGATGTCTGGTGAGGGTTCGTTAGGTTTCTGGAGCCCGGTTCTTCTTCTTCTTCTTCTTGTACATAGGTTTCCCCAGTCCACCCAGCGGCTAGGTAAGTTGAGCTGTAAGGCAAAGTATCACAGGACGGATGCAAGGCAAGGTAGGCGGCCCCTCGCTTTGGAATCGAGCGAAACGGTACCTCGACGTCGTCCGTAGACAGGGCTTGTTCACCCCTTTTCCAACCCAAAGATGGGAAGTTGCAGTTGCAGTTGCAGTCATCTGCAGTCATATTCGGCCCAATTTGTTCCTGCATTTGCATTGAGACTGGACGCACGATGAGGCAAGCTGGAGAAGTCGGCACAGCTCGGCGAGTTTGATGGGAAGGACCGCGCACGGGATAGTCTGTTCGTGAGAAATGATGCGTGACCAATCGAATAGACGATTGACAACGAATGGCCAGAAGGTCTCGAGCGGCTTGTGAAGGAGATTTCGAGCTCAACTGAGCTGGAGGGAGCGAACGCAAGCGATGGGATGCCCAGGCTGCCTAGAACCCGCGCAGCTGTGGCAGCTCACGCAAATCCAGAGGTGTAACCGTGTAAGGGCGAATCCTCGTAGACCTTGGGGTTCGAAGTGGCGTGCGGATATCTGACCCGATGGGAAAGAGTCCGAGACGATGGGAATTGGTGTGTAGCGGCAAGAGGCGAGCAGTCTCGACTCTCAAATGGGGCGAGTACGTACATGGTCGATGATTTGTAGCGTCGGTATTTCCATCGCTGCGGTCTCTTGCTCGAGGACGAAGGTCAAAAACGATGTTTGAGAGTAATTTGTAGATGCTAGACAGACGGGGAACTTCGGTACATACCGCGGCGAACGTTCTACGGCAACCTACCTAAGCTGCGATATACCTAACTGCAGTTCTATCTGGTGAGGAAGATACGGGGTAAAAAGCAGGCAGGTGCATTTCATCCTCAACTTCCAGGTTAGAAATCGCGAGGATACGTACCTCTACTTGATATCACGGAATCACGGAAGGTGTCAAGGTGAATTGAGGACAGGTCAAGGAAAGGGTGACTGTGGGGTGGTTGGAGGACCCCCGCCACTTCCATCGCCAGCCCAAGGACTGAACTGGAACTTGGGTGCTTGGGAAGGGAAGGCTCACGGCTCACGCAGGTGCGGCACCCATCTTTGGAGGAGAGAAGGAAGCGATGGAACCCCTGCAGAATTCTCAAACAGATTTCTGGCGTTACAGCGAAGCGGGAGTCGCGGGACCAGTCATCGTCGTCCCATCCCACACTTTGATTTTTTTCAGTCTGTTTCCAAGGTGCTTGTTGGTGGGGTCGCGTTCTTGTTCACATCTGCTTCGGGAGGTGATGGTTCTTGATTTTCTGTATTGTGTATCATGTATCATGTATCCGTACGGATCATATAGATACTTCCATTGTCAAGTTCCAGGTCAACTGACCGATGGAGGTTTGTTTTGTTGAATTTCCAGTTAGCAGACAGATGGGCGGGCATGAGAAACATTGCAATATGCCCACGTTACACGCCCGCAGTATCCAGTCTCACCACAAGAGACAAATTCCTCCAAATTTGCATTTTCGAAGCGACTTATATGAACTCTGACAGATTGCCACATGTACCTCTCTATCCTTTCTCCAGACAAGAAGCGATGGATTTTACCCTGAGCCTGGGTCAGTGAGTTCATGACAATACGGTAGCCTCCTTTCTCCTATTCAGAAGACCGCTGTGATCTCCAAACGTCTTGATGTCATGATACAGACGTGTAATCAAACTGGCAATTCCGAGAACTCTCTACCTAGGTAGGGAGTCTAGGCTGTGTCCTGCTGGACCCGTCGCCCGTTGCATGTTGCACGATGCGCGTTGCTAGTTGGGCAGCAGAGCAGTTCGTTGTAACTTCTATTATCGCTTGGTTCGGTTGGTACGCCCGCTGACGGACTCGGCGAGGCTCCATTGGGCTTTGATGATTTCCCTGCTACCTTACTGCAGTTGGTAGGTCGCCGGCGACTGAGTGCCCGTTTGTACTCTGGGATTTCGCGCTTCCCTACCTTACCTAGGTACCTATCTTTGCCTTAAACAACCATGTACTCCGGTACGTATCTACCTTGGGTAGTTTCTGCCCGCTCGCCCACTTCGCCTGAAGCCAGGAACCGCTCCGCATCGCGCGCACGAGGCAAGGGGTCCGTTCCCCACCCTCCATTCTTAGTGACCCCATCTCCTCCCTCATCCCAAGATGGTGGTGGTGGTGAGTGAGTGTACCTTCCTAGGTACCGACTGGCTCTCTTTCGCTCTCACACGATACGGAGGCTTAGGTTGTTGGAGGCAGTCGTTCATGCTCACATTTAATCTCACTTTCATACGCATCGGTACACCCACCACACCACAAACTCACCCTCACTCTCATTAACTCTCATTCGGACACACGTACCGGTAGCTCACGCTTATGGATTTAGCAGTCTGTTCGCGCACATCAATCTCTCATGGCACTCAACGCGCTTTTCGCGTCTTCCTCTTCAAGACTATTCCATAATTAATACCCATTACGTACGGATACCTCACCTTCATCCCACTTACTAGGAAGGAATACGTACCGAACAGAACCAGGGACTCCCCCGTCCTCATCGTCCCGGATCAGGTCCAACTTTCACGTTCAGGCAGGCCGGCCGCTCTGCTCTCGCTCCCATGAGCCATCAGTGGTCACTGGTCACGCATCACACCCACATCCATCCTTTCCATCCATCCACTTTGCTCATCCAACCTTGACCCTCCAATAAAGCCAATCCCACCGTTTTGTGCAACCTCTCCGCTGGACCTACGGCCAGTCTACCTGTTCAATTACGAGTCTGAGTACGTAGCTATATGAATACCTTAGGTTGCCTACTGTCTAGGTACGCGGTATGGCTGTCGAGTGAACTCAGGCCTCTCTCATCGCACCCGCAACAAGCCTGGCAGATGGCGGCAATGGAGGGCAACAAGGTACAGATACCGATGCTCGTTGATCGCTCACTCAGTGTCCGTGCCATGTGCCTTGTGCCTGTCCATCTGCTGGCCCTAAGTGATCCATGCCCCTTTATTCGCGACCCATCCTATCCATCCGTACCTTAATCTCTCCGTATGCACCGCGGCGACCAACTGTACGTACCTTTTTACCTGGATATGGCCAGGACCTGAGGACACAGCCTTTTTTTTTTGCTCTCACGCTCTCTGCCTCTGCCCTCTCTGACCGTGGTCCCCTCTTCCTCCTCTGCCTCATTCTCTCTGGCACCGCTCACCCCCCCGTCCGTCATACTCTTGTCCAACTTTGCTGCTTGTCCCTCCTTTTGCACGTTCTGAACCGCCGCCCTACGCAGTCCTACCTCGCTGTACTCTGTGTACCATCCCCTCCTTTCTACTTGAGCGACAAGGCCTATCTCTCTGTGTTCCCCCAAGAGAATTGGCCCCCAGTCCTCATTCCACCCACACGGAACCACCAAACGCACACATTCATACACACTCAACCTCTCACACTACTCTTCTTCTTCTTCTTCTACTCAACTTTGCTCTGCTTTTTCAACCCTACCCCCCTCACTCCTTTCTTTGCTTTTTGCAAACGGCAGTGAGAAACCTCTGCCATCCCGCAGCGTTGCGCCCCAGAGAAAACATATCCCAAAAGAACGGGCTCATCACGCTTCTCAACCAGACGCACCAAACCAAGCACAACCCTTCCCCTCCGATTATCTGACTGGATCTGGAACCTCGCCGCTCCTAGGCTCGATTTTAATTTGATCACCGCTGTCCACACATTTGCGGCCGCGCCTGCCAAAGCTAAAACAGCGCCCTTATTTGTCGCGCCGCCCTATCAGCTGGGCCAAAAGCAATATCCATCGGCCTGCCCCCCGACGAAGCTTCCGCTCGAAACACCACAAAAAACCAACACCAACATTCTCGAAGTCTGCCATCTTGGGTTCTTTGACACCGACTGAAATCACTTCGCAGCCTCTTGTGCACTCAACTCAATCACCGTCTCGAGGCGTTCGCTGGACGACATCCCAACTGTGCCCGCACACACACCAATATACACTCACTAATCCACCACTCAATCACACTCTAACCGACCCAGTTCGCGCACGACACGCACGACTCGATTCCACCCAGTTTCCCGCTGCATTTCCCCTCCCAAAAACTGCCACGCCCCCTCCACCACCTCTTCGCAGCCACGCTCACGAACCGTTCTTCTTTTTCGAGTCGCAAGGGCCTGGCAACGATAGCTGCATCCTTGGATCAATTGGAATAACCCCTCCCTTTCACGCTGGATTCCAAGAGTCGCTTTCCCAATCGCCAACCTCGCAGCTGCACCGCAACATCGCCGTTCAGCCGCCCACCGATCCACCAGCGTCGGCCGTCGTAACCTCTCCGTAGGCGACGTCGAGACCCCGTTCATCCAAGGGGTTCTCTTAGGCGACCTGCCTACTTCGCGCAAACATCACCTCAGGCCATCGCCAACATGTCCGTCATGCTCCAAACACCATCTCGAGCTTCTACCGCCTCCTCCTCCTCCTTCCAACCCCTTTCCCGCCAAAACACCATGTCTTCTTACGATGGATCGCGGTCCGCCCGCCAATCGAAGCGTTACTCCATGTCCGCGCTGTACATGTCCATGTCAGCGAACGAGACTGATCTGGAGATTGAGGATGACTTGGCCAAAGGTAGGCTCTGTAACCTCCGCAGTTTCCTTGCCCTTTTGCCCTACTGACGATGGATTTTACAGCCCAGAAGATTCTCAGAGAGCTCAAGTCCAAGATCTCTTCGCAGTCCAAAAAGAACTTCGTACTGGAAAAGGATGTACGATATCTTGATTCACGAATCGCCCTCCTCATCCAGAACCGAATGGCTCTCGAGGAACAGAACGAAGTCGCGAGCCACTTGGAAGACGCGACGGATATGCAAGAAGGCGCCTTTCCTAACGACGACAAGACGCAAAAGTATGGCAACTTGATGTTCTTGTTGCAATCCGAGCCGAGGCATATTGCACACCTCTGCCGTCTGGTGTCAATGTCGGAAATCGACTCTCTGCTGCAGACTGTCATGTTCACCATCTACGGAAACCAATACGAGAGTCGCGAAGAACATCTGCTCTTGACTATGTTCCAGGTTTGTGACCCGTGACTATACTACGCGATCTGGCAAGCTGACTCTTGACCCATTAGTCTGTTCTGACCTACCAATTCGACAACACCCCCGAATATTCTTCGCTTCTGCGTGCGAACACCCCCGTCTCGAGAATGATGACCACGTATACGCGGAGAGGACCAGGACAGAGCTTTCTCAAGTCAGTTCTCGCTGATAGAATCAACAGTCTGATCGAGTTGAAGGATCTCGACCTGGAGATCAACCCCCTCAAGGTCTACGAGCGCATGATTGAGCAAATTGAGGAGGACACTGGCAGTCTGCCTGCATCGCTTCCCAAGGGCGTTACTGCTGAGCAGGCTGCGGAGAACCCCCAAGTTCAAGCCATCATCGAGCCGCGTCTGACAATGCTCACCGAGATTGCTAATGGCTTCTTGACAACCATCATTGACGGACTCGACGAAGCGCCGTACGGTATTCGGTGGATTTGCAAACAGATTCGCAGCTTGACGAAGCGCAAGTACCCTGATGCCAATGATCAGGTCATTTGCACTCTTATCGGCGGATTCTTCTTCTTGCGGTTCATCAACCCGGCAATCGTGACACCAAAGTCATACATGCTCATTGACGGTCAGCCGGCTGATCGCCCGAGAAGAACGCTGACTTTGATTGCAAAGATGCTGCAAAACCTTGCTAACAAGCCCTCCTACGCCAAGGAGCCATACATGGCCAAGCTGCAACCCTTCATCTACCAGAACAAGGAGCGTATCAACAAATTCATGCTTGACTTGTGTGAAGTTGGCGACTTTTATGAGAGCTTGGAAATGGATAACTACGTCGCACTCTCGAAGAAGGATTTGGAACTGTCCATCACCTTGAACGAAATCTATGCCATGCATGGCCTGATTGAGAAGCACAACGGAGAGCTCTGCAAGGACGACAACTCGCACTTGGGCATCATCATGTCTGAGCTAGGAGGCGCACCCCCACAGGTTCCTCGCAAGGAGAACCGCGCCATCAACCTCCCCCTCTTTAGCCGATGGGAAACAGCGATCGACGACTTGACAGCGGCGCTCGACATCACGCAAGAGGAAGTGTACTTTATGGAAGCCAAGTCCGTCTTTGTGCAAATTATGCGATCGATCCCATCCAACAGCAGTGTTGCACGAAGACCTCTGCGACTCGAGCGGATTGCCGACGCCGCAGCTACGAGCCGAAACGACGCCGTGATGGTTCGCAAAGGTATCAGAGCGATGGAGCTGCTCTCACAGCTGCAGGAACTGAAAGTCATCGATAAGAGCGATCAATTCGGCCTGCTGCGTGACGAAGTCGAGCAGGAACTGCAACACCTTGGATCGCTCAAGGACGGAGTCATTCAAGAGACTGGCAAATTGGAAGAAGTCTACAAGACCATTCGCGACCACAACAACTATCTCGTTGGCCAATTGGAGACGTACAAGAGCTACCTGCACAACGTGCGTTCGCAAAGCGAGGGAACCAAGCGCAAGCAGCAGAAGCAACAGGTCCTCGGGCCTTACAAATTCACTCACCAGCAGCTGGAGAAGGAGGGTGTCATTCAAAAAAGCAACGTCCCGGATAACCGGAGGGCCAACATTTACTTCAACTTTACCAGCCCTTTGCCGGGAACTTTTGTTATCTCTCTTCACTACAAGGGTACGTTGCCTCGATTGGTCATTGCGCAACTTTTACTGACTTTTGTACAGGACGCAACCGCGGTCTTCTTGAACTGGATCTCAAGCTCGACGACCTGCTTGAGATGCAGAAAGACGGCCAGGACGACCTAGATCTGGAGTACGTCCAGTTCAACGTCACCAAGGTTCTCACTTTGTTGAACAAGCGATTTGCGAGAAAGAAGGGGTGGTAAACGCCACCACTTGACCTCTCAACTCTCAACTGTACAACTTTTTCTCCCAGAGATACCCTCGACTGGCTTTTCTTCGAATTAGGCGTTCTCGGCATCTCTTTGAATCCTGATACCACGACGTTTTCGTCTTCATCGTCGCACCGCCTCCGATTTCCATCCTCGCAACCGTCTGCATCAATGCGTTGCCAGCTTCCCACCTTTATGAACGCCTCCTCGCTACGGCCGCCTTTAATTCATTTCTCGACCATCTCGTTTATCCATACGCATACCGGCGTTATTATACCTGTCTCTTTCGTATTCGCCTACATCTGTGTCTGCGTGCTCAAGACTTTGAGCAGCTTTCTCTGGACTAGGTCACGTACAAGATTATCACCGTGGATATATGGGAACTTGGTTTTTGTCCGGCCTTGCGCGCCACATCATATCGGCGAATAGGCGGTACGGCTTGGAGTCTTCTTTTTTACACCCGCTCGATATACCTGCTACGTCATTTTTAATTCTCTTGTTCGGCGGCCGGCGCCAGGAAATTCATGGTTCATGCTGCCCTTTTGCAACTTTGCTTGTCCTCTTTTGGTCCTCATTTGTCTTTTTTCGATCCACACGTCCTGATGCGCAACGACGGCGCAAGTTGTATTCGGCTGGTCCGGCGACTTTCTTGGTTTTATGTCCTGTCCCCCTTTGCACTTCATGTCTGAAATGATACGGTAGAGAAGATGGACGAGAAAGAAATGGAATGAAGGTAGATGATTCTCTCAAAATCTGGTCTCTCCGTGATGACGTACAGTGATATGTTTCCCTTGTGAAGGTTTGTCAATGATGGGGTGACGATCTCGAGAGTACGAGGGGAAGAATTGACTTCCGCGATCAAGGTTTGAAAAGGAGGGTCTAGGAGGGGGTTCACTTTAGTTTGAGCGATGATTTGACAGTTCGTCGTGCCTGTGTCTTGTCTCGATTTTCTGCTCTGTTTCTGTTCCTACAACGAAGGTTTCTATTGACTTTCTGAGTTCCTCTTCACAAATGGGGCGCGTTCGTTGCAAAAGCAGAAGTCTCGTGTCTCTATGCTGTGGCTTTGGGTTTTCGAATCGGGTATACTTCATCCGATGACTTTTGTCATCCGAGATGGGATGGATTCGTAGGCGAGTAACGGGTGAGCGAAGGAGGGGAAGGGGGGATGACGTGAGCCTGTCTGCCACGTTGTCCTGTGGTCGCGCTGTGCCTTTTGCGTTTGGGTTGTTTGGTTCTCTTTTTTTTCCCCCGGTTCGTGTTTCGAAGTTTGGTGGTGTCGAGGGCGTTGGTATAGGGGCGGTGGTATATATGACCGAAGTGTGTGTCTCTTGTGTTTGAGAGGTCTTGGGTGTAGGGTTGGGTGAGAGGGGGGCCGGGTATGTTTTGCCGGGCCCTAGGGTCTTTCGTGCCGGTGGTGGTTCTCTAGGTGAGGGAAAGTGAGGTAGGGTTTTTGGGTGATAGGGAAGGGTGTGCTGTCTAAAGGGGGAGGGGAGGAGGGGGTTTGGAAAGGTGACGATGGTTTTCTTTGGTCGATTGGGTTTAGCTGGCGTGTTACAGCCTTGTGGGGAGGGGGTGGTGGTGTTTGGGGGCGGTTGTGGTTGAGTTGGTGAGATGAGATGAGGCTGAGGTTGGAGTATTTGGTGAGCTTTTGTGAGTTTGTTGAGTTGGATGGATTATTTTACTTTTGAAGGAGGCTGAATATGGGAAAAGAGCGGAGGTAGCCTCTCTAACATTGTAAATGACGAAGATTATGAGAAGGAGTTTGTATGTGTTTACGAGTGAGTGAGCTTGAGCTCAGGGGAGTTGCTTTGAAAACATGAGTGTAAGTTGGGGGAGCTTGGGGTGGGAGAAAGCTACGTTGCCGAGGACGAGTTTGTGACAGGATGAGAGGAGTGCTATGATGATCCCATAGAAGATGAGGGTTTGGCTCAGGATTTCGGAACATTTGGAAGGTGAACTGTTTCTGGCTTCACGTATATGTCTACGATACAGCATGAGAAGATGTCGGAAGTGAAGCGAACCTCACTGGAGACGTCAAAATAGTGACCGAATTTTAAATAGCCTTTTCCACGACGGTGTCAAGTTGAAGTCGAAATTTGTACAGTCTGATACCGGCCTGAGAGTGAGAGAGCTTGGAGGGATAGTGAAATATCCTCCACTTCGTTATGTTACTGTTTCTACGCATACCCCGTTGGTAGCCCCGAACTTGATGAAAGAGAAAATGAGTGAGGGCCAAGGAAGATATACTGATTCATAGCGGACATTATATTGGCAGATGTAGCTCTAACTATCGTGAGTGATGATTGCTTCATCAGTGAAGCCCCCACAGTTCAGGCCAACTGCAATCACGTCGATTACTTTCCTTGGCATATTACTTTGCGATGATTGAAGAAAAGATAGTAGACAGGCTATGTGCCTGCAAGAATCCGGGGCTAAACGTTTGCCACGGCTTCAACTGCGTCGTATATCCTTTAAACCAAAGATAGACCAACTACATCTTTGACCTGAGATGGAATAAGTAATTCGCAAGTCCCGGAACGCAGACGGTGGAGTACGTCTAGACCCCTTCTGCCAGTCCGTCGGATCTCTTGCAGATTGCCGCCATCAGTACTTACTGCTTACCGAGCATACAATGACTGGGTGTGTAGATTGAAAGGTCTGGTTGAATGGGGAACTTTTCTCCATATCTTCTCTACATTCATATTCAAGTTGAGGGTATGGATGAGGAGGCAATCTAGTAAGCATGTTCGAAGTCTTCAAGATGTACCTTTTATGACATTAAACTTTCGCACATCTTGTGTATATAAAGACTGGGGTTCTGTGTACAACCGCTGCGGTTTGGATCAACTTGTCTCCAAAATTTGGAGCGGAACCGACTTGTATATCGCCATGACATCTGATTGTGTTTGGAGGCCTGAATACAATACGAGCATGACAGAACATAGCAACCCCAAACAATACATGGTCCCTTCCCGAGAACAGAACGTGCTCTCAAATTTGACCTCATGGTAAGATGATCCGAGTGCGTTTCCCTTCGCATGTTGTCGCCAGACGATCGAACTTTCTCGATCGGAACCCCGCGTTGGGAAAAGGCTGTGTGATCTCGTCCTAGAACTGGCTTGTTGGGTTGGGTTAAGAATGCAGTGAAGCTTCTCGCCTCTCGCCCGATCGCCCGACCTCTGAGAGAGGCTTTGCATACAGGGGCTGAGGCGGCAAAGTCGCCGGAACAGTCTCGAGAGCTTGAGTTGGGTTAAGAATGCAGTGAAGCTTTCTGCCCTCAACTCCTTGGAGGTCAGGCATAGCCGCATAGGAGCTGGGGTGCTAAAGTGGAAAAACGTCTCGAGAGCTTTGGGGGAGCTAAAGTTGCAGTGAAATTTTCGCCACCCACCCACAACCTCGGAGGGAGTTTTGCGTGCAGGAGTTGAGTTGAAAAAGTTATGAATCGTCTTGAGAATCACAGATGAGATAATATTGCAGTAAAGCTTTCGCCCCCATTCCCTTTGAGGTCGAGCTCTGGAAGTGAGGGTTGTGGTGCTAATGTGGGAAAACGTTCTGAGAGCTTTGGGGGGAGCCAAAATTGCAGTGCATTGCTTGGACGGCTCAAGTCTAACCACTTCTGGGGGCCAGAGGTTGCATGTAAAGATTGTATTGAGTTGACAAAGTTCCCATCCGTCTGAGAGCTTGAGATGGACTAATATTGCAGTGAAGCTTACTACTACAAAACCTCGCACCTAGAGGGGGCTTTGCATGCAGATGCAGGGGTTTAGGTGCTCCAGTCAGCATACGCGTCCATCGCCAGCTCTCATACAAGATGATACTGACATCGTCTTTCGAAATTTGTATGGTACGGGAGAGCTGGAAGAGAAAGGGACTGCGAACGAGGTATGATCACGAGCTGCATTTTGTGTCTTTAAGGAGTCCGTGGTAGATCGTAGCTCAAGCATTGAGGTGATTCATGAGTCTCGTCTTTAGTAGACCCCAATTCAATTGTGTTTGTTGGAGAGCTAGGAGACTGTGTCATCTGCCATGGCGAGAACGCGTTGGCGAAGAAGTAACTGGGTAGAAACAAGACGTGCTGTCTTGCCCGATACCGCGGTGGTGCAATAGTATAAGTGCCCTCGGCCGACTTGGTACCGAAAAGCCTGAGTGGCTGGCAGCACTCATGGCGAAAATAACTCTAACAGGGTCAGAATCGCTGGAGGTAGACGAGGGCGAAGAAGAGGATGGCTGCATGAGATCAGCAAAGCAAATCATCGGTTAGAAGCGGGAGGTCCCCGTATAAGCCTTCTCTGGTCACGTCAGCGGCCTTCATCGCTTTGCTCAAGCCTTCGTCGATTTGATATCGAGATACCAGTGTCAGAAATAGACGGACCAACGAGAACATGTTCGCCTTGCCTATCAGCCGTCTTGAAGACCTTATGTTTGATTGAACACACAGCTACTGCGAGAGGCCCGATACCTATCGGACCTATGCCTATTGCCCAGCCTAGTCGCGATGTCATTGCTATCCTCACGGGTGCTTGGATTGGAATCGAGCTCATCCATGCTGCGTGGTTGCTTCGATCTCAATAATCTATGCTATGAATCAGCGTGTGGCTGCATGACTTCAGTGTTCCTTATTACGATTGGTAGATCCAAGTCGAATGGTTCGCATTATCAAACGTGGCGGGTCAGGTCGAAGACGCGGCGGAAAAGAGCCGACAGGCCGGTTCGTGATGAAATAGGATGAGATGAGATGGGATGGACAGACGAATATGGCAGACACACATCACCACATTAGACGCTGATGGACAGCCATGCTCGCTATGAATCACCAACATTGCCACTTGAAGGAGGCAAATTGGTTGTGTTTGTAGGCTAGTGTTTCGGCGATGGACGGTGTGTGTCCAAAGAGTCGTGCGTGGTCATCTTGAACGTCGGCGACTATCAGAGTGCCGCTCTCTGTCGGCGACCACGCATCGGCTTGCGAGGCCGCATGAAGTGAAGCGTTGCATTCGGCGGGGTATGTTAGTATCGTTGATGGGTGGTGGGATTCGTTTCAAAACACGAGCGATTGGGGATGTCGCAAGATATCGTTCATGCCTAGACTATACGCATCACCCTCGATTTTGATAGAAAAGCCCGGTGGGCACATGAAGACTCGCAAATTGACATCTATATGTCATTCGCCCCCCGTTCTCACCGAAAACCACCGAGCCCGGTGAAGAGACTTAAGCTTGTTTCGAGCGCGTTAACTGTAACTTACAACGCCACGCCCACCCCGGCCGCTTCCCACGCGGGCCAACCCGCAAATTCTCCTCCACCTCCCAATCCGTAGACGCTTGCCAGACAAACTTCACCAAGGGGGTGGGAATGGCAGGACAAAGTTGCCTATCTGATGATTCACTGATAGGGAAACGATGTCCGACAATCACTGAATCGGCCACTCTCTCTTTCTCTCCTTGAAAAGAATTCCCATAATAGGGGAGTTAGTTCCCTTGGGGTAGCATTGACTTAATCTCGTAATGCTCCACACCAGGAACCCAGCAAAGCAAAAAGTCCTATCCGTACCCATTATCCGCATCATAAACAGAGACAAAGACGCACATGCCAACGCAGAAAAAAAGAAGGGGGAGAAATCTTGAAAGTGTTGCCCTTTTTAGCCTAAGTGCCAGACAGGGTGACATTCGTTGGATACGTTCTAGAAAAGGAGGACGGACAAGGAACCCAACCCAAATCATAATCGAATCTTGATAAGCCGGACCCCTTTTCCCCAAATCCTGCGCGCAACTCCAAGATTCCCCGAGGTAACTATACCATTTTGCAAATATGGCTGCGCATACCGAGAGCGCGCAGCTGGCCAGTCGGCTTGATGGACTGGTCATGGTCATCCCGGACCTGCGCCGGATGGTCAGCCACTGGCCGTCTGGGAAGAATACTCATGCCACCGAGGTTGAGGGGTTGATTTGCAAACTACTGGAGCAGAGGTGAGTTTGTCCGATATGAAGATGGAATGGTTTCGTGATGCTGACTTCTTACAGCGATGTGTCACCGAAAGACAAGGCCAATGTCCTGGAAGCAAATCCGGCTCTCTTAGCCTCATGGTAAGATATCCTTAAGAACAGTCCAAAAAGAGGAAGGAAAAAAACCCTCAGCGCTTGCTGATAAATGATGTGTGTAACGTTAGCCTCTGGCCCAACGTAGCAAGAGAGAGACTTGGCACCTTGACGCTCATGGTGCTCTGGCAGGGCAGACTCGATGACCATATCGAAAGACTCGAGTACAAGAGCGCGGAAAAGGCCAAAGACTTCCGCAACAAGGCCAAGGACTACATTGCGCAGTATCTCCAGCTTTCCGAGGGGCCCAGGGAGGCGTCAACGAACCCCGTCATTGCGGGGTTCCAGCCGGTTGCCAAAGTCATTTGCCAGCAGTACGACCGAGGTCAGTGTTTCCCATATCTGGGTGTAGTAGCGAAATCTGAGGGCTGATTTCTTTGGGTGGTGGGCAGATCAACGGAGAAGGTTAAGAGTTAGTCTATTCGAGTACATTGACTCGACCGTGCAAGAGATGCGGTACATCCAGAACGGACACGCGCCGACGAATTTATCGTATGAGAAGCTTCGCAAGAAGACGGGGGGCGCTGGGCCTCTGTGTGCCTTGGCAGAGTAAGAAAACATGAGGGTATCTCTCCTAGAGTGTGGGATTTTTGCTGATGAAAGCAGGTTCGCCTCTGGATCAGAGTGGCCGGCGCACGTCGTCAACTCGCAGCCGTATAAAATGATTCTGGAGTCGGTCAGCATCATCATTGGCCTGTAAGTTTTGCCCCTGTGATAGACCCCGGAATGAAGATACGCAGAAGCTGACGGGGTACTTTTCTGGAAATAGGACGAATGACTTGCTCTCGCTGAACAAGGAGCTGGTAAGTAGACTTGTGGTGGTGGTGCTGTTGTGTGAGCGGAGGAACTAATCATTCGAGCAGCGGAAAGGCCGGACTCTCAACGCGGTGCCGGTGCGGTACTGGAATGGCAAAGACGGCAGTGACCTGGAGAGTGCCGTCGGAGAAGTCGTAGAAGAGATTGACAAGGCCGTCAAGCAGCTCGACGTCTGCGAGCGAAGATTGATCAACCAGAGCCTGGCGGATGCGGACGCGATTCGGGAGGTGACTGCGACGCTCAAGACGATTTGCACTGGCAACTTGACTTGGAGGTTTGTGACTTTGGATCCCCCCTCCCTCTCAGAACTTGCGCGTTGCTGACAATGAGAACAGTCTTGAGTCAAAACGGTATAACGTAGGTCCTCCGGACGCCGACGGAAGTCTGAGGCAGGAACTGAGGGCTCCTGATGCATGAAATAGAGGGCAAGGGCAGTGGGAGGAACGGAGACGGTAATGGACGATGATAATCGGATGAGTTAGTGATGAGAGGTAGAAGTATTGGCTGGGCGGCAACGCCGCGAGTAGAACGCCCGTAATGATGAATGATACCCCCAAAGGCTTTGGCCTCAACGGTCAATTGACGTTCCAATTGCGTATGGTGCTGAATGTGTAATTGTCGAGCCCCCCGAGTCCCAAAGCCAGCCGATTGGGAAAAGGGCCCGAGGACCTTGAGAGACAGCGCCACAAAAGCAAGTATCACGGAAAAAGAAAGCAGAGGTTGACGAGATGCAGACGTTATTGGTGGCGTGCATGACAAGTCAAGTTTGCGTTGCAGCGCCCCGGGGCTTGTGAACAAATGCGGCGTACCAGCGCGACCGCGCCAGAAGGATTTTAGCCTCTTAGCATCTTGGGATTATTACACACCTAGTAGTGTTCCGTACACAGAACTTCACTACTAATTTGCCTAGGGATACTGTACCTTAGGTAAGTAGGTACAAAATGATTGTCTCACAGGGGGGAAAGAGGGCCGGACGCAGGGGGGACGTTTGCCATTGGACGTTGGTCTGATGTCATGGCAATTTGCGAGCTCAGCCAAGCAAATGTCTCAATTGGCGCGGGCAGTGGCAGTGGGCGCGGCCCCTCTCAAGCTTTCAGCTCCAGGGCAGCGTCTGGGGAAGAGACCAAAGCTCCCCCCCAAGCTCTCGTCCCCAGGAAAACAGAATAGCTCCCAACACAAACACATAACATCCAGCCTCGCGCCCTCATCATTGAGCTTAAGCATCTACCAAACTTTCCACACTCACACCGCATCAGCTTCAACCTCAAGACGCGTACCTAGCTACTCACAGACACAATGGCTTTCCGCTTCGCCGCAAGAAGACTCGCCCTCACCCGCCCCGCCGTGCCGGCGCGTGCCTTCCACTCGACGCCCGCCGCCTTCGTCAAGGTTGGCGACGCCGTGCCCGAGGTCGACCTCGTCGAGAACTCGCCCGGCAACAAGGTCAACCTCGCCGAGGAGTTTGGCAAGGTCACCAACGGACTCATCATCGGCGTGCCCGCCGCCTTCTCCCCCGCGTGCTCCGCGAGCCACATCCCTTCTTACATCAACCACCCGAAGCTCAAGGAGGCCGGCCCCGTCTTTGTCGTCTCTGTCAACGACCCCTTTGTGTAGGTTTTTCTCCCTGGGATTTGGAGGCAGGATCCGAAACCTCATTGAGGTTTCAGGGCAAGCCGGCGTGTGGAAAGAAGGAGATTGATACTAACGATCGAGTAGCATGAAGGCCTGGGGTGACCAATTGGACCCCGCCGCCCAGACTGGAGTATGTTGACATACCCTCCCCCCTCCCGCCTTGCGCCGAGGCAGCGTTGGCATGCTAACGTTATAAAAGATTCGATTCCTGGGAGACCCGTCTGGCGAGTTCACCAGAGCGTTCGACGTCGACTTTGACAGCAAGGCTATCTTCGGCAACGACCGCAGCAAGCGCTATACCCTCGTCATCGAGAACGGAAAGGTCAAGGAGGCCCACGTTGAGCCCGATAACATTGGTACTGCCGGTAAGATTCCGATAAACCGTATCACGTCGTCCTGTGAGAGCGAGCTGACAATGTGAGCAGTTTCCCTGGCCGACAAGGTCTTGGGTTGAGAAGACATGGACTCGGAGTTGCGATGTTGCAAAGATGTACAAGAAAGGAAACCTCGAAGGCCACTTGGATTAGGTAGATGCAGTTTGAAAGAAGATGCAATATGCATCGTGAATACCAGCTTGAATTCAAAGACAAACCCCGAAGACGTGTCTCCGAACCCGAACCCCTGACTGACAGCATCGAGAAGAAATGGTGTTTCACGTATCGGCCTTGGGGGTCCATAAAGAAATCGAATGCTTTTTTCGCCTGCTTAGAAAGCTATCATGTCGGACACAATATGAGTACCTGGGTTAATTGAGAATGATGAGACCATCGCATTTGTCAGGCTTGCAACACCGAAGCTCAAGGAAGCCCCGGGACCAAAGTTGGCCGAGCCGGGGCACTTGTGGGCTCCCGACATGCACCCGATGACCGGCGACATCGGAGCCACTTGGTGCCGGGCCGCTCCCGCCTGACAAATGCAGGGGCAAACAACGTGAGAATACGACCTCGCTATCGATAAGAATAGATGACTAAGGGATAGCGAGGGGCAGTTCCGTCAGGTTCCGCACTGCTTATCGAGCGACAAACACTGAGTCTTGACTCTAGGTGACACTCTCTAGGGTCGTGGTGGCGCTCAGGGCAGCTGTGTGAGTCGTCCACCGTCATGCCATGCATCAGGCCCAAAGCCAAAGACCACCCTCTCGCCCTTACTGTGTAGGTAGATATGCCTTACTCCTGAGTCCCTCATCGCCTCCCAGAGGCAAGGACCAAATTGTGAGGGCCCAAGGTCCATGGAGTCACCTGCCCGCCGTCAGACACAATCACTGGCCAGCGACTATTGCAATGACACTGGCACGGGGCTGCATCTGGCCCCCAGGGAGTTTGAGAACTGGTCTCCTCCCCGGCGGGATTGGAGAGTGTGAGGCACTTTATCGAGTCGTGTGCCTGAAGCCCGCCTCTTTCATCAGTGCCTGATCAATTTCCCTGGGCTTGTATCCGTGGATGTAAAGATAGCGCTGGAAGCGCAAAATAGAAGCATCTGCAACCTTGTGACTATGTCCCCCCCTCACTCCTGACCTCTAAGGAGGTACTTGGGGTACCTACCTAGGTAAGGTACTCACTCACATTACTCATTTTGGGACTGGATCCCGCCATCATCATCCCAAGAACAGAGGAGATGCGTATTGGAACGTAGTGTCGATGGTGTTCATGTCAAACGAGTCCCTAGAGTCAGTTAGCCTGTACAGTGACATGAATACTCGGAGTTGCAAGGGCTGAACTACCAGAGTGTGTGGTGAGAGTGACTTTGAAAGAGTCCTCCCGTCCCCCCTTGGCCCTGCCCCTACACAGTAAGTACCGGTAGTTCACGGTGCAAGCCGGCGCCAGCCCAGCGGGGAGTTTGTCCCCCGCCCTATCGAGGTACTTGACATTTGCTGATGTCGCCCGCTAACCATGAAGTCACTCGGCTTCTTCCCTCCAGTGCATTCTTCCAACCAACACCCCCCGACGTCTGAGTTCCGTCATTGGATCCAACAACTCACTCGCTGGGCGGGAAGGAAGTCACTGCCTGGTCCTGACTGTCTGTGACTGCCAAACCAAACCATCCCTCCCGCTACATACCTTACCTTATCCACCCATTCATCCCACCCACATCCCACACGCTCAGTTGCTCACCCAGGTCGTTCACCTTTCCCGCAACGCATTCCAATCCCACTTTCACATCCACATATCCACGCCCACCACACCCATCACCCATACCTTAGACCACCGCCCTCGCACTCTTCTTTGCGGCATTCCTACACCGCAGGCAACCGAGCCAGGTCCGTACTGCCGCCTACCGCTCTGACTGATTTCGCCCGGCCTCGATAACCCGCCCTTTCTCGGCACAACCGCAGACTGCGAGCACCTTTGTATAACCTGCCCAGCTCTTCCCAGCCTTTGTACCTGTTTGTTGCCTCAGCCTTGGGCCATCGCAGCCTGCAACTTACCAATCTACCCCTCCACCCATCAAGTGACTCCCACACCGCGACCGGCGCCCAACGCAGGCATTCCTTCTCCCCTCGTTTGGATCTGATCCTCGTTCTCCCATCTCCGTCATCCGTGTCTCACCCGCCTATACAATCCAACCCGTTTCCGCCCCCTCGGAAACGCTTCCCTCGCCTCCATCTGCAGTCGGCACCATTCCTCCCACTACGCGGAAGAGAAAGGCCGCTGAGGCGACGATATCCTCCAATAACCAAGAAACCGCGACAAAGAAGAGGATCGCCTCGGCTGCTGGACAGGACGCTCCCCCAACCCCCGTCACCACCGCGAGCAACGGCATGGATTCAGAGGAGGACTTCATGTCGGCTCCCTCGAGCGACGACGAGATCATGCAGGATGACAGCGGCGAGGACATGTCTGGTCCTGATGGTATGTATACACCGCTCAACCGAGTCTCTCCGGCCTCAAAACCACCGACTGACGCCTTTGATTCCTCCACAGATTTCGATGAAGATGACTTCGAAGACGAGCCCGAGGACCTGGGCATGATCAAGGACTCCGACAACAAAAAGAAGGTGGCCTACGACATCTCATTCAAAGTCTACGAACCAAAGGATATTCAGCGTCAACAGGATGACATGATTGACGAGGTCAACATGATCCTGAACATCCGCAAGGAGGATGTCGCGATATTGTTGCGGCACTTTAGGTGGAACAAAGAACGTTTGATCGAGGACTACATGGACGCTCCCAACAAGGTCTTGGAGGCTGCAGGTCTTGGCTCGAACGTGGCTGGCCCGCCCAAGCTTGAAGCCATTCCGGGTTTCATGTGTGACATCTGCTGCGAAGACGAGGAGGGCCTCCAGACCTTCTCTCTTAAGTGCGGCCACCGATACTGCGTAGACTGCTACCGCCAATACTTGACTCAAAAGATTCGCGAAGAAGGCGAGGCGGCTCGTATCCAGTGTCCGGCCGAGGGCTGCGGCCGCATCATCGATTCAAAGTCCTTGGATCTGCTTGTTGCAGCTGATCTCAACTCCCGATACCACGAGCTGTTAAATCGGACATACGTGGAGGACAAGGAGATCCTGAAGTGGTGCCCTGCGCCCGACTGCCCAAATGCCGTGGAATGCGCCATTAAGAAGAAGGACTTGGACAGAATCGTCCCCACAGTAGCATGCGGTTGCGGTCACCGCTTCTGCTTTGGTTGCATTTTAACTGACCATCAGCCTGCTCCCTGTGAGCTTGTCAAGCGATGGCTGAAGAAGTGCGCAGACGATTCGGAGACTGCGAATTGGATATCGGCCAATACCAAGGAGTGCCCCAAGTGCAACTCGACAATCGAGAAGAACGGCGGCTGCAACCACATGACATGCCGAAAGTGCAAGCATGAGTTCTGCTGGATGTGCATGGGCCTATGGTCGGAGCACGGCACGAGCTGGTACAACTGCAATCGGTTCGAGGAAAAGAGTGGTACAGATGCGCGTGATGCCCAGGCCAAGTCCCGCATATCGCTAGAACGCTACCTGCATTACTACAACCGATACGCCAATCACGAACAGTCTGCCAAGCTAGACAAAGACATCTACCATAAGACGGAGAAGAAGATGGTCCAGCTTCAGACAGCCTCAGGCATGTCTTGGATTGAGGTTCAATACCTGAACCAGGCCTCACAAACACTGCAAACTTGCCGGCAGACTCTTAAGTGGACCTACGCCTTCGCATTTTATTTGGCGCGCAACAACTTGACCGAGATTTTTGAAGATAACCAAAAGGACCTTGAGATGGCTGTCGAGGCCTTGTCAGAGATGTTTGAGAAGCCCGTCCAGGAGCTTTGTGACAAGAAGTTGAAAGTCGACATTATGGACAAGACTTCATACTGCAAGAAGCGAAGGATTATCTTGCTTGAAGACACTGCAGACAACCTGGCCAATGGTATGTTCGCATTATGAACCAGATTGAATAATAACTGACCGTACTAGGACGTTGGACATTTAACGTAGATCTTCACGGACCTTCGCCAGTCGGTGCCACAAGCAGTCGTCGTCAGTAGATCGTGGATGATGCGGACCCGGTGGAGCGCGAATCCGAGGAAGACAGCGACGACGATTTCATCTACAACGAGGCCTTGCCTGTCGACAATGAGGTGAGGCGGTGGCGGCTGCCGTGGTGAAGGAACACGATTCGCATGGTTCGTGAGACTCGCGGATCGCCTTTGGGCTCGGTATGGATGTACACAGAAGCATGGACTCAGAGAGCCACGCAAAAGATTTGTGGCGTGGGTTTTGAGACGGAAACCTTGGAAGATGAAGGCATCAGACCCAGAAACGGAATCAACATGGGGAATGATCGGCTGTTGCCTCGTGGTCATCACTTTAGTGTTCCAAGTATGACGCGAGGTGGGATTCTTTTTTTTCTCCTCTCTCTTTCATAGTAAAGGAAGGCAAGGGAATGACTGCTTGCGCATCATGAGCATTGTGTATGGTATAGGTCTTCAGGTTACATGCCCAGTGTCCCAGGCACGGCGGGCTTCTTTTTTTTCCATCATTGGGCAAAACCACGTCCTGGTCAGTCTTCCATCCCGGATTCCATCTTCTGATATATGTGTGAAACATGTGAGATCTGTGAGATTTGCAATCAGGCTAACTTGCTACCTGCCTGTCTGTTTTTATCCGACAGGTACTGTTTGGTGGTTCTTGAAAGCCCATATGGAAAAGGGCTGTAATAAGGTGGAACTAGGCGCCTAGGCGGCTCCCGGTCCGGGCCGAAATTGAATGTATAGTTAGATCCTTAAAAAAGATAGACGACCTCACAGCGACAACCCTACAGATAAGAGATGACTGCAAGGGCAGGTTGTAGTAATTCATGACTTGAGCAATAACCCAACCAGCAAAGTATTAAGCAGATCACAAACCATCCATAGGACACAAGTTTCATCAGAAAAAAAGGCCTTCCGGCCATGATATATTCCCATCATCACTACTTAAAAACTCCATGGTGTCCTAGTGATTACAATGCATACAAAAAGCCCTGGCTACCCCGTCTCTCTTGACTTTCCGGCATGCTTCTCATGTTCCGTAGTCCCTTGTAACCTCCAATCGTGCCAAATGATAACGCACGCTGTATGCCTTCCTGCCTGTACGCCTCGGTGACCTTATCTTCAATAGCGACCATCAAATACCGCCCCCGGTCTGAGTCGGGAGAGATGGAGAACATGACCGGGTGCCCAGGAAACAATCTCCCCCCTGGAGGAGTCGAGCTCATGGCGCCTCAATGATGCGTGACTCTTAACGCCTGCTTCCAAAGTGGATAGAACAAAATAATGACACAATGTTTGTGGGTATCGCATCGACATGTGTTTAATAATCGCTTCAGTTGTATACAAACCGAGAAAGGTTCAGCGTCTTGGGCACGGAGTCTCCGTCGTCCTTCTGGCTGAGGTCGTGGGCAAAGACATCGTCGTCATTCTCGCCGTCGCTATCGGGGATGATCTGATCTTCACTTCCGCACGGCGCGTTCAGAGCCTCCACCTCGGCCAGATCGACCTTGGGCAGAGGCACAAAAGACGGGTTGACGGGAAATGACTTGAGTAGCCGGCTCTTCCGGGGACTGCGCTTGGGGCTCCGTTGTATCGTGCTCTTAGTAGGAGACAGGGGCCGCCGGGCAGGCGGGTTCTTGCGCTGGAGGGCACGGGCTCCCATCCGCTGTAGTGGGGTGAGAAGAGGAGTGGCCTTTGACGTGCCAGCTGCGATTGAGCTAGCCGAAAATGTGATTGAGGACGCCGCAGTGGAGGGAGCAGCGGTCGAGGGTGTGAAAGTTGATGAACGCTGGGAGGCAATGGTGCTCGGCGTGTCGGGCTGGCTTGAGGCGGCAGGGCTGGGCTGAGAGCTGAAGGCAAATCGCTGTAATGACGCCCGTCTTATGTTCTTCTCTGGGAGCGACGAGACAGGCTTGCTCGGCTCGACGTCTTCTACTTCGGACAGATCGGTCTGCGGCGTGGCTGATATTTCTCCGTCCTTGCTGAACTGGCTGTCCGTACCGGCAGTTGCTTCCGTACCTGTATCCGTGCTCTGGCTCTCTTCGTAGACCGCTATTGACTTGGGCTTCGGGGCATGCCACTCATCAATGTCGGGGAGATTCAGTAGCGCCTCGTCGATGGAGTCGTCTGAGAACAGGAAACTGTCCTTGTTCTTGTTGGCGGAGCTTCCGTTCTTGGAGAAGAACTTGCTCTTTTGGGATTCCTCAGTTTTCGTTTCGGTAATATCTGTGTCTGCACAGAGACGGACCTTCTTGGGAGGCCGTTGGGAACCGCCTCTCATCAGTGCATCAATGTCGTCGATAGTATTTGTCGCGTCACCGACGGTGATACGACGGGTTCCGTCAGAGCTGCTGGGAGCATGTTGCTGCAGTAAGTCCTGGATGGGCTCGGTCCGTCGTCGTAAGAGGCGAGGAGAAGTATTTGAACGGGCGGTTCGTGTCGGGCGAGAGCTTGCGGTAGGCTGTGATGACGAAGTGCCATCGACATATGGTCTAGGAAGGGGAAAGACTCTGGGTACCAGGCCATTGTGAGTAAGAGCGGCAACTCTCTCTGGGTCGACAGAGAAACAGTTGCGGTCCATTTCACCCATCGGAATACGCTGGTGGCCCTTGAAGTACGAATCAATCGGTTTAGTCGGTTGTCGCGTGCGGGTCGATGATGAAGAGACAGCCGCAAGGGCCTCTGCAGACTGAGAATGTCTTCTCTTCGTATCGGTCTTGGAGCCAGGCATGGGCGCGGGGATGATGGTCTCCTTGGTGATGGGGTTGACATCTCCGACTGCAATTGCTGTGGCCGTGGCCGGCTCGACGTAACTACCAATAAAAGGCATGTCCTCCACACCCTTGCCTTCCTCTGGTTCTGTTAAACATACCAACCGTTTCGCTTTCGGGCAGTAGACTCTTTGGTGGATGAATGTCAGCTCCGCCTGGGCAAACCGAGACATGTAGTTCTCTGAAACGCGATGCTTTCCCTCGAACTGGATCATCCGGACCAGTCGATCGACGGTCTTGTACTTGCGAATCATCCGGTAGGCCGTCTTGAGACCAATATTGTTGATGCCCTCGAGATAGTCGCACCCGCTGAGAATGGCCATTCGGCGGAAATCGTCGTCCGTCCACCCCGTAAGAGAAACCTCCCGAACCGCACAGAAATCCCTCCGGTTGATCTCGATACAATTGCCGTACTGGTCGAGCTTCGTGAGGAGCCGCTTGCAGCCAAAAACCAAAAGATCCGAGTCCTCCGATAGAATGCCGTTGATGAGGCCTTGGCGTTCGAGGTAAACAAGCTGAGCATCAGCCTCGTACGGTGCGACGACGTACGAGATATTCATCTTTTTCAATTCGTCAATGAGATTGCGAGCCATCTCTGGTGTGACATCAATGGCTTTCTGAAACTCGAGGGCTGCTTGTGATGACTTTCCGGCTCTGAGAAGCTCCATGGCAGACTTCTTGCTCTCTTCACGACGTTTAGCGCGGGATCCCTCGGTGGCGGCTTTGCTGGGAAGGAAGTCGCCATCAAAGACAATGTATGGTGTGACGCCGAAGTGCTTGAGCATCCTCACCCGGTGCATGGCGAAGTCGACATATCTAAGGCAAGGTTAGGTATACCAACCTTTGGTTGTGTAGCTTGGGAAGCGCGCCATGCACAGCGCATTGCTAGGGCCACTTACTTGCGGGTGGGGTTGCCCTTGGCCAGATCAACGGCGCAGGCAATGGCTCCTCTGTGAAGCCATCCGTAAGCGTCGACGCCGAGCGTCTCACCGGCGAATTTCTTCAACTCGGTTGGCCTGTGGATGGACTTGAGCAACGGAAGCAGGCCTGGGGGTTTTTGGTGAGCAAGGACGTTCGCCAGGCGGGAAGCAAGGGAGGAAATGTACCTGAGACGCCCATTGTTGATCGCGAGAAGGGTTCGCAGGTCCTCAAAGGTTGGCAAGTCGATATTTCCTGAAGGTTGCCTACGTCTCTCTCCGATCCAATTCACAGGCCAGAAGCCGGGGTCGACAAAGGGAGATCAATGCTCAGTCCATTCGTTGAGAGAGAATGACGCGTGGGCAAGTCGTTCGCGTAAGAATTGGAAGTCGGAACGCCAAGTCAGGTGATCCGGGGGGCAAATGTAAACAAAGCACTCGGGCGCTACGTTGACGAGTTCGGAAATGCCACTTGTACGGAGAAAACGCGACGACAGGTTGGTGAACTGGAAGAGGGGAAATGGCGAGGTCGACAGAAATTCACCACGATGCTGAGATCGGAGGAGCGAAAGTGTGCAGGTGGAGTGAATCACGGCTTCCTGCACGGGAAAGGGACGGTGGAATCGCCCGGGGGGACCTGGGCCTGCTATATTGGAACGCGGGTGGACACACCGCACCGCGTCAGGCTCACATCGCGACTCCCAGTTCTCTTTTTCTCTGTCTATTTTTTTTTCCCTTTCTAATCTTTATTTTCACGCAGGGACCAGGCCGAGAAACACCCCAAAAAGGCTTAGTGTGCTCAGACTTGATTATCCAGAGCAACGTCACTCTGTCCGGATTTGGTTGAAGACCATTGGACCCTTCCTGGGGTTAAAGTGGAGACAGAAGGTACTGAGTCTTGTCATCCAATGTCCGTGCACACAGCAAACGCACCTGCAGACTCGGATGGGATTTTCATCGGGTGGGGCACAGACCGACTTTCACAGAACCAGTGCCATCGCAAATCTCATTCTGCGTCTTGTTCAACTCTGGGAATCACTGATCTCAGATACCAATCTCACTGTGGACTGAACCGTTCTCACTCGCCCTGTTGTTCCATATCGTCAAGATGCCCTCAACATTAGAAAAGGCTCGCAAGCACATTGCGAAGAAGCGCAATGGCCATGACCTAGCCCTTCATGAGTTTTCCAGAGACTCCAAGCGTCTTCACAAGGCCTCGATCAGAGACCAAAGGCTGGGAAAGCTCCACGCCTCAAAGAACAAGAAGGAGCAGCCCATGAGTAAGACGTCACTGTTCCAAAAACATCGAGGCTTGCCAACTGACACCTGGTAGTTGACCGTGCCTCCTTTTTCCAAAAGGCAATTCAGGAGAAGGGATCCGAACCTCTCGACTTGGCCGCCGTTCAGGAGCTCATCAGCAAGTACGTCTCGGAAGCCGAACAGCCCACATACGTTGAGCAAACACTGACACGTTGCCAGGTTTGTGCACCAGTATGATGAGGAGTACGCCGAGGTCAAGAAGACCCGCCGTGCCGGCCGCCCTGCAAGTGCCAAGGAAGACTTGCTGAAGCTGAGAATCTCTAACCTTGAAGAAGAGTACAAGATCGGATTTTGTCAGTTGGCTCCCGAGATGGTGTCTTTCTTTCGCGGCATTCTAACATCTTTGTAGACCTTCCTGACCTCACAACATCGTCTAACATCATCCAACTCGACCGCTGGGAGGGTTCATGGGCTTACCTCACCAACCTCGCCTGGGTCAAGATCACGAGTGACGGGAACGTCAGACCCTCCAGCTTCCCTCCCAGAGTTTAGTTTCTGGCATCTTACAGCATGATCATGGCGTTTTCTTTTTCGGCGTTTGGGGGATTACACGAGGCCACGAGCCCGCTAGGCCTTGAAGCGGCATCATCGATTTCACCGGGAGAAAGGATGGGGATCAACCGTCGGCTCCAATTTCTGTATCCGGCTCCTCGTACGGTGCCACTATAGAACGACGGGTTGTTCGCGGGCAATGTCTCAGACAGGCCAGGCACTGTATCGGAATTCTTGTTTGGCCAACAGACAAATTTCTCCGGTTACATACAGCAACCGTGCATGTTGAGGTGCGAAAGGCCCAATGCTCGGATCACAGCAGACCACGCATAGCCAAATCACTGGCTCGTCAGCGTCTGAGCCATGATTCTCCTGTGCCGTTGCACAAAAGGGGATTCGGCAAAGGGGGGCCAAACGTGGAGAGCATGTGGCTGCATGGGAATCGCGCGTCATACCGATGGTCCTTCAGAGGGGGGTTGCGAAAGAGGCGGGTGGTAGAGACCGAAGCAGCGTCATATAAAGAGCCAATGTGGCTGTTTTTGCATGAAACAATTACTTCCGAAACTTTGGGTGAGGCTCGGCAAACGCTACCTGAGAACCTTGTAGCCTAGTATTATATGATCATCTTCGTCCCAGATCGCCCAACCATCGAACTTCCATGTTGCACGCCGGTAGTTACGATGATGCCGGGAACCGAAAGGTCCTAACCCTACAGATTCACTGCGCAACGCCTTTCCACAGTGTCTTCTGTCCATGCCCAGACTGGCCAAGGAGGTCCAGATCATGCATCCCATCTGCCCCAAGCCTCCTGGACCAGGTCATTGGGACCGCCTTGTCAACGAATCGTTATTCCACTTTATACTTAAACCCAGCTTCCCCTCGAGTTCCAAGTGCGACATTACACTGCTGGTCGGCCTCTCTGCGAGGCTTTCGACGGTTACACGCCTGCAGACTCTTGTGGTCGGAATGAGCCCATCTACTCTACTCGATCCAAGGCCCTTACCACAATGGTGAGATGCTGTGAACAGAACGGTGTCTGAGAATGTCGCAGGGCAAAGGATCAAGATTTTTCTGGGCGCTTAGAGTAAGAAGGACATCATGCCGTTGGACAACGATAGCGGCCGGGGGCCGGGCTCTTGTTGAGCTGGATCTCGGGCAGGATCCCTGTCACGCAGGATGGCTCGGTCATCTCGTAGGGTATATCATCGAGCCGGATCTCTGGGTCTCCGCGCTCCCATTCATCACCGTTGGAGCGTCGGATCTCTGGGTCTCCGCGCTCCCATTCATCACCGTTGGAGCGTTATATTCAACAAGTGCTGCAATGCTCAGTATCTAGACCGTCTCGTTGATCTTTTCAGCTGCTTCAATCTTTCTCAATACTTTCGATAAGCCATCCGTTTTTGAGCTAAGCCTCTCAGTAATGTAAACCACCTCCTAGAGTCTGACGCACTAAAGACAGATGCTTATATAGACACCTAGCAAGCCATGTGCAAATACATCACACACCTCCGCGTCTGCAACGTATGCAGTCACCAAGACACGGTCCTGATATCGGAAAGACTCTGTTTCCTTGCCAAGAAAAACGGAGTCTTTGGAAGCTGTGATGCCGGCATAGGTAGTGACCGCAGCTGTACACGAAATCACTGTTGGAAGTGTAAAGAGAGGGTCCGTCGCATGCCTCGGCCATCATCGGTGTCACGCCATATCAGTCTTCACTGAGAGTAGGATAAAGGAAGGTCGAAGGAGTATGGATGAGGAGTGTGACAACTATAGAACCATTTTCCGGCAGGCTAGCTGCGGGCCAGCTAGAGATATCTTCTACCATTTCCTTGACTATTGATGTCTGTTACATGGAGATGGTTTCTTGAAGACGAGTCCAGCTTCACACGGCGGATTCTGGGTGTCTGTACATCTGGATCCTGTTGCTACCTATTAGAGCTTAGCTCAGATTCCGTATCGATAACATCAAAATCAAGGTGCTTCTGTGGATCGATTCCAGATGCAGTGGAGTTTTAGTCTGGTGCCTGAATTTGACAAAGTGTTTGCAGAATGGTCCCTGCCGTCCAGTCCCTGGCGGTTCCGCTCCACCTAGCGCCCGGCTGGTGCGGTGTTACCCGGCAAAAGGTTTCGCCGAATTGTGATCTGATGTCAAAAATTTTGGGAGCTCTCCAAAGCTTTTTTGCGACCTGGCAGATCCAGCCAAACCACCTCCACCCTCCTCCAACAAGCTTTTGTACCTCCCCTTGCCTTAACCATCACGACCTCTCAATACAATACCTCAGTCCACCACCCATCATGCTTTCCATCAGATCCGTCGCGCGCTCCGCGCCCAGAGCTCTCTCCCGCCTTTCTCTCAGACAGACCGCGCGCCCTAGTGCCTTCGTCAAGGCCGCCTCATGGAGCGCTGCCGTTCAGACCCAGCGCGCATCAGCCTTCTCCAGCTCTGCCTTCAGGAAATCTGCCGCCAGCGAGACTGATGCTGAGCTCGTTGCCAAGCTCGAGAGCGAGCTTCAGTTCGAGGAGGAGGTGAAGCAGAACGAGCAGCTGCCCGCGAGCGTTAAGGACTTCATCGACAACAGCCCCTTTGAGCTTCAAGACACCCCTGGCAAGGAGGAGGTCAAGCTCATCCGCAAGTTTGGCGAGGAGAAGTAAGTTTGCATTCCGAGCATCGTCTAGCAGACACGGTGAAACTGGAAACTAACAGAAGAACCTCAGGATCACAATCACTTTCTCCATCGCCGACCTCGCCAACTACGACCCCGAAATGTACGACCAGGACCGCGCCCTCGAGGACGAGGAATTCGAGTCCGACGTCCAGAACCCCAACAAGCAGTCTGGCGTCCAGGCATCCGGCGGCGCCCGCTCCGCCAACGCTGAAGAGCAGCTCGAGGAGGAGGAGGGCGACCTCGACGAGGCCGCTCCCCCTTGCCGCCTGAGCATCGTCGTCGAGAAGCCCGGCAAGACCCCCGGTGCCCTCAACATCGACGCCACCGCCCAGGACGGCGCCATTGTCGTCGACAACATGTTCTACTACGAGGACGGCAAGCTCGCTCACGCCTCCAACGCCGAGGTCGCCCACGCCCGCAGCGACATCTACCCCGGTCCCCCCTTCGGCAGCCTCGACGAGGACCTGCAGATCCTGATGGAGCGCTACCTCGAGGAGCGCGGCATCACCCAGGCCCTGGCCGTCTTCGCGCCCGACTACATTGACGTCAAGGAGCAGCGCGAGTACGTCCGGTGGTTGAGCAACGTCAAGGGCTTCGTTAACGCCTAAATTCAACTTCAATGACTCTGTTTGGAAGGGGGAAGATTCTGTTGGGAAGAAAGAAACTCAATGATGTATGATGGCGCGGCGCATGTGCAAAGTGTAAGATGATACGAAAACCTCCACCTGGAAAAGGACCTTCTTGGCTTGTCTTATAGCTGTTTCCACTCTACGATGTACCATATAAAACCATGGCCTGGCCGGCGTGCCGGTTGCCCACATAAGAAACTGTAATACCAAAAATTTCTCCTGCACTCATAGCGCACTGGGTTCACAAAGTATATGGTCAACAGCGTGAAAGAGGCTAGAAAGTGGCTCTCTAGCGAAGAACCAATGCAGATAACGAGACAATCTTTCACATTGCTCAGGGTCCTACTTAGAGTCTAAACTAGAAACTGTCGCCATCAACAAGTCGTGCATTGACCCATTGCGCAACGCGACGTAGATCTCGCTGGTCAAGGTGCCGATGGTCTTCTTCCCCGGTTCCCCGGGGCTTCCGTTGGTTCCCAACGTTGCTGGATAGTCTTGCAAACCGCGATGCATCGGAACACCCAGACTTTTCCTTACATATTTGTAGATTGCCTTTGAAGCAACCCCGAGATATGCGCCTGTGCTTGGGTTCTCCAGAAACCGTAAGCGTGTCTTGCAATACTCATGGCTGATTCTTTCGGCGGACTGCTTAGTGTAAGCATCCATAGCCTTGATGGCAATGATCAACTCCTTAGGATGCATGCCCTCGAAATACGGAGCCAAGACCTCGAGTTGCCCGCCCTTCGCTTCTCGCGCAGCAGCTCGGCCTCGGTTTTCCACGTCGAGGTTGGCCAGGCCGTTCCACTTCTGGAGCAGGATCTCGCCGCAGCGCTGGGCAATGTCGTCCGCTCCGTCGGCGGCTCTGGGAAACCCGATACAACTCTGAGCAACTTCTAACAAAGCGGGTATTGCCACGTTGCAAAATTCGAGATGGAGACATTGCAGGTCGAGAGCCTGACAGAGGGCGTATATGTACGTTGCCACCATGAGGTACAAGATCTCGGTCATCTCCAACGCGTTCCTGGCGGCGATCAACGCGAGCGAGTTGACCGACTGGTTATTCATTTCGGCGCTCTGGATATGCGCGGACACGGGGTGGGATAGGTGGGCCAGCTCAGACATGTACGCTGCCATGGTGATGTCCAACCCCTTGGTAGTGAAAGACTTGCTAGGGTTGTCGGCGGCGAGGTTGGGCGGCAGGCAATCGTTGAGCTTGGCGTTGAGAAGCTCTGTGCATTGAGCGAACATGAGTTTGCCCAATAGCTGCATGGAGGACGAGACCTTTTCCATGGCGGAAGTGACAGCCAGCGCTTGGAAGTTGCCTCCTTGATGGACGGTTTCGGTCTCGACGTCAAAGAGGGGGTTATCCGTGGTGCTGTTGATCTCAACTTGTACTTGCTGTTGAGCTAGCATCAAGTCCTCAAGCAAGGGACCGATCCATTGGGGCGCGGTTCGGAGAGGATATCGATCTTGTACGAGGCCTTCGGCATGGTCGTCTCCCTTTCTGGTCAACCTGGACCCGGAAAGGAAACGTAGTATGTTTGACGCAGCCTCCACCTGTCCCAGATGCGGTCGGCACTGGGATATGAACGGGTAGTAGTTCGACTGCCGGCCTCGAAGCGCCTCGGTTGCCATGGCGGTAAGGAACTGCGACATCGTGGCGAGTTGATGAGCTTGGTGCATGGCGATACAGGCCGCTGCGGCGCTCGTAGCAGTACCATTTGTGATGCCCAGAGCTTCCTTGGCTTCGAACCGCACCGGCTCGAGGCCGATCATTCTCAAGGCTTCTTTCGCAGTCATGAACTTTGGTCTTTGCGCACCGACAGCAACGTAGACGTCCGAGTTGCCCTCCAAAACGCCAGCAATGTAAGACAGAGGTATCAAGTCTCCAGAAGCTGAGATGCTGCCACGCAGCGGGACCATAGGAATGACATGATTGTCCAGCAGGGTCAACATAGCTTCTAGAACTTCCAGACGGACACCAGAATGGCCACGCAGCAGGGAGTTGACCCGAACGAGGAGCATTCCTCTGACAATGGAGGCTGGAAGGGCATGCCCTCTCCAAGCTTGCATTCCAAGATGACTTTCTCCATGGAGATCTGAGCCTTTGTCACAAGGTAGAAGGATACCGACTTGAAGGAGCTGCAGTAGTCCTCTCTGCAGTTCTTCATGGTCAGAGGTGCGCACGTCGGCACTTCCACCAAATCCTGTTGTGATGCCGTAGATTGTGGCTCCTTGACGAAGCTTTAAGCGCAACAGGGCGGTGCTCTTATGGACCTTGTTGATGATGTTGGTATCCGATGTTAAAGAGACCGAGGCCTGATAATGGCTGACGGCCACCACGTCGGAAATTGATAAAGTCTGGCCATCTACAACGACACGGGGCTGCGAGTCGAGCAACTGCCGGAGATGTTTCCATTGACCGGACACAAGATGGAGATGTCCCATCAACATGATTGTAGGATAAGCCCAAGCTAGGACTTAGACGAAAAATAGCTTGGAGATGAATGAACGGTGCTCAGCTAGGTGGAAGATGATGTATCAAGGAGTGACAGAGAACGCAGGAGTGAAGCATGTCAGTCTAGTTTTAAGTAGTTCAACTTATACATCCCCGGATGCGAAGAAACCATAGCACGTAGACTGCGGTTTTCGCTCCTCAACCTCATTCTTCCTGTTCTCAAGGTCTTAAGGGCTCGGCGCGATTTACTCTGGAAATCCACCCAGCTGCGAGCTTCGAAGACTTCGAAGACCCAAGAGAGCTTCCCTCAACACGATTCATGCACTCGGATATCTCACGGGAATATTGAGGATCATCGCTTATCTTGTCTCTAGACGATATGTTGTACACGAGTTGGTCAACCGCATCCGCCGCTATTCAAGTCAAGCGCACGGAGAGAACTCCACCAGTCATACAAGATGCCGCAATCATGAGTTTACCCACATTCCTTGGAGAATTGGCGGTGCGAACTGTGTTGCTCTTAGCTTCTTGTCGTCGGATGCAACTGGACTGATTTTCGGTCTAAAATCTGATTTTTCTGCCCAGTATCGTGAGAAGTCTAAAGGACGCTACCTTACGTGCTTATCCCTCTCATTCAGAAGCAGACGCTGGCGATCCATCGGAACAGAAATTCCAAGATTCAAGCGAATGCATCTTTATACTGCTCGGGCCCCCTGGCATGTCTCAAACTCAAAATGAAGCTATTCACAAACGTGTTGCAGAGGCTTCTCATCGTAAATAGATCGTGAGATTGATTATCTTCATGACTCAACAGATTCGTATTGGAAAGACGCTGCATTCAGGATAAGGTTCGAGCTATCCGTGAAAAAGGACTTACCCCTCAACTACACGGGCTACTATACTGGCAGAATCCATCAAACTTTAAGTGAAGCTATTCAGAGTAGGCTTCCCACGATAGATAGTGAGGATAATCTACCTCGATTGCCGCGTAAGTGCTCAACATTTTGAAATAGCACAAGGCTACTTTGGGACAAGGTTTCAACTAACATGGCAATGATAGCACAATTTACCCCTCAATGGCCCCGTCGATAGCAAGTCTGGAGTCTGGAGTCTGATATCTATATAAGTTGTAAAGGGGTATGAGTATCTATCATGTACTATGCTTTCTGTTTAAACATACCTAGTATTCAATCGGAACACAACAACAATTCAATCATCCATCCTTTTCTTCAAAACTTGCAAAAGTTTTAAAAAGATACATCATGGCAACATCATCGCAATACGCCGAGCGCACGTATCATGACACTTCTTCTCCATACGTTTTGCCCAATGAGTAAGTACTACTGAAAAACCGCTGAGGCGTCTCAATTTACATGAGCTTACTATGTCAGTACTCCCGAGCAAGCTCGTCTTGATGAACAAGCACTTGCCATCCAGTCTATGCTGGGTGGGAAGCCTTTTCTCTTCGATCTGAGACTTCTCCCGAGCAAGTCGAAAATCCTCGACATCGGCTGTGGAACTGGGGTAGCCACGACCCAGCTAGCACGACAATGTCCTTCTTCCCGTACGTACGGGATTGATCTATCTGCAGTCCCTGACCATGTCAAAACCTCAGCTCCGACCAATGTCACCTTTTTGAAAGGCAACATCATGGAAGATCTGTCTGAGCAGGGGCTCCAGGAGCAAAGCTTGGACTACGTGTTCGGGCGTATGCTGTTCCTCGCGATTGACGACTGGAAAGAGTACTTTTCACGCGTCCACCACCTCCTGAAGCCCGGTGCCATTGTCGAGCACCAAGATTGCTCCTGGGAGTACTACCGCCAAGGTACACAGAAAAAGCTCAGCGGAAATTGGTCCTGGCACCAAGCAGTTCTAGAGGAGTCGCAGGCTATGGGACTGGATATTCTTGTTGGTGATCATGTGGGGGATCACATGAAAGCCGCCGGGCTCGAAGTGCTTCTTACGCGATCGTTTGAGTTCTCGATGGTGCCGTCTGAGAAGAACATCCCCAGCGCAGCAGTCGGTTGTTATGCGCAACGCACTCTTCTCAAGGCATTCCCAGACCTACTCAGAAAGATTCTAACAAAGCGGGACTTGTACTCTGACGAAGATGTTTCGAAATTGACAAAGGAGTGCCTTGAGACGTCATCGGCGGAGGAAGGGATTTTTGTCAAGTACACAGTCACCATTGGGAGGAAGCCAGCTGAGTAGTAGCTTACAGATATGCGGTCTCTAGCTAGGAGATGGGGTGTGTATGTTTTTGACTTCTTCTCATTTTCTCCATTTGGCTGGCGAATGTTGAGTACGTCTTGCTATTCATCTCCTCTGGTAATTAGTAATTAATTTTGGTGGATTTTTTGCTCAATGGCCCTTTAAAATGTTGTTCGCTGTCTCGAAGATGACTTCGCTCTATGCGTGATGTGTGGTTGGGCGACTGAAACCAAGTGGCACTAGTCACGTAGCACGATAACGGTGACAGGCGACTAACACGTGTATTACCACGTTGAAACCATCTCTTCTCACCGGAAACGGCGGTGCCTGGGCATATCGTCAGGCGGCAGGCTTTCTTGAGTCATTCAACGGCGATACGGCATTTAAGTAAGGTTTGCAGGGCCGTGCTGGCGGCAGCCGACCTCATCGTTGCCGATCCGAAGCGCTTCATGTGTGGTAAGTGCTGCAAACGGATGCCACGATCGACATATTATAGTGCAAGGTCGGTTAGGTGAATAGCGATAGCGCGACTAACCTCGTGAGTGGGAACGCGGAGTTCAAGAGTAGGTCCTTTCTGCTCGCAGATCAACCGCCTACCTGCAGGCAGTCTTCGTCGCTCGATAGTCTGAGCTCGTCCAATGAGTTTGTTAGCGGATGTTTCTAGAAGGTGGCATCGCGGCTTTAGTAGGTAGGGCTTCTTGTATGTATTTTGCCCGGTGCAGATCATGAATGGGATCACCTTGATCGACGCGGAAATAGCCGCAACTGCATGCCTACAACATCTCGATGTCTTACGTGGCTTCCTACGTACACGGACTAATACTAGTAGTTGAATGAGCATTAACACTGCGCCTTATTTGCTGAAAGGAGAGCGTCCCGAAACCGAGGTGAGGTGCAAAGACCCTCACTTTATGCTCGCGAATCTTGGAGAAGATGCTCTGGCATGGCTTGCATATGAACCATCTTTGGATAACACTGAGGGAGGATAGTCGTCTTGCACTCGATGAAAAGCCGTGCAATATGAGGCCAATATCAACCTGGATTCTCGCAGCATCGACGGCGGCGGGGTCCTATGCTTCTCAAAATGGTTCACTGACTATCAGTTTTAATCTCAAGCTGCAGGTGCAAAGGCAGGCATCTCAAATCCTTCTGAAGTTCTGTCAAATGTTCCGACCAACAAACCATCTAATTACTCTAAAGACTTCGCGCCGCCATCATCCATCATACATCCTTCACTGTCCCAGCCAAAAGCGAGTCACGGCCTTCAGCAGCCACCGCAGCAAAATCATACTCGGTCAGGAGCATCTTGGGACTCAACCCCGCAAACTTCCACACGCCATCGACCTTTCTATACCAGTGCTTATTGCTGCTATGCGCATGGCCCTTGACAGCGACTTGCTTGAAAGTCTCGTCAGTGTACTTTTGATGCGGCACGCGGAGCTGGTGATAGCCCACAACCTCGGTCTCTGAGATCTTTTCCCAGCGGCTGGCGCCAACGAGATGTTGCGTCTTAAGGAGGGGGCTGCCAAGCATGGGTTTGCTACTTATCATGGCTACGTAGTCGTCTGCGGGCATGGCTTCCCAGATCTTGTTGAGGAAGGGGTAGTCGATCTTTAATGTGAGCGTTGTGTTAGATTGTGTCTCGTTCAAGGGAGGATGGTGAGCTTACGCGTAGGGTAGGGGCGATGCACTTTCGAAGGCGGTCCCAGTCCTTCGTATCGTAGCTGTCTGCCCATTCATAGAGGCATGCATTCAACCCGAGGTAATCTAGAGAACTTCTTCAGTATCACATCATGAGTGGTGAAACCTGGTGAGTTGGTTTACCGTCAAGAGTAATGTTAGCAGAAGATGCCATTTTGTCTTAATTATAGCGTATAATGATCGATCAAGTTAGATCTAGACTATCGCCCGATTCATGTAATTCGCGAGAAAAGTCAAATGAGGAGGAGCAGCTCGTGCAACGAAACTCTGCTGGAAAACATGAATGGAAATCACCGAGTGCTGATAAAGGTATCCCTAACCCTCAAGTAAAGGAAGATAAGCTCTCTTAAGTTACCCCGGATTCTGCTTTCTCCACGATTCAACCTTAGCGGACAGGTAAAGTAGACACTCCGCCGATGGATTTTGTCGGCACTATTCCAGAGAGCGGGGGACCGTGGGTGTAACCCGTCCACTTGCCGTTCCTCCACTTCCCGGAGAAGTTTGCCGGACGGCTATGTAAACGTATGGCGACGAAACACGGCATTCACACAAGGCTTTTGTATGCCAAGCCGATTCGTTCCAAATGTCGACTAGCATCCAGTCAAAAAGGCGCCCGGCCGCTCGGTAAAGGCCATAATGAGAAGAAGTTCCCGAGTCTCACTTCATAACACAAAACCACTCCAAAATATACACAACCAAGTGCCATTGGGAAGTCACATCACATCACTGCGGAAATTTGGAGCTGCATCGTGAGGCATTTACGCTACGTCTCGTTATAGTCATGCAAGAAATTCGCCAAAGGGCGGTTGGTTTTGTAAAAAGAGACCCAGGATCTACCCCCTTTTCCTCGTTTCTCGATCGGCCTAGACCTGGAATGGATCCGACATCAAGTCGTGGGAAAGTATCTCAACCCCAAGTACACAAAAAATGTCCAAGAACGGAAAGAAAAGAGTTTTTGGTTGTGTTCGGCCCAGCCAACGTAGCTACCGGAACAGGCGCCCTGCCTTGTTGTCGCTGCGTGATCCCGTGTGCCATTTCCCAAAATCCGTCCAATGGCGGCGTCCTTGTCGACGTTTAG